AAATCTTATATATACTTACTTATATACTAACCTAATAAAACCTCTATCTATAGTATATAGAATAACCGAATTATTATATATAAGGTAAAATAATATCTAGAATTATAGATAGAGTTATAGACTTTAGCTAAACTCTAACTTAAAACTCTTATAACTTAAGCTATACTTAACTAAATTAAGTAAATTTTTAGTTTTATAAATAGCTCTTTAGCTATAGTATTCTATATAAAATAATTAGTATAGATTTCTATAGTAGAAATTAAGAGTTCTAAGTACTTTAAGATAACTTAAAACTCTTTTAATAAAAATACTTAGAACCTTAAAAGAGTTCTAAGTTTACTAGATATAGACTACTCTACTAGTATAACTACTATAAATCTTAACTAGATAAAACTACTAGATAGTAGTTCTAGAAACTACTTAATTTCTATAACTTTATTTAATTCTAGAATTTTTAGTTCTAGATATATTCTAATATTAAGAATAATACTATTTATAATAAAATTTTTACTTACTTAATATTTTATAATAATATACTATATATTTTATATTATATCTAGTAAGTATAAATAAACTAATATATATTTATTAATATAATAAAAAATAATAAACTTTAAAGAAAGAGTTTAATCGAGACTTTCTAGATATTAAAGCTCGAGAGATTATAACTTCTATTAACTTAGAAAAAGTTAAGTTAGAAGAAGTAGAAGGAGGTTATTACTAAGCGACCCCGCGACGTTAACCTAAAAGGTTTCCCGTATTCTCCCAATAACCACCCTCCTCGCTCCCCCTCCCCCTCGCAGCAACATTACAACCAGTATGAAGAACTGCAACGAATGTGGCTATCCTCTTCCCGCCATCCGCGACAGCTCCACCATCTGCGCAAACTGCAAAACTCCAGTCGCGACATGGTGGGATGAGACATCCCAAACCTTCCGCACCAACAGGGAAATCCTCCTTCCGTACTCCCCGACCTCCTCAAACGCCTGGCATAGTGGCGACCACAACATGGGCGATTTGTCGGGGCGGAGGAATACCCAGACAATCGAGGAGAGGACCTTCTCGGCGGCGTTGATTATGTTAGAGGCGCATTTCGAGAAGGTCAGAGGTGTCGGGTACAAGACCATGGCGGAGGTCAAGAAGATGATTGCGCAGACACTGGACAGGAGTTTGAATAAGGCAGATGTCAGGTTTGTATTTCCGGGTGGCATCGAAGCGCACAAAGCATCTATGCTGACGAGGGCTTTCTAGAGAGCATCTCGCGAAAAACGTCGACATCTGGATGCGGCTCGAAAAAATCTTTGCTATTGCGGTCCCACACCTGAACGCACGCTCTCTTCGCGAATCATACACTGAGGCTGGCGTCTCATCGGGCCTGGATGTTCCCGAGTCTGCCGCCTTGATCCTGAAGAATTATGATGTTCTGCGAGAAGATTTGCATTATCTGAATAATCTGCTGGTGATCAGTCGAAACATGTTAGCAATCAAGGAGACGGCGCAGGAGCTATGTGCGGCGGTTAGCTTTGATAAAGCGGTGCATCAGCTAATTATTCTCTGCGTCAACGTTACCAGCAAGGGCTATGATGGCGAGAATGTTACGATTGATGATAGGGCAAGGTTGTTAGAGATTACAGAGCTATGTGAGTTTCATTCCGTGTTCAATTGGCGGGTTGATGATTCTGACGTGATACCCAGACAAAAAGCTCCTGGTAACCTGTTTGCAACACACACACAATTGGACGATGGGCAATGATAGATTTAAGATGATGTTTTGGTTTACGATGCTATTCGACAACGATCTTCGAAACGATTCGATCCACGAACTTCCTCCGGATGATTTGGACGTTGGGAAAGTGCACGACGAGGTAGAAAATTGGCTGTTCCGCCACAGCGGCATTGACAGCTTAGCTGCGGATTTGCTGGACAACTACGACGCGGATGTTCCCACGGGACACACCGCTGGTCCGTTACCAGAAACCCCGGCCATGAACGATAGAGGGCCAGTGGAAGAATCGACGACGCCAGTGTGGAGAGCGGATTTGACGGACAAGTACGAACAGGATCGATTATATGCTCGAGTATCACATGAAATTGATGTATGGTGGAAAAAGGTACGAGACGCGAATTACGATGGTTGGGTTGTACATATGGAGAGTGTGGAAGGCGCGATAGAAAGAGCGGAAGCTTGTAAAGAGAATGCAATGCACCGCTATATTCCGCGGGGTCAGGAGCACGATCACCAATACGAACATGACGAGAACTACGAACATGGCCCAGATGATGGAGACAGCGTTGCGGCCGAGATCGACGACAGATCAATTCAAGAAGACAACGGAGAAGACGACGAGGGTGAAGAGGAGGAAGACGAGGATGATGATGATTCTTACGTTGAAGGGCCACTCCGGGGACTCCTCACAGAAATTCCAAACATTCTCGACACCAAGCAAATAGAAGCATTGCACATGACAGTGAAAGCCTGCATAGTCGATTCTATGGGCTCTGGTCTTACTCCGGCGGGTGAAAACCTTCAAAAAACGAGATGTAAAATGTTCTTGGCTTTAGACTGCGGCAAAAATTTGCTTCGGGAAATGCTGGTTTTTATTGCAGTCTGGGAGCAAAACGACCAACAATTTATTTTTCAAATCACAGCTCAAATCATCGAATCGTTCCATCATAATGCGTTGCTTCCGTATGCGTGGAATTCGCTTCGGATCCTGAAGGACATTGTTTCACCAGCACAAACGGTTTTACTTCGCCTTATCAATTATATGTTTAGGGCGCGCAAGGACAGCCCGATATACGATGATGTAAAGGATTACAACAGAGACGCCAAGCTGATCCATTTCTTGTACAACTACTTTCGATGTCGAGTGGTTCCGGATTGCATAGCACTCATCTGGGCACAGGCGGAAATTCGGAAAGGAACAAGTCATCCGAGCGACTTTCCAGTCGATTTATGGGATATGGAACGAGCGAAGGATGGTCTTTCGCAGTACCTTGATTTCATATCTGTCATTGCAGAAATTCACGAGATGCGACATCTCCTCATTGAGTGGGAATGTGTTTATGAGCTGGTCTCTTTGTTAAAAGCATTAGAAGCTGGTGTGGCGCGGAAACCACTTGATGAACGATCAGTACCAGGACCCAGTCGACGCCCTGGAGGATCCAACTCACCTGGATCAACGCCAAATGTCGAAAGACCATACGATGACCAAGGAAATAGTGCGTCGCCACACCCTCACCCAAATAATCTTCCACCAATGCATGATACCCCACACAAATTTCCTTGGTCAGGTGTCAAAATCCAAATTCTGATCATCCTCACTTCACTAATCGCACCCACGAATTCTCGCCGCAACGGTCCTGGTAACCCCATTGTGCAGAAACAACTCCTCGACCGCGGTGGTATCATGCCTCTCCTTAATTGTTGTGTCTATGATGGCCACAACGAATACCTTAAAGAACGAGCTACTCTAGCGATTAAATTCGTCATGGAGGGTTCGGAGGAAGCGCAAAAGTTTGTCCGCGATCTTGTCCCTGTGAAACAGGCACAAGCCCAGGCTCAAGCGCGGGCCCAGGCAGAGAACAGACAGAAAACATCGCCTTCGACAACTACCAAGGGTGTGCACCTCGCAGCCGAGGCGTTGGCGGCGGATTTGGCGAGGACTGCGGCTAGTACCGCTGCGAGCTTCAAGTCGGGGCAAGATGAGTCGTTATCAAAGGCGCTCGGAGACGTCAATATTACGGAAGAGAAGAAAGTGGACAAGGCCGTGCAAGGAAAGGCGGCGGTTAGTGGTGGGAAAGGAAAGGGGAAAGGGAGAAAATGAGACTTATCGGACTTTGGTCGATACGAGGCGGACAAGAATCAAGTCTAATTATTGCTACAACGTTTTCAAAGGGGTCTGTGGGATGAAGGGTGTAGATTGAATTGCGCAAGAAACTAGATTCAGCGGGATACGTGCATTGCTTCTGGCGTTTTTCTTACTACCTTATTGCATTTGCGTGGCGTGGAGTCCGTCAAGACACGATACCCAGGATTCAACAACATTTGCTGTATATAGACAATAGATCATAGATTATACACCCCACGTGTGAATTTAAGGTCAGAGAACTAGATCCAAGTGCGATCAACTTTGAGCTTTCTTACAGGTTTCAGAAGCTATGAGGTTGTCAATTATCTATGTTGTTTTGCAATTAACTAATGATTGGTAGTTTGAGACCAAGCGAATCTACGATATATCTAAATCTCCCCCAATAAACCCCAGAATTCAGAATCCTCGCAATAACAAAGAGGAGAAACTCTATACGGATCTCACAGCCACCATGTGAATAATCACCTAGTAACATCCTGCACCGCCAAAAAGAATTCTACCAACCAAAAAGGATTACCGACGATGACATAACTACAACGACCACACAGACAATGATGCTTATTGCGGCAAAGGAATTTTGAGATCCTGTCGAAGTCTTGGTCTCTGTCAAAGTTCCCGCAGAAGTTGTCGTAGGTGTTGCCGTAGGTGCTGTCGAAGCATCGTTCGTTGGCTTTGCCGTTGGATTGTTGTTCGACGAACCCGCAGAAGTCTTCCGAATAGAAGTTGAAGCAGACGGCGATAGAGGTGTTCCGTTGGCCGAAGATCTACCCATCGACATTATCGCTGAAGCAGAATTCGCTGTTGTCCCTACCATCTGCTCAACCGGCAAACTAGTTGTCTTCACTACACTCCCGGTCCCAGTACTCATTCCACTCAAACTACTCGTTCTATCCCCAAAATTAACATGCCACCCGTTCTCACTACTACTAGGTACGACAACCATAGTTTCCGTCGTCGCGCTATGCGTCCTCGTAATAGTAACCTGACCACCAACAACCACAATACCACCTCCAGAAATACCAGGCGCGCTAGCCTTGTCCCGCGTCGCCGCTATTTTTCGATATTGATCCAAGTCATTTGGCAACCGCGGGTTTACCACGCCTACCATTCCATCCTTGCAGTCTGTGCCGGTGGCGCTGTAGAAGTAGACGGGATTGTCGGAGGTGAGTCGAAATGCGAATAGAGTGGCCTGGTGATGTTAGTGTATGCGTGGAATGTGAAGAGAATTGTGAGGTACGTCAATAGGTGCACTGCCATCTGCGTTCAAGGGTTTCCCTGATATTTCGCCAGAGTGGAATCGTCCGTCTGCGACGCAGGGACTGGGACCACTTGTTACGGTATGCGTGCCGTTGCCGATGAAGAAGAATGCTACGCTTGGAAATGGTCAGGGGTGTATAAAAAGAAGGGCATGAACGTACATGTCGTTGAATTGGACCCCGGTTATGACATCGGGGGTGAAACGCTGAGGAATAAGGCCCGCGGCTATAGCGAAGGATTTTGCTACCGTGAGCGAAGTAAGGAAAATCAGAAGAGGGACGTGAGATTTCATCGTTACTTGTTAGAGTAATCCGTATGCCTCAGCGACTAAGTTTGGAATTTTTCGAGTGGCTAAGATGTATATTGGAGGACAGGTGCGATTTCATTGTTTTGTAGGAGACGAGGATAATGTGAATCGTTAAACAAAAACAATTTGTGATTCTGGATGCTGTGGATAACATGCAGTGATTGATTTTTAAAGTCAAGATGAAACACCACCCCGAAGTGATTAAAGCTTTCATTTTCTCACCTAAAAGCTCGTTAGTATCTAAAGTCTCTTATTCAACTACCACAACCCTTTATTCACATCGTGCGGCGCCATAACGCTCTCACCAACTCCCAATACCTTTCCCCAAATGACAACATATGCTGCACATGTGCACTTCCGTCGAACCTCACAACCACAACCTCCCCCTTCTCTTTCGCTAAACCCGCATGTTCCTCCACAGCTTTCCACCCTACAATTTTATCCTCCTTACTATATATATACAACCTCTTGGCCTTTTCATCCACGAGATCCCAGTCATTCAACTTCTCCCCACTTTTTTCAACAATAGTCGTCGTTCCAAAAGCCGCAGATGAGATCTCCCAACCAACGAAAATCGCATAAACAACCGCTGCTACAGGATAATACAATAATCCTTTCGGGAAACCCTGAGACATGGCGTAATACGCATCATCGCGGACGAACTTTCCGGGTGCAGAATCCAATACGATTGCTTTTAATGGTAAAATGTTACCGGTTTCTGTCTTGTATGCTTGACATGCATCGACGAAACTTAAGACGCCGCCGTTACTGACGACGTGAACCAAGATTCTCTTTTCGGGCGAAATATCGCTGTCGACTGTAGCAGCAATTGGCTTGAAAAGTGCCGTTCGAGTGGATGTAAGTGTGTGGGTGAAGAATGATGCAAGCGAGGCGATGTGTATGATTCTCGCTGCTGGGTAGAGTTCGTGGTAGTGATTGAAGAATAAATTGACGTAACGAGATTTGGGATGTGCTGCCATCCAGGAGCAGAAGATTATGGTTGTTGGGTCGGTTGACGAGGCGGGTGAGGTGGTAGGGGGAGTGTACAGGGAGATTATGGAATTTAGGTTGGCGAATTCGAGATTCGGTTTTTTGAGAGCCGACATTGCTAAGTATTGTAGATAGACTTGCTTTGACTGGGAAGTGATTGTTGTATCTTGATATTGTTTTGTAAGATATGAAACAATATTGTGTCAAATGAGGGAAGAAGAAAGTGCGATTACTGAACGAAATCACAGCCAAATCAGGATAATGGTGGATCTATAAAATCATATATCAAAGCGCATCAATCGGCGAGTAGGTGAAAGACTTTACTTCGTAATAATCCTTCGACTTATTCCCGGTCACACCGGAGACCGAAAGTATCATGTGACATAAGCCAACAAGGAACTCTATTCTGTCCAAATGTGACGCTTTCAAGGAAGTTGACCACAATAAAAGATGGCTTGAAACCCTTCACTTAAGTCATCAAAGATTTTTGATACCATATATAGAAACTTTGTATCTCAGCATGAGAATTAATCGCCTATGAAAAGGCAGCCATATTGAAAGAGTGTTTGTACTTAAAAGAACAGCTGAATGACTTGTCAACAATTCTGGTTATGGACATGAGATATGAACAGCGATGAATATTAATCAGGTAGAAAAACAATATGAGATTGTCTTACGAACTGTATAAGACGGCGAAGGCAAGAGTATAATTCACACGTGACCGTGAATAACCATCACATTCTTCGGCGGATAGATGAACTTCTTGCGCTCCAATGAACCAAATTGAATCATGAATCCCATGTCAATGCATCTGCACTTTGCGAGATTCGAGATAAAGTGGCCCCGTAAGCGGCTAAGGCTCTGTCCAACGATCAATAGGAGTTCATGAGCTCGTCTATTTCGCGTCGATCTCCCGAGATTCAAAGAAAAACACAAATAAGAGAAGCTCTTGATGGCTTCATCGTATATTCTGATATTGGTGTAGCTCTAAGTGTGAGCCTACTGGTTGTGGTACAGCAGATACTCTTTAGCCGTTTCCCGAAGAACAGGGAGCGTTCATTCTCGCGTGTCGCGGCTGTAAAAATATACAAGCAGTTCATGCACGTCGTTGTCGTCAAACATCTGCCGGTGGTATCGTGGGAACATGGCCGAGTACCTCTTGCGTCGAGTCGTTCTGCGAATGTTTTCTTCTCAGGGGGTTGTGATAATTCGGACGTTGCGAAGCGAGAGTCCGGACTTACAAATCGACGATGCGTTGACCTTCAATACATCAATACATTGCGTGTCGTTGAAGAAGACTCGGCAATTGCCACGGCCCCAATTGCCGATGTCTTGTCTGTGAAACTCGTGACTTTGATCACAAACGTCGTTTCTTACAAGAGTTCTTTTCCGCCCACGCCTCTGTCAACCCACAACATCCACATCCACATCGTCAAGCCTCGATATCTGTCCCGCAAACATCGACTTTCCCTGCACTTGCATCAATCGCCATGCGGTTGGCTGGGAAAGGTCAGCATGCGGCCACACCCTCCCACAGAAAGCGTGGATCGATGTCGGCATGTAATATATCTTGACAAAACCATCTCGAACACTCTCATCGGGGGGTCAATAGGCAGCCACATACGCTCGCTTACCGTTGTATCAAGGTATTTCTCTCTAGATCAACGGTGTGCCGTGTGTGAAGTCGTTGATAGGCGTCTGACTGTTGGATAACGTCAACGGGCAAGTACTCCGTCTCCGTCAGGCGTCAACTTTTGCACCGCTCTGAGTGGAGATGCAGATGTCTGGTCCTGGAGATGCAGTATTGGCTCAACGATGGAAGTACCCAAGGTACTACGCCGCACGGTGAGGCAATCCAGGTGAGCCTTCGCCCTTCGATCCCCCGGATCTGCCCAGATCCCCCATCTTACCACCCCATCTTCCCCGATCTGATCTGCCGGGTTAGCTGTCAAAGCTCTCGACAGCGGGTCCTATTCCTAAACCGTCTCCATTCCACCAGTCTGTCAACCGGTAGCTGGGAGCAAGAACTCCACGATACGTTACGCCACAAAGTCTCCGATTTCTTTCGTATTTCGTCTGCTCGGCAGCTGTCTCATACGCTGCAATGAGTGTATACAAGCAGCCAAGGTGCTCCCAAGCGAGACAAAGCCGGTGGTTGTTGTATATGCGGTGTGGGGACTTTTGAACCCTTCCTGTGTCACTCTACTCGAATGTGTGTTTTGCCGTGCCGTTCGGCAAGTGTGGCAGGTCCTATTTGGAGAAACTATGATGCGCTTGCACGGCTTGTAATATTTGTGGAATAATAAAGTGCAATCCCACCGCACTTTCTACAATCAATAATCAAGCCTTCCGAGCTGACTCGCATGTCTGCCTTACCCCTGAGCCGGATTGACGAATGTCATCGAGACATCTAGGTTGTCACTACGGGAGTACTATAAGTATCTGATAGTAAGCGTTCAGATCACAGAATTTGGGAATTTCCTGGATTTAAATACCCACATCATGCTTGCAGAATCCTTCGCACGGGTCATTCTTCGGAATTGGCCAGCAGTACTCATCGTTGCTTTTGTCGCCTACCTGGTGAACAATCGATTTAATCGAGGACTCAATAAACACCCCGGACCATTTCTTGCTTCTATCACAGATTGGTGGAGGTTTTGGATTGTGCTAAGAAGACGACCAGAGGTTCAGCATATTCAACTACACGCCAAACATGGAGATGTCGTTCGCTTAGGGCCCAATGCGTTATCCTTTGCCAATCCACAAGCATTAAAGACGATATATGGACTTAACAAAGGTTTCACAAAGGTACGTAGACCAAGGTGATGGCAACTCATACAGTATCTGACATCGCTTCTAGTCAGAATTCTATCCCGTACAACAATCGGTGGCAAATGGCCATCGCCTGCCCTCATTGTTCAGCTCCACCTCCGAGTCGTTTCATGCTCAACTACGAAGATGTGTTAATAGCGCTTTCTCGATGTCAACACTTGTTCAATACGAGCCATTTGTCGATTCCACCACGGAATTGTTCTTGAAGCAGACCGAAAAACTATACGCACAAACAGGATCAGTCTGTGACTTTTCTCGATGGCTTCAGTTCTATGCCTTCGACGTCATTGGAGAAATGACATATAGCAAACGGCACGGTTTTGTGGAAGAGAATAGAGATATTGACGGTATCGTTCAATATCTGGGAAAGCTTTTCGATTATGTAGCTCCTATTGGACAAATTCCTGTTCTCGACTTACTCTTCCTCAAAAACCCCATTTACCTTTGGGCATCTCAATATGGCCTCATAGACTCTACATTTCCTGTCGCCAAATTCGCCAAGCAGCGTATGGCCGAGCGCTATTCGGCCGACAATGGCAAATCTTCCTCTGTCCTCCCCGAGGTCGAGCCCAAGGGAGCGACTAGCCAGCCAGATCTTCTATCCAAGTTCATTCAGGCGAAAGAATCTCGCCCAGAGTTTATGACTGACACACTGGTCACCACCATGGCTGTATCGATGGCCTTTGCCGGTTCCGAAACAACAGCAATCTCTCTGTCTTCGGTCTTCTACTTCCTTCTGAAGAATCCGGAATGCCTCGACGCACTTTACAGAGAACTAGACGAGAAGGATGCCCAGGGTTTCTTTTCAGCTCCAAAAACCGGAGTCGTAACGTGGTCTGAGTCCCAGGAATTAGCATATCTAGATGCTTGTATTAAAGAAGCCTTCCGTCTCCATCCCGCACCTGGTCTTCCCATCGAAAGGGTCGTGCCTAAGCAGGGTACGGAAATCGCAGGTGTATTTGTGAAAGGAGGAACTATTGTGGGATGCAATGCCTGGGTCCTCCATCGCCGGCCAGAAATTTTTGGAGAAGATGTGGAAGCATTCAGACCTGAGCGATGGCTTGTGGGTGGTGGTGCTGCTGGTCAGGGGATTAGAGGTGTTGATGAAACAGTCGACGTGGGTGCTGAAGAAAAGAGGATCAAAGACATGGGTGCCACACTTTTACATTTCGGTATGGGAGCGCGGACCTGTATTGGGAAGAACATTAGTTTGTTGGAAATTTACAAATTGGTTCCTTCAGTTTTGAGGATGTTCGAGGTAAGTCGAGTCAAGCAACCATTTTTCTGGGGCCTATTCTTACATCACATAGGTCAGCCTCGAAGACCCGACGAAGGAGTGGACGGTACACAATGCTTGGTTTGTTCGACAGCTCAATTTCCGGACAAAGTTCAGGAGGCGTGATGATGTCGGAAATAGTTATACTTCCGTCAAGTCTTCATGACATGGTGTTTGCTCAAACCCGGCACCACATCTCATTTTGCCCCTTTAGCATTTCGAGCGATCAGCGATGCATGTAATCAAATTATTTTTTACAGCATGAAATTCCCAGGTGACTAGTTAATGCAGAGTGCGTGTAGGATCTCACTTTCGGTATTCAATGCTCAGGTGCTCCAAGTGGTACAGACTGATGATTTCTCCCTAGGAAAACGTCAATGGGAAAGAGGAACCGTCTGCATGATTAAGAATGTCACGGACAGTTCAATGGCGTAGAAGAATCAGTTTTGAGAGTATCCAGCCAGAGATAATTCTTTTCATTTTGCTTTGTCTTATAAAAGATCTCCATTGTCCGATGTTTTGCTAGTAGAAATTTCGGAATTTTGTAAGCTGTCAAGCTTGGGGTAGTGAATAGATCTTCTAACAGCTATGAGGTTTGTGACTGATCATCAATAATTTATATTATCTGACAGAAAGAATCAGCCTACCGAGAAAATGTCTTTGCTTTCATGAGTCCAAAATCGCAGAATTGCTAGACGCGTTGCTGCAGAAGCGAAATCGCTCGTGACTCAATCCACTCTGACTCGACCCCACCATGAAATAAATCTCGTCGAAATCACCCCTCCATCCCCATCACCAAACACGCAGACGCAGCGCAACAACACATTATGGCGGACGACGCAAGCACCTCCGCTGCCGCCGAAGGCGTGGCTAATCTCCATCTCGACGAAGTCACCGGCGAAAAGGTCTCCAAGTCTGAATTGAAGAAGAGGCAAAAGAATCGGGCCAAGGAGGAGGAGAAGCGCAAGAAGGAGGCCGCTGCACCCCCCAAGCCGGTCGTGGCTAAGAAGTCAAACGCTGAGGCTGACGAGAAGGAGTTGAACCCAAATGTAAGAAGAGAGGACGAGGAACCACACGCGACTGAACAATACTGACTGCGGGGTATAGCAATATTTCGAGATTCGATCGCGCGCCATCAACAAGCTTCGGCAGACCAAGAACCCAAATCCGTATCCCCACAAATTCCATACAAATTACGATCTGAGGAATTTCGTCAAGGAATACGACTCTTTGAAGTCGGGAGAGCACAAGAAGGAGGTCGAGATTAGAGTTGGTGGCAGAATCTATAACAAGCGATCAGCAGGAAACAAGCTCGTTTTCTACGATGTGAGAACAGAGGGTGTCAAGGTGCAGATTATGTGCCAGTCACAGGAAGCAAAAGAGGATGGTGTTCCATTCGCAGACCAGCATGAACACCTGAGAAGAGGGGATATTATTGGCATAGTTGGATATCCAGGACGAACTGCGCCGAAGAACAAGATCGAGAAGGGAGAGGAAGGAGAGCTTTCGATTTTCGCCACGGAGATCATTCTACTGACACCTTGTCTACATCAACTTCCAGACGAATATTATGGATTCAAAGACCAGGAGCAGAGACATCGTAAGAGATATTTGGATTTGATCATGAACGAGCCAACACGAAATGTCTTTTTGACCAGATCTAAGATGATCACATATATTCGCAAGTACTTTGATGAGCAAGATTTTACAGAAGTTGAGACGCCAATGATGAATTCAATTGCTGGGGGAGCAACTGCCAAGCCGTTTGTAACGCATCACAACGACCTTAACATGGACATGTTCATGCGTGTAGCGCCCGAGTTGTACCTCAAGATGCTTGTTGTTGGAGGATTGAACAGAGTCTACGAAATGGGACGTCAATTCCGTAACGAAGGTATCGATTTAACTCACAACCCTGAGTTCACGACCTGCGAATTCTATATGGCCTACGCAGATGTCTACGACATCATGGATATGACTGAAGAGCTCGTGTCCGGCTTAGTCAAGCACGTAACTGGCGGAACCACAACCAAGTTCCATACCCAGCATGGAGAAGAATACGAGGTCAACTGGGCTGCACCATGGAAGAGAATCGAGATGATTCCTGCCCTTGAAGAGGCGACTGGCGAGAAATTCCCACCAGGAGACCAGCTTCATACCCAGGAGACCAATGACTTCTTTAAGCGGGTGCTTAAGAAGATGAAGGTAGAGTGCTCGCCTCCTTTGACCAACGCCCGCATGCTCGACAAGCTCGTCGGCGAATTCATCGAAGAAGTGTGTGTGAACCCAACCTTCATCACTGGTCATCCCCAAATGATGTCTCCTCTCGCCAAATACCACCGCAGCAACCCAGGTCTCTGCGAACGTTTCGAAGCTTTCGTCTGCAAGAAGGAGATCGTAAACGCATACACCGAGTTAAACGACCCATTCGACCAGCGTCTCCGTTTCGAAGAGCAAGCACGTCAAAAAGACCAAGGTGATGACGAAGCGCAGATGATCGACGAGAATTTCTGTCAGAGTTTGGAGTTTGGATTGCCGCCTACGGGTGGTTGGGGAATGGGTATCGATCGTTTGGTCATGTTCTTGACGGATAATTACAGTATCAAGGAAGTCCTCGCTTTCCCGTTCATGAAGGAAGATCAGTCTAAGAGGCATGAGAAGTTGGCTGCGGAGGAGGTCGGTATTCAGCCTGTTGCTGAGGAGGGAATTCGTAAGTCATACCGCCCAACTTTTACACGACCGACAACGTCGAGCGCTGGAATGATTGAAGAAGGTCGCTAACACATCGCTCGTTTAGCACACAAATGAAATACCAAAAACAGTACGATGTGATGATTTGATGAACAGAGCAGACGTCATTTGGGCGGACCAATGTCTGTAATTAGCTATTCAGAATGTCAGCCATCCAAGTAATTTTAGACAAGCTAGCGAGGTAAAATTTACATCTTTTCAAGCTATCTAAAAAGTAGAGTGTTCTGTTCTATTAAAACAGCCCAAAATGACCGTGCCCGTATTCTACAACAACGCCGTCCCTCTATGCCATGCAGCGCTAATACAACATATGTACATTATATATACAGCATCCCCAGATTTCAATACCACCGAGAGGTCAGGTCACCTCGTAATCTTCAGAAAGGTGGCATACCCATTCGGGCCTTTGCCATTCCTTTCCTTCGCGCGTCATACCAGAAGACGATTATCCTCACGCACGCTTAGGCGGCCCGCGACTCCTCATAGCATCCAGCTCTTTCCTCAACCCCACAGCTTCAACCTTTCCCTTAATGCCGGGAACCCTGCCACGATTCGGTCTAGGACCAGCTAAACCACTATCCGTGAGTATTTTCAGACGGTTCTGTACCAATCTCCAAGATCGAGAGGGGATCCAGGTACGTGATCCTAGAACGACTACACCAGTCAAGAGGGCGAGAGCGCCGGCTTGATGAGCTGCTGCGATGGGTGTAGGGACTAGGTAGACGAGGGTGCTGATGCCGAGGGCTACTTGGAGAAGGACAAGATGGACGACGCCTAGCATGCCTTTTCTGCAGGTGTTTGGGAGGATGGCGCGCACTTTGGCGTTGAAGCGCGTGTATGCCCATAGACTGAGGATTGCGGTAAAGGTTGTCGTGGCCATAATTCGGTGGTCTAATTGAACGAGAGAGGGATTCTCGAGCATGTTCCGCCACCAAAGATCACTGCCATCTTCCTTGCGGGAGTAGAATGAAGACCAGAGTTCGCTTTTTGGGGGAGTCAGTCCCACACCCATGCGTGGGAACTCATTGTAGATCATGCCGGCGTCTAATCCTGCGACAAGTCCTCCAGACATGACGGTTGTGAATACCAGAATTGCCAGACCAGCGACGGACTTTCTGAAGAAGGAGAGAGCGGGCGAGGACAGAGCTTTGAGATGAGCTTGAGCTCGGGCAGGATCTGCCAGTAGCGAATGGGTACGCAATATGGCGAGGCCGTTCCACAACATCGCCGTATAACATATAAAGGCAGCGCTGAGATGGGTTGTCAGTCTATATTGACTTACTCGTGGATGGGACCCTGGTGCAAAAAGATCATCTTTAAGACCCGATTTCACCATCCACCACCCGATTACGCCCTGAAACCCAATGAGACCAGCGATACCGAGCAGTCGGAGTGACATGTTTGCCGAAACTTTGCGCCGGGCCACGAAGTATATGGCTGGGATAACGAAAGACATTCCAACTAGTCTTCCCCACAGCCGGTGGCCCCATTCCATGTAGTAGATTTGTTTGAACTCTTCGAGAGTCATGTGGGGGTTCAAAAGCTTGAATTCAGGTGAGGCCCGATACTTGTCGAATTCGGATTCCCAGTCGGCAAGAGAGAGAGGTGGTAGAGATCCTGTTACTGGCTTCCACTCTGTTATACTCAGTCTGTACGAGAATTAGCGATTGGCACTCCAATTGAATGTTCATAAACCAACCCGGACTCTGTTAGACGTGTGAGTCCCCCAAAGACGACAATCCCAAACACACTCGCTGCACTTCCCAATAACCAGTATGCGACAGGTTTGGAAGTCACTCTGGGGAAGAACTTCTTGTTCGCCCGCGCCCGCGCCCGCGCCTGTGCATTTTCATTTTCATTCTTCATGATATTTTGCCCAAGAGCACCGAGGGGCGTCTGCTTTCGGAAGCCTCCATGCTCGGCAGGAAACGCAGCCGCGCTGCTGTTGAATCGAATCGTTCGAGATATATTTGACTTGATGGGGAGCTTCAATGGTAGGGGCGTCGGGCGAGCTGGATTTGAGTATTGATGGCAGACGAAGAAATCTTTCGACAGCTTCGAGGCTGCCCGTCGAAGTCCTGGCAAGGAGAAAGCCATTGGGACGGCGGTTTCTTCATCCAAGTATGGGTGTGAGAGAGATGGCGGTCATTCGAGATGTTCGGTGGGATGATTTTCGAATCGAAAGAGCTCAGCATTATGTCAGCGACCGCCCGGGGCTTAATCGGAGGAACATTGGCGTTGCTTTCGGGCTTGGCACTGGAGCATCCCGATGTGGAGCTCTGGACCCTCGAAACAGGGGTCTCAACCGCAGCGCTCGAAAACGCGTCCCTCCGTATCCAGTCGTCTATGCCTTTCGTATACTCGAGTGGTTCTTCTCATACTTTTGATTCTCCTCCTCGCAACATCCTCCCAGACGCATTCAACAACAATATGCTATTATCGTAAACCACCCGTAATCGCCTAGATGCACTCCAATTCCATTCGACAACTCCATGTTTTCCGCGCGAAATACCGAAACTCCTAATCCTTTCCGGCCTGCCCTCCAATACCTTCTCTCATCGACCAAGCTGTCTCGCGCGCATCACAGACAGAGCAGTTCCTCCAGCAGCACAGATACGGAACATCACCAAGCGCAAAGAATGTCTTCCTCACTTCACCCAAAGAGCCCTTCCGAGTTTCGTTCCAATTCAATCCCCCTGATCAGCATTTCGCGATCCCCCTCCCCTTTTCAGAGACGCAGGTCAGATTCCAATCCGGGCTCAGAAGCCACGGACGAAGACGACTGGGGCGATTACCCCTCGGCCTCGCGGAGGTCTCTTCTACCAGCAGATGGATACAAGCTTACGGGCTGGAAATATTTTGTATATGGAGGAGGATTCGGACAATGGCTCTTTACAACGCCAACCGGCTGGACGTTTTATATCGGAGTACTGGTGATATGGCTGGGAGGATGTCAGATTGGTTTGACCGTCATGAACCGGATCGTCATGTGGAGTGCGTACCTTCTCGAGAATTATACATCTCATACGAAACTGATGGTGTTAATAGCCGGTGTATACAAATTCAACTGGCCGCTGACAACGGCGTTGATCGAGATGCTCATGACACATTGTTGGATCCTTCTTTCTGCTTATATAACACGGTGGACGAGTCCGTGGCTTGTGAGTGCCGGTGTTTCTTCCATGGTTGCGCCTTCGAAGCCACTTCCAAAGTCAACCCAAGGTGGGTTTCGAGGTATGCAAAAGAATGGCGGAGGAGGAATCCTAGGAACTATCTCCCGTTGGACGTCGAACTTCTCGGGCGGTATTGCTGGAGGCGGTTTATTCGAAATGGAGTGGGCGGTTGCCAAGCAAGTGCTTCCTCTCGCGATAATATTCATTGCAAAGGTCTCGCTAAGCAACTTGTCCTTTGCCTACGCGGAACTACAGATTTACACTTTGGCACGCATCGCCATCGTACCATTCTCTCTTATCTTCACATCGACTCTTAATGGTACATCGCATAGCGTGACGACGTTGAGCTCAACTTTAACCGCTACCCTCACCTTACTCATTGCGCTTTCCAGAACCAGCATGCGAGCCGCCTGGGAAGCCATCGTTGCTGGTGTCTTTTCCTCCATATTCGTGGCACTCTACCCCGTTCAAATTCAACGGACTTACAAATCACTGGTCGCATCCCTTGTCCCCCAGGGCGAACTCATAGGGACCTTCCCCTCAGCAAGCACACCCGCTGATTACTCCGGATCCCGCGAAGAAACCCGCGCTTACTGGCGCCTTTTACATTATACCTCCACACTATCCATCCTAATTTTCATCCCCATCGTAATTCTCTCCGGCGAGCTTACCGATATATCCCGCAACTGCTATTTCCTAGATCTATTCTGGCCCTGGCTCATGATCGTATGTGGCGGTCTAGGAAGTTGGGCTACATTTTGGAGTACGATTGCTCTCACCAGAGCCACCAGCCCATTGACCACGACGTTCCTGTTTGTACCCAGAGCGGCATTTTTGTCGCCGATCATGGCTGGGTTCAAATTACCAGCGTTCGCCTGGATTGGGATTGGCATGTGTTGGTCGTGTTGTGGGTGGTTTCTGATGGGGAAGAGGAGGGAGGGGAGATCGGTTGAGAGAATGAGATGATTTGTTGTGTTGATTTGTTGGAATGTTTGCATTGTAGGAGCGTTTAGAGCGATATTTACTGTATATTGAAGTACAAAATTCTTCGTAGGGATTTAATGAATGACTATACGAGAAGTGTATGAGAGCTAGATGGGGCATATCCTACTATGTGTGATGCGTAAAACTACAGAATATTATTCTACAGAAACAACCAAGGGACACGATTTATTATCAGCTAAGAAGAGAATAGTAGAGTGGGCGGCGCTATTTGGTATTAAGGGGAGTAGTTCGAGTGGTCGCCCCTGAGGAGCTCACTTGGTTGTTAAGAGAGAAGAACAGGCATCTACTTTGGCAATTTCCGTTGAACGAAAGCTCTTAGAAAATAGCTTACCATTTAGGTAGAGGAGAAGTGGGTTATATAGATTATAAGTTTACAAAGGCTAGAGTATACCTAGGTAGTTAGGTGGTGCTACGTACATTTACTAAGGCTACTATTTATGATTAGTCTAGGTGGGAGCAGAGGATGTTACGATTGGCATTGGTGGAAATTAATTTGGAGTGGGGCAGAGTGTAAACATGGTTCACTTCATTCCACTAATTGAAAACACTAGATATCGGTAGTTCGGAAGTGAAACTACACGAAGCAAAAACAAACTGAAAAGATGTATTATCAGATCACGACACGCCAATTCTCCTCCTCATATTGAACTATTTACAAAAATACGTCCCCTTCTACCATGCCTTGAACCCAAATCTTGCTCCCAGAATAAATCCCATGAATGCGAATTCAACATGCCTAACCAGAATGTCTAAACGAACAATGCGTCCGTTCCCAATGTAAGATGTTATAAATAATAATACCCATCCCATCCCAACCCAGAACTCCATGCGATGCATAACCAGACGCCCACGCTTGACAGTCAACCCACAATACGCTCATCTGCTGCACCGCTTCAAGAATATGACCGCAGCGCGATCACCCTGGATTTGGGAGAATTTGGCCGGGGTCACATTCTTGTCATCGTATTTGTGCCAGGCCCCAGGGCCTCGTCCATCTTTAGGACTCTTATCGAGACTTCTTGCATAAGTATAATAATGACCGGCATCAGTCCTCCTGCCGACATGCTGGATAACTGCGTAGCAATCGTATATTGGATGAGAACGATGGCCGAGTAGGGTATCCCTCGTCTCGCCTTGGGAATTGATGAAGTAATCGGACATGTCGATGCCGTTTTCGGGAAAAGAAATTGTGTTGTGATGTTTTTCAAGAGCGCCACTATCATTTGCATGGTAGCGCAAAAGGGTGATCTGAATATACTCGGGAAGATAACACAGATATCTTTCTTGGTGTCTGTATTTTGTTTCCCGTCCTTCAGCTATGCACTTGGCGCATTTTGCCTCCACTCTTTCGCCAGCCGAGGGTCCATAGTCGTGTCCTATGAGATTATTCAATGATTCGAAATCTGGGGTACTTTGATCGACTGTTAATGATAATTCCGGCTGATATCCGAATTTTCTTGTAACATACGTGCAATCCGGATTTGCACACCTTAGCTTGTACATCATCTGTGGAAACATGTTGAGCATCACAAAAGAGTTCATGTATCTTCTGAGACGGGCCATGGACAATTGCGCTGCCTCGAAATCGGTGAGGGAGCTCTCCTGCTCGTCACGAGCGTCGACCTCCTCCTCAGTGAGATTTTCTTCCTTTACATTTCGCCTGTCATTCGTCTCGTCGGCTAAAATGCTAAGCATAAATGCGAGAAATTCAGCTGCGTCATGCATTCGACCATTTCCTCCAAATGCCTCTGCTCTAGCTCTGGGGCTAGGATCTCCCGTCTTATGTACTGCATTGACGTACGCCTAAATGTGGTTAGCGATGAGCTGATATCAATAACAGGAATGACTTACACAAAAGGTTTTGGGCGTGATCCAGTCATACTGCCCATTCCATAAGTAGGTCATTACGCTTCCGAGGTTTTTCATGAAAAGTTGAGAGGGTGGTGACAATTCACCCTCGGATGCTGGTATATTCTTGGTAGAAAATCCAGTTCTGTGTTTTAAAACTTCATCCCGGATTATTCGAGTTGCACTCATCGCCTGCAAAGAACTATTCAGATAACACAGAAGCCCGGGGTTGTGAAGCCCGGTTAAGCCAGGTTCCACTCTGTGGGCAGTGATCGCATTGTTCGATATATTGACAGTGTGTCCAGCAGCGTAAACCCCCGTTGGACCTCGCTCTGAGAGCCCACTGGATCTTTGCCGGGGAAGCGCTGGCGCGGGTCGTGTGGGCGGATGAGGAATCGAGTTGCTGAGTTCATCACCGTAGGGAAGAAGCGGCCGAGGAGATTGTACATTGGACACCATGGATTCTTGTATGGTGGATATGTCTGGAAATCGTCGAAAAAAGTCGTCAGTTGTTCTTGCGTAGAAGAATTCGTCAGAAGCGTCAGGGTCAGCATCAGCGGGTCTTCCAACGACTTGGTCCTCCTTCAGCGTTTCGTTCCATTTGCTTTGCTCTTCTCGGGTGAGAACCCGCGACTGAACCCGGGGGCGTGAAACTAATGACCGTGTCGGATCACGAACAGCACCTACTCTGCTAAGTGCCTTTGCAGTTGGCTTGGCAGTTCTCCGAAGAGCTGTAGTGCTAATTGTAGATGTCTTCAAACAATTATGCCCCATTAAATCTACCCAGGCGTCTAGACCACCCACCAAGAGCATCGGGCGACGCTTGAGTCTTTTCTCGTAGCCAAAATCGTACACAGCAGATGTGAAGTTATGAAGATAGTTTTCATTTTCACTTCCGTTGCTGTTTAGAGAGTTGACTTTAGTGGATGATTGATCATAAAAGACGACGATATCATAAGTCTCCCGTCGGTCAAACAACGCTAGTTCAGAGTCTGGAGCAACAACCATACTGTCTGCTATCTCCTCCCCTGAGATACCTCGTCTTAGAGTTACAGGCTCGATGCATATTATGGACTGCGACATGATATGTCCTTCGTCGAACAGGTCTCGGTTTCTCAAATCCACGTGCAGAATGCGAACTGACTGTGAGCCCATGCGTTGAAACTTGAAAAGATCCTCGGCACTGATGTAGACTGAGTTCGGAATGAACACCTCTTGTGGCTTTGGGGTTTGCGCAGTTCCATGTCCATTGACAGAATGAGAGAGGACAAAGTAGTCCTGTTTGGGATCAACAGGACCGGGGGTTGGTCCTACGGTAGAAATCGGCGGAGCGGAGCTTTTCCTTGAATGACCACTGTAAGAGGTACCTCTGGCTACGCTGGATGGCAAGCTCGCCGTGGCGGCACTGTCAGTGCTGCGCGCAGGACTATATATGGCGTCCGGTGCCCTAGGCATACTTGGAATATTAACATCCACAGATATTTTGCCGTCACTAACCTTTCCGTTGGGAGCGAGCGGCATCTCGCGTGGACCAGATGGCCTGCTTGTGGATGTACCCACATTGATTGATGACTGACTTGAACTAGGTGAACTTGGAATAGTAATTGCCTGAGTACGTATCCTTGGATCTTGAACCAGAGGTTTCGTCTCTGGACTTCGTAGACGTGCGAACCGCGCCGCAAGATCGGTCTTTGATGGGGATGGAATGGCATTTCCATGAAGGGCTTGCGGCTTCGGCTGGATAATTGGCTTCAGTCGCGATTGCGCATTGTTTGGTTCATTCTGCCCCTCTGATTCATGAGTGCTTAAATTATTTCCATTAAAACTAGGCGCTGCTTCGGATTGCGTTCGATTGTGGCCGTTCACCGGCCCAGTTCCCCGATTCCCAGCGCCATTCTCCTGCAAGGTTCTCGTCCTGGTCGGCTTCACCCCAGTTCTTTTGTTGTCCTCCCTGATCATTTTTTTGACATTTGAGAACTTCTCGTCTTGTGCAGAAATTCTTTTCATTAATCCATGGTATAGTCTGAATGCTTCGCCCGCTTTTTGGATCCCAGGATAGTCTTTGTGGCGTGGCACGATTTCTACCGCAATGATTGAGGCTTTGATATATTCTTCCAGCGCAATGTCCGGACGTCGAAAGTCGAGGTGAGTGTCTGCTTGTTTCGCGAACATATCCCCAGCCAGGAGAATGGTTTTGATGGGGGCGTTGATGTTAATATCTGGGCGAACATTGACCAAGTCGTCCAGGTGCGGAAACGCTCGACTTCCTCCCTTGATGCCATCCGCAGAACTCTTCATAGTGGTTGGGCCGCCTCCATGAATAGAGATCGCTCTCGTGTGGGGAGCGCCCCCAAGTGCTGCCGGGCTCATGTTAACTTCGCGGTGGCGGGGAGCGGGAGCATTTCGAGATGCAGAGGAAATCAGGACGATGCAATAGCAAAGCCGGATTTTCTAGAGCAAGTGGCCAAGCGGTACGGAATCGAGACTGTATAATAAGGAAATTTCGAGAGAAGGCAGGTATGGTCGTACTTGGGCTATGAGTGGTATTCACGGCCGAAGACAAAGGGAAATGCGATTCGGTTCGAGTGGGAGCAAAATTGGAGTCCGAGGCGGAGGAAGGTGGAAGAAGGTAGCGATGTGGTCGTCGTCGAAGGTTTGTTGCGCGCCGCACATTCTTGGTATGTGGGCGGACCTAGACAGGAGTTGACAGCATTCCTTGAATATTTGTGAATCGAGGACGACGAGCGCCGACGATGAGCGACGACGTCTGGAATTACGAGTAGCAGCGGGAAAACTGCGGCATTATCTAAGCGGACGTCACTTTCCACCTTTCTCTGGGGCCGGGGCGAGGCTGGGGCTCGACCTTGACGCCCGCGATTCACCTGCACCGAATAAAGCTGCCTACAAACCATCCACGACGCTCCGCACCAGATCATCGATTATACACGAACATTGCTGCACGCCCTCAGCACCTTTGTTCGGCGACAATATAATATATCCTTCTCGCGGCACCCCTTTCACCACAACCATTGCCGCGCAACCTGCCCAACATGATGTCGGGGTGGTTTGCTTCCTCCTCACAGCTCGATGAGCAAATCGACAAAGCCACATCGAGCTCGCTGTACGTGCTCTAATCGAAGAAAGCCCGGCCGAGATGGATATGTGCTTCTCATGGCTGACTTGTTGTAGGGAAGACATTGCTGCAAACCTCGAGATATCCGACAGTATACGATCAAAAACGGTGGGAGCGAAGGAAGCAATGCGCTCGTTGAAACGGCGCATAGGCAACAAGAACCCCAACACGCAATTAAGTGCTTTGAGCGTTGGTGGCATTTCATTCTCGATGAAGACTGTGCTGATGATTTACGTAGCTCACAGACACCTGTGTCAAAAATGGCGGTTCCCATTTCCTAGTGGAAATAGCTTCGCGGGAGTTTATGGATAATTTAGTGTCGCTGCTCAAGGCATACGGAGGAGCTGCTGTGAACGATGACGTCAAGAACAAGATCCTCGACCTTATACAGACTTGGGCGACAGCGACAGAGGGGCGTTACGAACTATCGTACATCGGGGAGACCTACAAAGGATTACAGCGAGAGGGCTTCCATTTTCCACCAAAGGTCGATGTGGCTAGTAGCATGGTAGATAGTAGCGCTGTAAGTCCAAAGTGTTCTTATTGCTTTCCACGATTGGTCGCTAACATATCGTTGTCAGCCCCCAGAATGGGCGGATTCAGATGTTTGTATGCGATGCCGTACCGCTTTCAGTTTTACGAATCGAAAACACCACTGCAGGAACTGCGGCAATGTATTTGATCAGCAATGCTCTGCCAAGGTTCTTCCTCTGCCTCACCTTGGAATTCTGCAACCTGTCAGGGTCGATGATGGATGCTACATAAAGTTAACGGACAAATCGTCAAAAGGGGGCTCCTTTGGCAAGGATCGCCCATCGCATTCGCACAAATCTAAATCGCACGCTCATGGATCTATGCAGCCTCGAAATGCGCGAGTGGACGAGGGATTTGACGAGGACCTGAAGCGAGCTCTTGCAATGAGTTTGGATGAAGTCAACAACCATTCCAGGGCCGGGTATGTTCCACAGTCGCAACGCCAATCAATTTCGAAGCCATCCATTACGAATGGCGCGTCGAAATCAACGTCGAATAAGCCAGTCGAGGAGGATGATAGTGACTTGGCAGCTGCTATTGCGGCATCTTTAGCGGATATGGAGGAGCAAAAGAAGAAACATGCGGCAACTATGAAGGCACAGACATCAAATGCGAACTCGAACTCAGCTAAATTTAATTTGCCCAAGAACGACTACGAGTTGACACCAGTGGAAGCCGAGAACATCAACCTCTTCTCGACCCTAGTCGACAGACTCCAGACTCAACCACCAGGTACAATCTTGCGAGAACCTCAAATCCAGGAACTATACCACAGTATTGGTGCTCTTCGTCCGAAGCTTGCTAGAACTTACGGAGAAACCATGAGCAAGCACGGTAAGCATAGAAAACTACCTCGTGAGGATCATAACTGACAATCGTAGATGCTCTCTTAGATCTGCACGCCAAACTTTCAACCGTTGTGCGGTACTACGATAACATGTTAGAGAAGCGTTTAACGGACACGTACAGCCAGCATACAATCGGCGGATATGCTCGTCCTTCCGCAAGACCTACCTCAACCATGTATCCGACCTTGAACTCGAATCCACCTCCAATGGGAATTTCTGGTGGCGCAGAGAGCTATTACACTGGCAATGCGCCTTCGGAATCGTACGGACGACCACAATCGACCTATTCATATGCTTCGCCTGCGCAGCAGTATAGTGCCGCACCAAGGGACGCTCATCAAAATCCGGGTTTTGCACCACCGACTCAGCAGCAGACTTCATATTCCCACCACCCACCACAGCCAATAACTAGCCAACCATCACATCCGCAGAGGACAGCTAGCTGGCAAGCCAGCAACTCTTCATCTGCGCCTTATGCTTCCCATCAGACGACATATGCGCCCGAAAATGTATCAGACCATCAAACTACTCAATTTACCAACGCCCCTTCGCAAACACCATCCAATTATCCCCCGACTGCTCCTGCAATAACCCCATCGGCGGATCCTAATGCCGCATTCTATTATGACAACAACGCACATCAAGCTCCTCCCCAGCAAATGCTCGCTGACTCGACGTTGCCACAGCATCCTCATGCCCAGTCGCCTCAACAGTATCATAAAGTTGCAGCACAGCCTCAGGTTTCTCAACAGTACGAACAAGCGCCGCCCAATCCACAGCAACAAACCTCGCAACCAAATCCACAAGCATCGCAACAACCAGCGCAACACCAGCAGCAACAACAGCCACCTCAGTACTGGCAGCCACAGCAGAATCAACAATCATGGGCACCACAGCCAACTAGCAATGCCGGCTATACCAACGATTCATTTCCTTCGGCGCCTCATCATGCTCTACAACAGCCACAGCTTGTGGAGGAAAGCCTTATAGAATTATGAACAATATAGATGGAAGCGATGGCGTTTACGGAATCTACGGAAAAAGTAGGGAGGGGCGTCTTTACGCTGATTCGGTTTAGGAAATCAAAGGCAACCGCACTTGTATCAGTATCCTTGAATGTATATAATGAGGCATCTAGAATGAAACTATGCCATGTTGTTTCGGAGTATAAACCTGAAGAATTTTAACTCTTGTGACTATTGAGGATACAGAAAAGCAGCCTCTTCCAGGTTGCAGGTGATCTTTACGGACGCTGGCTACAGTTGGTGGTGAAGCGCACTGTGGGGGTTTTGCCGGGCGGTGAAACCTGTCAACACTTGCTGCATTTGACCCCGCCAAAATATCGAGCACCACCATCGATCTAGCATTAACACCGTGCGATACTCAAGAAGGTGTTCCTCCGTCAATTTAGGCATCTCTATTTGACCAACTACCATCGCCAATGTTAATCTTTTCTCCCCGGTGTTAACCAGAATAGTTCTAAACATCCCCAAGATGTCTCGCCACAAGATAATCCACAATCTTGACCTAGATGATGAGCTGGACGACTTCGACGGTGGAGATGACTACGCTGATGGTGGAGAAGGCGACGGTGAGTACCAATATAACTCTGCTCTGCGAAATCAATGGACCTCAGCAGCTCACATTTCTTTACAGGTCTCACAGAAGAGGATCAAGGTATCTATCTACCCCTTCAGCAATGTACTGCACCACACGCACTTACCTGAACCTCAGAGCACATGCGACAAGGAACCATAGACGTACGATCGAATCTCCCTCCTACTGCAGCGAACGTTACGGATAAGCAGATACAAGAATCGCTATGGCACTACTACTATGATGTAGAGAAGACCGTCAAATATCTGGTATCCACAGTCGAGAAGGCGCAGAAAGTATCAAAGAAGGCCACGGCAGGCAAAGCGCAAGGTGGGTTATTTTCTTTTGCAAGCATGGAAATCTGTGGGAGCGATGCGTATACAAGTCTTGGATCCGTCGGAGGTGGGTTCGAATCTCTGTTCCTGTAACAAATAAATGTACAATGTGCTAATTCCAGGGTCGTAGGCCGGTACTTGCAACAGGCCGAGGTGGTTGGTGGTGATGCTCTTCAGTTTCAAAGGTCCTCTTTCCAGGATTTCTTTCATGATACCCCCTGGCTCAACATCCCCAAGGACCGAGAAGCCATCTTCACTCCCCCCCCTCATCCTAGGGGTGGATTACTAGGCGGATCTTCTGAGGGAGCACCGAAGATGTCCAAGCTTCAAGCGTTAGCAGCGGCAAGGAAGAAAAAGGCGCAAGAAGACAAGTCGGGTTCAAACACTGGAGTGGAAACACCGCTTGCAAATCTGAAAATCAAGGACGATGTGCCGCCTAGCAGTAACCCTGCCACTAGCCACACTGCATTGCAAAGTCGTTTATCAAAGCCAACTTCTAGAGGGTTTCCCACTCGCAAACGAAAGGACTCCAATGAGCACGAGAAAGTAAACAAGCCACCTACTCCAACGAGGGTATCACAGCCTTCAACGCCGGCTTTCCCCGAAGTCACGTCGGAAGTTGATCAATGCGAACCATCAGCGTTTGCCAGTACCATGTTCAGTAACCGGCCCGAGACATCACGACATTCGAAAAACAACTATTTCACACTTAACATCGCTGCGAATACATCAGTTACAGCAGCTAACCCCTTCGCAGGCCCAAGTCCCGACGATATTGTTATTGCGGCTCAGTCGAAAGGTTCGACGAACTCTGCTAGGACAAAAAGCCACGACTGACCACACAGCAGCTAATGGAAAAGAGAACAAAAAGGCCCCTAAGACGAATGGAGAAAAACGAGCAGACCAGATTGCAGCTGGTGTTGAGGCGATAAAGATGGATGACACACCAAGAGCGAAGAGTAAAAATCTGAACGTCCTCGCAGAATTCGAGAAGGCCAAAGCGAAGAATGCCGCCAATTTTGTTGTTATTGGTGAGACTTCTCGAGCTTTATGAACGTTTGACCTAATTTTTCTAGGTCATGTCGACGCTGGTAAGAGCACATTGATGGGGCGCTTATTGTACGATCTTAAAGTTGTCGACCAGCGTACGGTTGACAGATATCGAAAGGAAGCGGAAAAAATGGGGAAATCATCGTTTGCTTTAGCATGGGTTCTCGACCAAGGCTCGGAGGAGCGGGCTCGAGGTGTTACTATCGACATTGCAATGAATAAATTCGAGACAGAGAAGACCTCTTTCACCATTCTTGATGCACCGGGCCACCGAGATTTTATACCAAACATGATTGCTGGAGCAAGTCAAGCTGACTTTGCGGTTCTTGTCATTGACGCAAGTACAGGTTCTTTCGAATCTGGGTTAAAGGGCCAGACGAAGGAGCACGCCTTGTTGGTAAGAAGTATGGGCGTACAACGCCTTATCATTGCTGTAAATAAGTTGGATACTGTCGCCTGGTCCGAAGAGAGATTCAGAGAGATATCAACTCAAGTTTCAGCTTTTTTGACTGCTGCAGGCTTTCAGTCCCGAAATATTGCCTTCATACCATGTTCTGGATTGCAAGGGGATAACATAACCAGAAAGTCCACCGAGCCGGCAGCTTTATGGTATAAAGGACCAACATTAGTCGAGGAATTAGACAATTCCCAACCCGCGAGCCGAGCTTTGTCGAAACCGCTACGGTTATCGGTTGGAGATATCTTTCGAGGTGGCGTGCAGAATCCTCTTTCTGTATCTGGACGGATAGAATCTGGATCGCTGCAGATGGGCGATGCTCTATTAGCGCAACCATCGTCACAAAAGTGTTATATCAAATCAGTAGAGCTCGATAACGAACCTGCTGATTGGGCTGTCGCAGGGCAGAATGTTACCGTACATCTATCAGGAATCGAAGAGCAATACCTCAAAGTTGGTGATGTGTTATGCAGTCCTTCGAGCCCTATCAAAAATATCTCACGATTCACAGCCAAGGTCCTTGCATTTGAGTTCGTAACTCCCATGCAAATTGACATTCATCGGGGGAGACTTCATACGCCTGGTCGAATCATTGAAATCGTGGCTGTCTTGGACAAGCACACAGGTGCTCCTGTTGGAAAGAAGAAGCCCCGCGTTGTGAAGCCTGGATTGGTCGCGAGAGTTGTGGTTGAGCTTGACACTGCAGTGCCGCTGGAAGCTCCTAGCCGGGTTGTCTTACGCAGTGGTGGTGAGACGATTGCAGCTGGTTTGCTCGAATAGAGTTACAAGAAGTTTGCCTCCTAGATATCCTTTTACCCGGACGTGGTGGCTTCCAGGCTCGACGAGAGAATCAAAATTCTAGACCAATACTAATTATACGTATCCGATTGAGATTCTTGTTTCATAATTCAATAATTGCCGGCCAACATTTTAATTCTATTCTAAAGGTTTACGATTCTACCAACTCACTACACCCCAGCGGTCCAATTAACAATCCATGTGGACCGTGGGTCGATCCGTCGTCCAAGGATGATACGACGTAACAGCAAACGTTATTTATTTCGCACTGTAAATGGATGCCAAACTCGCTCCTTCCTTCAGATTACCGTTGAGTTGGATGGAACTGCCATTCTCCTGGAGGTGATGTTCATCTTTCTTGGCCCTTCCCTGCCTCAACAAGATGCTGACGTTGAACCACAATGCCGAGCATGATAGTCTAGTGCAAATTATCAGCAAAGAAGACTCTCACAAGTTATGTGTCCGAGTAAAAGCGAGTCGGATGTGAAAGAAGTAACCTACAACTGAGACGACACGAACATGATCACCACAACCCACAACAATTTTGTTTTCTTCTCTGCATACTTGGCTGAGGCAACTGTGATCACAGTCGATCCAGTCCACAAGAATGTCAACACCGCAAGTATAATGATCGATTTCCTCACGGTCGGTTTAAGGAGTTTTGCGATCATCAAGATAGGTGTAAGGAGCGCCTATTTACAGTTAGCAAAAGTCGCTGTAAAGAAAGAATGAAGCATACACAAATCAACACGGCTATAGCAGCATGCTGAATATGCTCTGAAATGTTCTTTCTCAGCGCTAGTTGTGCTGAGATGCCGACGAGTCCGAATGAACTGATCAAGAGGAGAATTGTCGGGATGATTTCTGTGAGCTGAAGTCTGGCCATTTTGAAGTTTCCGCTGTGTTTTTCTTGGAATTTATTTAATTTAGAAGGTAAAATCACGACAGAGAGTGTAGTGAAAAGAGAGGAAGGGCGACGATATAAGACTAGGAACCGAAGGCAACGCTACATCTGCCTCAGCGAAAGTTGAATCATCTGTCCCTGCCAAGCTGTGCGTTCGATACACGGCTACGCTTATCTTTTTATCATTTCAGAGGACGAGAAGAATTTTCAGTGGTTTCAGGTCGCTGTTGGGTTTTGACTCTGTTTTGGTGGGTGGGTTGAAGGATTATTCTGAGGGGTCTGAGATCCTGAAGGAGTGGTGGGCGGTTTCGGATGCAGGGGTGGATTGTTGGTGACACAATATTTCGTTATTGAATGATTAAGAGTTCTTCTGTATGATAATTCTTCCGCGATATCCTGATGGAAGTTTAATGTAAACGATGTAAGGTGTGTACGGGCGAGTTAGAAACACTGTAAAAAGTGTATAGTGACTTGCTTAATTAAGAGCCTTAAGCATTTCTGGTCTGAACAATGTGCACGAGAGGCTTAGGTTGTAATGTCGTCTGTCGGGAGCGGGGTAGTATCATTGTGCTGCAGCAACTTCATATCTACGAATAAGCTGTATGAAGAATGTCAGCCTTGTCTATCCTCTCACCGAGTCTTAATTACTTTCTCCTACGCCAAGTTATTGATTGAGCCTCGCGAACTCTTGCATTATTGGCCATCGTCTATCAAGTTCTGATTCCTTACATAAACACATATGATTGGGGTCCAGGAGCTGTTACAAGCATAGCTTTTTGGTCTATTCACACTTTATGTTATATCTTACAGTGGCATTTACATGCAGATCGAGCGGTAAGCACTCTTCCCTAGCTTTATCATTCAGATTTGAGAAATGGTGAAGAAATTTGATATGTCATCTCTATTTGGCGTACAGTGAGTAACCTTTGCAAGAGAATGCTATTCGGAGATGTAGAGAGAGGACCTGAATTTTGGGCGCAGACTTATTACTCTATTAGTCTGGGCATTTTATGATTAATAACTGATCTTAATAACTGATTTGAATGGATCTCATTTATGTTAGCTATGGGCAATGGCTATGAGGGGCAAGTAATATGGATTCTTCCGTCTTATGTGGCACAAATCAAAGTGCCAGCCTTACCCAAAGATTAAATCAGACAATGATCGACTTATTACTTTGTCATTGTCCTACATAAGTACGTAACATGTTTATTTCAATCCTTGGTTACGCAGGAGAAAATGGCATTTAATGAATGCAAGCTCTTTTTTCCATCTAATGAGATGAGTACTGACACACACAATACGTCTTACTTGCGTCTATGTCCAAGAACATATGCGCTCACACAGCAAAAGCTCGGCGTAGCATTCGGCCGTCTGATCAATTCGGAAGATCACTTCAATACATTCTTTTCGTCCAAAAAATCGAGATCTCATGGGAGGGGAAGGCCAGTCTTGGGATATAAAGTCCTCGAGGTGCACCCTCCAACACTCGCCCAAGCCAAAGCTCATCTCAATATAAAACAAATATCTACCTTCAAAACATAAATGAACCACAACGCAGCCATGAAGTTCACAATCATTTCCCTAGCACTCTTTTGCACCTCCATCCAAGCTGCCGCCACCGGCGCAAACAACGCCTTTGTTGGCTTGACTGCCTCGCATGAAGGTCCCGGCTTCGATTCAGCGACTGGCACTGAAGGTGCTCAACTTCAAAACCTCAGCGGTCAGAATACCCATTATTTTGGAATAATGAAACAAACTGACAATGTAGATTTGGTGAATGCGCCTGCAGCCTGCCCTGCCTCAAGACCCCGTGCATGCCTGCCTCCATACACAGGATATTGTTGCAGTAATGCATATCCTTGGTGTTGTGGCACCTTCTGCTGCCCCAATGGGTATCGTTACTGTGGGAGTGATGGACGGTGTTATTCTAGCTAAGTAGGTCGAGATGTGTGAAATGTTGAGATTTTCGAGCTAATGGAACTGCAGGCCATGAAAATGGTGGGAGGATGAATCAGTGAGGAGTTATAGTAGTCTCCCGAGGCCACTTGTGCTTTTTGATCTCTGACTGAGGAAAAATGGAATGAGAATTGCGGAGGGTGAAAAGTAGTTTCTTTCTTTGCACTGTGGGGGTTCAGTCTTTACTCAATTTTCATCCAGTCGAGGATTTAGTCTGGGTTTCTCTTACGGCAATTTGGAAGTTATCAACTCGCTATTACTTCATCTCATCGGCAAGTCTCCAATATTCATAACAATACAAACCCGTACTCAGTAACGGCGTAACGGTGATGAAGAACTGATCTCATTATATCGTGATCTACCATCTTGAATAACTCCTACAAGGAGATTTTTGTGGGTTTCAATTACACGGTATTCTTTTCAACAATCGTTCATCCAGTACGATGTGTTCATCGGTTCTTCCAAGTCAAAAACCGTGGCAGAAGTGCAATTCGTCCACAGAAAAGTGGTTTTCTCTAATTGATCCAGAAAACATTCTTGTTCTTTTGTTGCACAAATCATCAGACGGTCGCCTGGTAAGAAGCGATTCTAAATCGTCTCTTTTACTACTGATCCTTTGATGATATTCGAATTTTCTACTAGCTCAAAGTATACTTCAGTCGTGATACTAAAAGAACTATGCATGGCATACTCTTAGCAATGTGAGCTATGGGTGAAACTTTCACTACGTTTTCGACCTTACCTATCCTTCCTAAAGTTTATAACTGATATACAGGTGATGCAAATTGCGTGATATATATATATATGTTTTCTCCGATAAAGATTAAGAGGTACCTTTTTGGCGCTCTCGACATCTGCCGCTGGAGCACATATCCTTTACTTTGGCTAGCATGGAGGTCATTGAAAGTTTGTTCTATATCGTTTAGTATCGCGGACTCAAAAGAATGATATCCATACTCGGAAAACTGCAACGAAAGTAAACCTTGAACTTTATAAATGAGTGTCTTACGTCGTTGTTGAATATAGTTAGACTTTGAGCGATGACAGTGACAGAAGATTCCCTAATACAATTGCGGGTGTTCCAAATTTTCTGGAACAATTGAGCAGATTAGCAACCATTTAACCAGGCATTAACAGCTGAGGTATCGTAGGCAACATCCATATACTCTGCCCTTCGATCCCCATTCAAGTCCGCAAACTGCACTCCCTTCCCGTTCGTTCCAACTCCAGTTGCAATGGTACCACGTTCTATCCAGACTACTTTTGCGTCATTCGAGCCTTTGTCCAACGGCCCACCATTTCGCCACAATTTGACACTACCGTCTGTCCGGGAAACCGCAAGATAATCGGCTCGCTTATCGCCATTCACGTCCGCGAAGATGACATTCTCTCTTCCCATCCCGACACCTGTTGCGATCTTTCCCTGTGGCAACCAGATTACTTTTGCAGCATTTGGACCATTGTCAGGGCCACCGGCGTTCAGATAAGCTTCCACAGACCCATCCTCATATACATAAAGATATTCCGCTCTGCCATCTCCGTTTATGTCGGCGAAGCGTACTCCCGCTCCATCTTTGCCAATACCGGTTGCAATTGTGCCTTGTGGTAGCCAACCGACCTTCCCAGCGTTTGGGCCGTTATCAGGGCCTCCGAGATTGAGCCAGCAGTCGACGCTTCCATCTTCGTGAACCCAAAGGTATTCCGCTCTACCATCGCCGTTGATGTCTGCAAACTGTACGCTTCCACGTGTGCCTCCAACACCCGTGGCAATCGTGCCTTGAGGAAGCCAGGTAACTTTGCCAGCTTCTCCTCCTTGATTAGGAGATCCAAGATTAAGGAATGCTGTCACAGCTCCTATACTGTCAACATGAAGGTATTCTACTCTACCGTCGCCGTTCAAATCAGCAAAATGAACGGCGGTAGCAGTAGGAGATTTCACCATTTCGATGTCGCATTTCTTGGTGGATTGGAATAGCTCCTGAGTCAAAGGCACTTCCTGTTTTTGACAATTGCAGAGTTGAGTTTGTGCACTAGTCGAGTTAGTCTTGAAGCTTTTTCTTTTGGTTGGAAGAACTTACTTGAGAGTGCAGGACGAACTGAGCCATGTGTTAGCTCCCAAGCCTCCGCCACTTGCAATTTCACCCTGCGGCATCCACCATACCTCGCGTTCGCAAGATGGGGCTGATGGAACAGAGACTTCCGTCGGTGCTACTGGATCTTGAACCCAACCCATTGAGTTGGCTGCCGTCAAAGCAATTGCCCACTTAACGGCCATCTTGTCGTATCCTGCGTCGCTTGGGTGCAATCCATCGGCCATATCCTGAACTCGCACACCAGAAGGCATGTCAACAATGATAACATTTTGTTCTCTCCGCAAAGCTCGGTCTCTCATTCTTTCCGTAATGGCCTTGTTGTATTCCGAAATTAGAGATGCAAGGCCGGAATCCGTCGATGGAATGATTCTTGCAACGATGATTGTTGCATCGGGACAAGCAGAAATTAGTTTCTCAACGAGCGAATCCAATCGCTGCGGTGCAGATGACGGATCAAGATGAAGGTTGAGATCATTAGTTCCCACGTGAAGTAAGATCACATTTGGTCGCTGTCCGTAAGCGCCCGTGTATGTAGCAACTTGGTCAATAGTGGCAGCGTTATGACCCTCGTTGTTGTTATTGGCCATCGTCCCAGCTTGTACAGTACCTATCATTTCAACCGTATTCCCCGTTCCTTCGAGAATGGTTTTCAAAGCTTGCCGGTACCCGTTACCGTCAGAGCTTTTGAAACCATAAGTGATGGAGTCTATGGATATGATTAGATGTTGGTTAGAAACAGAATTAGGAACCGTAAGCCTACCTCCAAGTGGAAGAATTCTGAGCTTCTTCCCCCCTAAAAATCCGAAAGGAGTGTAATCACCAGCGGAAAACGCGATCGCTTCGTCGTCAGAGATTTCTTGGTAACTGTGTAAACTACAAAAAGGTCAGTTTCAAAGCCTCAGCGCATCTTAATGTGGACTGGGAACTTGTTACGTACGTCGGATTCGGATTGCTAGTCTCGCCATCAGTGGGAGTCCTGCCATCGTTATAGAAATCATCTGTAAATTCTTCCGGTTGTGGCAAGGGATCTGGCTCTCCTCCAATGGGCACTGGTCGGCGTGGGGTTGGGTCTGGATCCCCCCAGAACTGTCGAAACCACATTGCAGTTGCATACCATGCGTAAGTATCAGCTGGCCAAACATGACTGCGTTAGCACGATATCTCATTATTTAGTGTAAACGAATGTCTTACCATTCTTATGGGTGTATTGAGGAAATCTTTTGGCAAACGCCTCCACCAACTCCGCGCCGTAAACGCGACGTCCAGTTTGATCATAAGGATTTTGGTTCATATCAATTACGTCGGCTATGGCTTGTCAGCATACAACATACTGAAATGTTTTCTTTCAGTTGCAAACTTACTGTACCCCATAATATGCAAGTGAGTCATCTCGTGAAAAACAACGTGAGCTCGAGTCCGGAACCATGGCAATTTCTTCTTCAAGTCTGGATTCTTCTCTATCTCTGATTGCTTTTCGTTCAGTGCCACATTTGAGAAGAAAGGCGCACAAAAAATGATTTGCGCCTTTCCCCCCAGACTGAGTGCGTATGCAGCTATAGGCTTTTCACCACCGTCAACTTGCTTGCCGCATCTGACATTTTGATACGGATTTGGTTGATCCTGTTCGCAAAACACTTCTATCTTATCGCCCCGCCAGTCCTTCTTTTGTTAGAAACATTTTTGCCGGTATCAAAGGGAAGGTTGTTAAAGAGACATTTATCTAGGACCGGGATATGAATGAGAGACAACTTACAAAGTAATCCCAAGACCACGGGTACCAGTTTGCTGCGTTACGGAAGATTGCTGTATGACTTAGCATTTGTGATGTGAAAGTGACTTATTTCACATACTCTTAATTTGATCTCGCTTTTCATTGCTTTTGGGTACATCCCCGAAAAACCTTTTCTCCATGACCCCCGCCGCTGCTTGGTAGGGTATTCCAAGGAAACGGTTGGTAAGGAAGGGATTGACCAATCCTGTCATTTGAAGCATATCCCGATAACCGGATTTGATGATGTTTTCTCCTGTGGAGCCTCCGTACTTTTTGGAACATCCTCCGTAGCTCTTGAAACTATTGCGCTGATGGAGAGTGGCATTGTGCGGAACTGCGGGACGATCATGAATTGTGATTGCTGCGCGTTTTTGGATCTTGTTTGAAGCGTGAGGACTCGCAAGAGCAATGGAGAAAAATATAATTGCTGATATAGCAAGCTCCAAGGATAAGAGAACCTTCATATCGACTGAAGCGCGATGAGATGGTGATGACTTCTGTTGAAAATAATGTCTACGTGATGGAGAGAGACATCTTTATACAACCGTTTTTGAGATTTTTCCCAACCAGGGTACTATATTAACTTTATCAGCTGAATCCTGCCGCTTAAGATGAAAACTCAAATCTGACACCAATTGAAAAGCATCTTCATGTTGCGATACCAGGCGCGATAATGAATACAGCTGCTTTCGTCTCGTCTCTGGATGACAAATGGTGACTGATACATAGGTACATGGTTTCTGATCGAGTAAAAGATCTCGTCATCTTGTTCAAACGTCCCAAGCTACTTGGCAGTGCGCCTCACCGTCGGGTCCTTCACAGACGCGGCTGACCATCAGATCTTTATACATGGTTCAGCGAGATTTCTAGCGGCTTCTTTTGCCAGCGTTACATTATCTTACATCAGCAAGCGACAGCTTATGTCTTCCAAGCTTTGTGGCGTAGAATATCGAATGTTCTTACATCAGCCGCTATGCGAAGTGCATTGATGGGCCGATTAAGGTTATTAGGTCTTGGCAACTAGTGATGATTCCTGAATAACAACTAATTAACCAAGATCGCTGATGATTATGATTGTAAATATACTCTAACAACTCGAGATTGTGGTGTCAGATAAAATTTATGATGAGGTTGTAGCGTATTTTAACATAGAACCTAGCCCTTCGGCCAACTACATCGGCTCGCGATGGACAAAATAAGTGGCAGTTGAAACACGGTATTTCTTCGGTTAAGTTGACGAAATATCGTTATTTAGTGTATTAATTTGGAACAATATAAGATATTTCGTCAATTATTTTAAGTAAATAATAAGACTTCTTACGCTCTGTTCGAAGTCGACTTATTTAGTCCAGGATTACTAGGCGGGTAACTGACAATCATTTTGTCCTCCGCGAGATCGGCTATAAGCTATAAAAAATAACTCTCTCCACTGGAGGCTAAGATTAGCTACCGTAAATTGAGTAAACAGTTACCTAATCTGAAACTTTACCTTGCCTTATTCTGTAGCTTACACTACAAGACTTTGATCGGCCCGAAAAAAGCTTGAATATTGAATACAGAAAAAGCCCGTGGTTTTGATTACGAATATAACTTCCACAAATAAAACGATTACTGATGATAAAATTTGTAGTAATTGAATTAATTGCAAAAACCAACTAGTAAAGACTGAACTATGAAGTTCTAATTAGTCGGACTCACTGCCTTCTCCGGCGTGTTGGCTGACAGATTGTAGTCGAATGTCACATGGTGTTTCTAACCGTCAATGACAAACTAAAAGATCATTGATCTTGCCACTTCATTAGTCACAGAGAGCTGCTGCCTATCCCGGTAGATTGCCGGTTGACCCAAGTGGAAATTCGCACTTCAAGCAATCCAATAAAAATTTACAGATGTAAAAGGAATTCGAAGACTGAAAAGGTGGTTATTTAATCATTGGTGTAACTTAGAAGTCACGTCTATCAAGTTAGAAATCAACCTCTAAATCACATCCTCTTTAAAGCCAATCTTTCTGGCCCTTCTTCGTTAAGTCAAAAACAAATTCTTAGCAATCTACAAGCTTACCACAATTGTGGAGACACAAAAAACAAACATACCATCGCTATAACCCAATACTCCATTCCTCTTGTTTTCTTCCATCCTCCTAGTCCTTCAAAGTACATATGTTTCCTGGTAATTCTTTCTCGGTACTATCAGTCTCTTCTGCATGACAGGGACATTGCTATCCTATGTTCCGATCCTCAAAGGATATTCGCCGCCTTGCTTTGACTTAAACACCTAGATGATGTAATTAATATAAGGATTGTCAAGGGAGGAGAATTTTACTGACTCCAAGTATCGAGCTTTGGTAGTATTTATATGGCGTCCTCAGGCTTGTCCTTGAGGGCATCTTTAGCAGACTTTGAGTCGACTTTCTTGTTATTTACGATCTGCAGAATTTGTAAGTTCATATTCCAGCCTTGAAAAAGATACCATCAACTTACTGGAGTCAGAGCTAATTTGGCCGTATATGCCTTTAAAATCGCCTTTGCCTCTTTGGTTTCCGTTGCAGTTGCCTTCGTCTTTCCAAAAGCCTTGGCAAGCTTCTGGACTACAGCGGCTTCATCTTCCGATGATGTCCCTGACGATGAAGCTTTTCCTGACGAGCCGTCTTCGTCTTCAGAAGTTGCAGAGCCCGCGTCCTCTTTATCCGTCTTCTTGCCCTGAGACTTATCCGCCGCCAGCGCCGCCTTCTTGGCCGCCGCCTTCTTCTCCGCCGCCGATAGAACTCGCTTCTCCAGTGTACTTTCCGCAACTACCGCATTGGAATCTTTCGCGACTCCCATGCTGGAATATTCGGCGACGTCAATGCTGGGATCTGCCTGCTCTGGGACCGCCAATGCTGCAGCTGAAGAGATGCTCATTAGAAGACCGATGGCAACAAAGGAGAAACGCATGATGAACTCGGGTGGTGGGACTTCTTGATGGAATGTAACGAAAAGATCAAATAAGAGGATGAAGGTTGATGGGATGTAATGTAAAAATCAAATATGCAGATAAAGTGCAAGTCACGTCGAGTCTGCAAGAGTGATCTGATTGTTGTACTGTTTGGTGTGGATGTTTGTAATGAAGTGGAAGATGATGAGTGGGCGAGATTGATGCAGTCTTATATAGAAGGAGAAGATCTATTTGCATTGAGAGGATCACTCACATGTTTGAGTTGTCATTCAGGTAGGAAACGGATTCACCGGTCGAGATGACTGCGGAAGGAAAAGTTGACGTTGAGAATAGGGATTGCGGAAGAGGATGGTGATGTGGAGGGCAGAGGACCGCAGCACGAGTCGTAGGTTATTCTGAGGTTATTGGCATACTTGGAGGTGGATGGAGGTGGTGGTGGAGATGGTGGAGATGGTGATCGTAAGGTGATCGTAAGGATGGTGTTCTTGATGTAGTTTGATGGCAGGATGGGAGGCTGAAAGGGATTGAGGCGGAATCTCGGATGATTGGCTCCACCACGCTTTAAGGTTGTTTGGAAATACAGTAATAAATAACCTTACCCCACCCCGCACCCCACCGCACCCAAGGTACAGCCTCCTTGCGCGCTTATTTACCACCATGCGCTTCCACCGCTCACGTGCCGTCACAATGGTTGGAGTTCACATAACCTTAAGTCAGGTTTAATTGTTCGCCAACAGGGGCGTTTATACTGCTTCAGAGTAGTTGATAGGGTATAAAATCACTTTCCATGAATGAAGAGACTCGAAGATATCCCGACTCGTACCTACCCACCTACCAGAACCCATGAGGACGGAGTGTACGTACAAGCCCACATGCGTGGCGCTGTTCATTGAGGTGGGACTCAAGAGGGCCTGCGACTCGGGACATCCTGGAATAACGGAGACAGCTGGAATACGCAGAAAACTTGGAATACGTAGGTACATGTCAAAGGCTGCCATCCTTTGCTCTAGTGCGGTGCACATGCGATCTTCCTTCTTTGGGATGGGATGCGCTCGCATGCTCTATTCTTCCTTCAGCTCTATTGCCTCAATAGATACCTATGTATAAGTAGTGTTGAAGTAATCTCTTTTATCAGTCTTCTTTATTCCATCAAAAACTATCTTTCTTACTTCCATCTACCGGCGGTTTCTCTTAGCATCGCAACTCGCATCTTACCCCTGATAAATCAATCTTTTCTCTCTTAGCCACAACTCTCCAGCAACCACGATGAAAATCAGTGCTCTACAAGTTGGTGGGCTCCTGCTGTTGGGCCCAAACCTAGTCTCCGGTATTGTACTCGGGGTTTCATGTGGTACGTTACTCTTTCTACATAGACCGTAAATTACTTGTACTTTACTGATACCTCCTAGACAAAAAAGAGTACAACATAGACAAAATAGATCCACTTACAGGGAAAAAAGGCAATGTGTGGAAGAGCCTTCTCGAAAACATCATGGACAAAGGAACAGTATCATTCAAAACTTGGAAAAGCGCTTTAGAAAGAAATTTCGACGGTGCGCCAGAGGCTAAGAAGGAATTTGAGTTTCACTTTCCAACCAAAACCGACGAAATTAGGAAAACTCTTATAGGTCTGTTGCTATGAGCTTTTCTCTTTTTTAATTGTCGGAAATCTAATATCAACTATTTAGCAAGAATCACCAATCTACTCGCGGATAAGAGGAACGAAGTGAGAATGCAAAAAACAGCCGACGAGAAGGTTGACCCTAAAGATGAAATTGTAAGTAGATGTACACCAAACTCCGCTTAGCACAAATGTTCCGCTAGCTGATCCATAGACCAATTTCTATAGCTTGTGGAGTGTGATTTGGACATGTTCAAAAAAGAAGATCCCACTGATCCTACAAACGATTGGTATGAGCGAACGATGAATACTGGCCAGAAGGAGCTCTCCTATCTTAGGGCCAGCACTTATGACAGTTGCAAGCTTGACACAAAGGCCGTTTCCAATGGAGTACCAGACGTAAATACTCAAGGTTTTACACAACCTCATAAGCTTGCATATCTCCCTGACCAGTTGTACCTTTGCCCCCAGTGGCTTGCGTGGCTACAGGCGGTGGGTGGCTATCGTCAAGAATCATGGATCTTTACTTCAATGCACAGACAACAGTTGGAGCACATTCCTTCTTATACATGGCCTCAGTCAAAACTTGACAAACAAACGCAGAATGAGATGGTTAGTGAGCAAACGGGAGGGACATGGATAACTGAGGATAAAAGTGAAAGAGCAATATGGACTATTGTTCACGAGGTATATTTTGCCAAGTTCCATGACTTAATATCCTCTACTGACACATTCTATAGCTTACCCATACGGAAAAGTTCAAAGAAGTTGGGAAGTATGGTGATACAGGTACAGAAGATACACCACAAGGCGAGGCGTATGATCGAATCGACATAATGAAGCATCACGAACCAAACAACGCAGGTAAGTTGGCAAGCTATCAAAACGCCTAAAATAATTAATTGACTGGTTCAGATACTGTGGCATCTGCTTTTATGTCCTATTACCGCCTCCTCACTCCTGGGATCAAGATCAAGGCCGATGTTCCCGGCGAGTGGGACCCTAAATGGACGGCGAGTAATTCTAAGACGCTGGCCGTAGGGAAACCAAAACCCGCCAGCGGCGGTTCAAGTTCTGGAAAGAAACCAGTAAGCAACAATCCTTAAGCAGGAAGTCGAGAAATTCGGAAGCCAGTTTAGGATTGGTTATCTGTTGATTTTTCGTTTATCGCATGGTCTATTTAGCGATAGCTACTGTATAGGTGATGCATTTGAAGGCAGCAGGGAAGTCTTTTAAGGAGTTATGAAAGGTCGGGAGCATGTTTTACGCAGAGTTTCGCGTGCTGATTGCTACACTGTATTTAAATTTTCGCGCATTAGATTAACTGAGCTTTTATCTCACCCAAGTCAAATTTCATTTTTAACGTGCCTATCTTCCCAAATGTGAGCATGTATTTGCATGTGGGCACAAAACTCGTAATAGATGTGTCAAAATATTTGCAATACCCTGCAACAGAGCTTACTTATCGACTTATTCTCTAAGCCCAACATATCTGTGAAGTGGATAAAGATTTCCAAGCAAGAATTTTTCGGCTAACTTGCGGTATCAAATATGTTGACTCGATGGGGGCGATGTCCGAAGAATAATCTCGATCAAGTACTTGGATGCTTTTGAAAAAGTTCTTGAGCTACACTATAAGATCCAGGTGCATTTCGAACATCATTCCATTACAACCACAAGTTCTGTACCCGTTGTTTGAGACAGTGAGTTCAACTGCGGAATCAAGAGGCTGATACATGTAATCTTGCTTCTTACAAATCCTGTACGGGTAATATTTCTCGGATTTTCCGTTTGGTGGACGATGTCGGCAAATTATCCTTTCTATGACATTACCAATGATCTGATATTTGCGGCTCATTACACTTCTTGGCATGGCCTCTCCGTGAGCCTTAGATCCTACTCTGCAGAGTTTAAGTTCACTCTCCGAGAGATCAATCCCGACAAGTATTTTTGTAGATGGGTGTCAAGTACAAGACAAGAGTAATAATAGGTCCGCTCAACTTTCAAAACTCTGATAACCCGACAAAACCAAAAAAAAGGCTAATCCTCAAACGAAAACCGCGCTATTTGTTCTGACCAACTCCCAAAATACGGCAAGACGAAGCAACAAAATACCCAAAACCCCCATCAAGTAGAACAATCACTTGATCAAGAACATCGTCATATCTGTATTCAAATCTGCTGGCTTGCAGTCTCTTGCATTGACCAGTCCTTCTTACATTCTCCCTCCTTTCTTCGGATTTTTTGGCCTTTTATCCGACTCCCTCTTCGAGCTTGACTCTTCAGCCTGTGGATCCGACCCTCCTTGCTTTGAAGTTGTCCCTTCTGGATTGGTATTCGACTTCTAAAGTTTCAAAGTGGGCCCAGCCGGCTTCTTGAGTGGCCACTCTGTGGGTATATCATCTTCGTCTATGTCCCACACTACTATATCAAGGTCATCTTCGGGGGAGTCTTTTGCCTTTATAGCTATTTGTTTTTTATGCTTTGCGCATCAGAATTGTCTAGAGTTCAAATTGTTAGCGATTCAAATGTAGGTACTTTTCAGTCTACTGACCCTGATCCATTGCTTTGGGTGCAGCCGGGATCGCTTCAGTTATGCTAATTAGAATATACAGCAAGTACAAACAACTGATTGGTTTCATTACTTCGGCAATAGTGCAGCAATTCTTACTCCCCCTACAATATGTTTATGTGCATGTACAAAGTAGTTGGTACCTTTACAAGCAGGATGAGCCTCTCTATCCTATTGGCATAATTTAGGTTCTACGTGTATTTCAACGAGAAATCCTGGCGGCTTTGTTACACCTGCAACCAAAGTGTGGAGGAGAAGTTGGCCACCCCCTCCGTTCAGGTATTAAATTATTAATAAATGTCTCGTTTTGGTACATAATCCGTGTGCACGTGCCTTGCCCACTTTTGGCCGGATCGGTCGATCTGTACTACCCTGTACCTATGCAGAACCTAGACCTCAGCCACTTCCATCGCCCATAACCCGTTACGATACATACCTATTCGAAAGTCTTGACGAAGGCATTTCTATTATGAGCCATGATATAGGTGCTCCGAATCACTCGTAAGGAAAGGGTGAAGACTCATCTTCTCTCTTTTGACGCTCTTCACCTTGTTTCCTTTCCAACATGGCTGAAGCAACAAAGCAAGCTCTAGGTCCGGCCCCGAAGCTCATCCCGATCTATTGCACCGCGGAGATTCCACCAACCGTAAGCGATCTTCCCCTTTTCTCTTATAGAGCTTCGACGAGATATGAACACCTCTTCCTCCATTAGCTCATCGACACCCTCATCATACGTACTTATATGTATGCCCCACCAAAACTTTACCTCGTCGACGACGCTCGTCGACCCACAGACGCTTTCGACACCTGTACCTTCGCCAAGCCACCAACCGCCCCCTTCACCTCCCCCTTCCTTAACCATACTCTTGCGCAACTCAAGGAACATTTCTTGTCCTTGCCCGACGACAGCCGTTTCTTCAGCGCCTACACCTTCATTGTCCTCGACGAGCGGAGCATTCGGGATGAGACCTGTCTGCTCGTGTCGACTATTCCAGAATACGAGAGCAACGAGGATTTGAGTATTGCGCGATCCGATTTCTACGTTGCTGCCCAGACCTTGATCCCCGTGGAGATGCGTACTCATCGGCTCACCGAAGGTTTAAAGCCTACACCCGGAGAGCCTGACGGAAAGGTTCTCTTCACAGAAGAGAGCATAGTCGAGGAGATGGGCGAGGACTGGAAGATCAAGGATTCGGTGCCGAGAATTGGTCTTAATGGACAGCCGAGGGAATGGCCTGCGAGAGTTGAGGATTTGTAAGTATAGAATATAGCTCAATGCAATTCTCGATTCAGGGCAGGGAAAAACGTCGTCAGGACCAAGAGAATATTAGGATCAAGATATTTCGCTTCTTACCGAGCTCTATAGGCCTATGGACTTAAAGAAGCACCTTAGTAGGAGATATCCGTTTCTAATGCTTTTGTCTGCGAAAAGTTCTCCATCACTCTGCCCAGTTACATCCTGATAAATTGTCCTTCCCTTCTTGAGAGAATATCCTTGAAATGTAAAGCAAGAAAAATATGTAGACACGAATGATGATACGCAGTTGAGAGATTTAGTCTACAATTAGAAATATATTATATCTACGATAGGGTAAAGAAACCCCAGCCACGTGGGTATGTGACGGAAATGACCAGCACTTCAGCGGTAATGATACATCAAATTTCGATCGTGGTTCTCTATTCCGATCATGGGTGTAACATGCTCCTGTCATTTGAGCCACATCGTAACGCCTACGCCAAAAATGCAAATTTCAACCTCCACTAATCCAAACTCTCAAAACGCCCATTGCCACAACTCCAACCCAGACTGAGAGTATTCTTCACCTTCCTTCCCGTTTTGGCTACTGATTTGACCATTGATCTTACACATCTTCTTAATCGCATTTTGTCCTTGGTGTTCCCATGTAATGGACCCTGTGTTCTTGTTGCTTCAAAAGCCGGAGGAGCATGTCCCGAAACCCCCGTGCGGCCATGATACCACAAGAGCCCTTCAGATAGTCCACTAAACTCTAGCTCTTTGGTCGAAATGCCAGTTTTCTCACTGTCACTGGGTATCTCGCCGAACAGGAGGCTACTTCCTTCCGGTTGCTTGGGACTTTTCCGTCGTCCAAGTTTACCGAACTTGGCCTTTAGCGCCATGCCTTTTGACCGCAATCGATTCTGAAATGTCTGCGTTTGCTTTTCACAGGTATCCTCCGCATCGGGCTGCTCGACGTGCAAGAACGCTTCTGAAAAACTGCCCAACTCCTCTAGAAACCCACGAACCACCCCTCTTTCAAGACTCCAACTCAAGAACGAGTTCAATTGCATCTTCGTCCGTTCCAGTCCACTATCCCAAGATCCCGAATCCGAAGTCTCTTGTACAAGTCGCAGCTTATCTTCCATCATAGAGTGTCGCGTTTGAACTTCCCATCCTCTTCTTTCCAAGAATAAGAGAAACTGTGGCCCGGGTTGAGAGAGTAGCATTCGCTTCTGGAAAGCTAACGCCTCTTCATCAGTATAACGTGGGTTAAGCGAAGAAATTGAGCCTTCCCGATCCCATAAGTTTTCCTCGGCTCTAAGAATGGCTTCATGCGTCGGCACCAGCCAGGTATGCACCATCGAGTCCACAGCAGTGAAGGAAGCTTTCAAAATCGATGCTTCGGCGGAAAAGTGAGTCAAGATGCGCTGATTGCAAATTTTGGAAGCATAATTGGCGAAGAAAGCTCTCAACGTATGAGAGGTGCGTGTAAGTGATTGATAGGAATTAGTAGGTAAGTAAGCGATGATGGTTAGAAGAAGTTCGACTGGAAGTGTGTGTAGGTTTGATGATAGCATCTTGGAATCAGAGTTGAGGGTCGGGGGAAAATTCGTAAACGTCCTAGGTTTAGAGACAGTAGGAGGTGTTGGTGGTGGTGTAGGTAGCGCACAATACGATGTTGATGGTGGGTTGGTCGGCAAGGTCATGATCGCGAGTGGAGTTCTATTCGAATAACCGAAGAAGGCCGATGATTTGAGTTGTGACACCGGCTGAGTTCTGATAACCGGCGATGGCGAAATATTCTGGTAACCCATTTGTAGTCGTCTGATAATAAAGTGAGAGATTAGATGTTGATGTTGAGTGTAGAATGCAATGACGAGAGTAACCTACTCGACGACTCTCGATGGTCTGAGGTCACAGCAAAAGTCACAGATTTCGGCTTGTGGTATCCCAGAAGTAAAACAGAGGAGCCTCGATGACCTATCTGTCATTTGACTCGAGAGCGAGGGTAATTGAATGTAGCGTAAAGATGTAGAAGTATAAATAAGCGAAGGCTGCAAACCTCGAGGTGTGCTGGAAACAGACACAGAGAGTTTTTAATACAAAGAGATGAACATGGAAACTGATACAAGGTAATATAAACAAACCGTTATGTTGCCAGCCCCCAGGAGCAAACTATGACTCTTCATTTAAGTTTCTCACATTTGCGCGAAAGCTTTGCGCGACTGGCCAACAGACTATCGACATTTGTTTGCTGAGCTGGTCGTGTTTCATCGCGTAAATCGCCATAACACGCATGTTAACGCGACAACGACGCGGATCCCAAAGCAACACACGCGATGTATCGCGTTGGCACGTGTCAAGAAGCCAGTAGGTTCGTTGTAGCGAGACTTGAATATATTAGAACTCGTTGACGTTGATCGCGATGCAAGTCACATAGTTGTGGATTTCAGGGGCAATGTTGGCCATGCGGCAGGATTTTCTGGCCACCTTCGCTGCAGAATAGCTGTCGACTGTCGAAACCTAACGTACTTACTTGAGTTAATGGAGTGAAATATGTTTCATCCATCGACTAAACGAATTATCATATGTTAATCTACTATATTAGTAGACACGACAATTCTGGACTCTTTTTAAAAATATCACCTAAAGCAGCATCATGATACCTTATAACAGCATGGCTGTGATGCACAATGAGCCCGCACGTGACGAAGACTGGTTGGGTCTCGGTCAGCTCATCTCATCCTTCAAACAATTCAAACAAATCAAGACATCTACAACACATCTTATTACGAAAGATTACAGACTTGCTGCTCTACCATAATTTTAATAAACTACGAACACTCAGCTGAATCATGCTACGGGTTCATTGACAACCGATTCGAAATGCAAACGTCGTCCGCATACAAACGTATCTGTCTATTGGTCTAATTTAACTCCTAAAAGTTTACTGCACAAAGCAACTGGATGGTCCATGGCATGTTAATTCCACCCGCATCGTCTTAGGTATGGAGGAAATGCTCGACATCTTAACCTCTGAGTCTTCTCCACAAGGATTTCAGCAGCAGACGGCGTCGTCAATAATAAATCGAGCATGTGCAAACTGTGCCCGAGCAAAGTCAAAATGCATATTCGATCGACAAGATAGACGGACGAAATGCCAAAGATGCAATCGTTTAGAAAAAGAATGCCAGCCTACCGCTGCTCGAGCGCGGCCGCCAGCAAAGAAGCGCAGAACAACTTCTTCTAGGTAAGAGGCGAAAGATGTTTTATTTTACTCATCGGAACGTTGCGATACCACATTGTTTTCTATTTTGCGTGCGTCGATTTCTCGTTTTGACAAAATTTCATCAAGTAGATACTGGCCATAGATATGGTATCTCACAAGAGTTGGTACTTGTGAGCAAGTAATCATGTAATATTTCTTGGAATGTCATGTCATGAGAAGCTTTGCGCATTCTCTTATATACCAGCTAATATTTTCAGTGGCAAACCGCGTGTTGAAAAAATTGAAGAGAAGCTCGACGGTCTGATCTCTCTGCTGAAGACAAATCGAGAAGGCACTGTCGATTTGGTTGTTGGTGCTAGTAGTGGGCCCCTCGCATCCAAATCTGGTGTCTCAACGGTCGAACATTACTCTAAACCATTGCCCAGAGCAGGTTCTTACGGCATTCTTGCATTAGGAAACCAATTACTTGATGGCGCGCCACTATTTACTCCTGCGCCATCTCGTCCAGCCTCCGAGGATTCTCAAAATCTTCCCACAAGCGACGAAGTACCGATTACCTTCACACTGACAAAGTCTTTCCGCCCTTCACTTCCTGCCGCTTTTCTCGATTCCAATCCGCTTATTGCTGGATTCAGCCAGTCAGAATCCGAACGGCTTTTGGGTGTTTTTCGAAAGCAGATGAATCCTTGGTTTCCGTTCATTTCATTTTCCCAGGCAACTTATACATCGTTGCGAAGGGAGCGACCATTTCTACTTAGCTCAATACTAGCTCTTGCTTGCCAAAAGGCGCCTATACAGCGCGAGCTGGGCAACGAACTGATAAAACAACTTACGGAAAGAGTGTTCATTCATAATGAAAGGGGCATCGACTTACTTCTTTGTTATATCAATTACACTGGATGGTAAGTTGGGGTTTGAACCATACTAGCGTGCTAAGTAACATTTTCTTAGGTGCTGTTACAACTTTTTCAACCTTACTAGGCTCACTGGTCTCTTGGCTGCGATCAATGTCATTCTACGCGATCTCATGCTTGATAAGTCACATCTGAAAGAGAATGCAACGAGTTTTGAATCTGCAATGCGAGAATCATGTGGGCGAAAATACACCTCAATTCCTCCAAGGACCCTTGAGGAAAAGCGGATTCTCCTGGGTTGTTTCTACATCACTTCTGTGTATGTTTCCCCTTGTCTTGATTTCCACGATAGCTGACACCCTCAAAGCCTTGCTCTGCAGTTTCACCGAACGGAGTCTCTTTCACTCACGGAATACCTTGACGAATGCTGTGAAGAAGTCGGCGCAACCAATAGCTTGAGCGACCGCTTTGCGTCAGCGAGTATTCGTGTTCAAATCTTTAATGAGCGTGTAGCGCAAGCACCTTGGAACAGTAAATCAAGCTTAGGAATGTCATACTCGATGCCAATAATGCCTGTTGTGAAAACGTTGTTGGCCCAGCTATTTGCAGTGAAGGATAGTCTCTCACCCGAAATTCTTGCACATAGTAAGTTGACATTTTGCTTCACTCGAAAGGTTGTGCTGATATCTCGATACCCGTATGTTCTACTCGTACGATTTTGCCCTATTATGGCTTTGCTAGCCGGCTCTAGATTGAGGCTCTTATTGACCTGCACAACTGACAGTTTTTTACACAGTACCAATAACACTGGCCTTCCATGCTGCAGAAATATACTTGTACAGGGTTGGCTTCGCCAAATCACCACTCGTGCCAGAAAGCAGTATGCCAGGTCTTCAACGTATGGAGCTACTTTGCGCATGCCACGCATCCATTGTCGCTTTATTCAACGCGTTCGTAACAGTACCCGAAGCAGAATATCACAGTTTGACGCTCCCAGTCTACATGCAGTTGGCTCAAGGTTACTCCGCTTTGACTTTGCTGACAACATTTGAGCATAGCGAATGGGATATGTCTTATTTGCCAAACCCCATGGATATATGCGATGTACTTGGTACAATCGCTGACAGATTTGATTCTGCATCAGCAAAGTTAGGTCTCGAACAAAGTCTCGACTGTGGAGAAATCCACGTTTTCGTCGTCTATGCGAAGAAGTTGCGAGGGGTTCGCGAATTCTACCGTACGAAAATCCTTACCAAAACCACGGCCGATTCGAAATTGAACCAGGCAACTCCTCCGAGCGAGATTACAAATGCTGAAGAGGTATCGATTGAAAATCCCCTGGACTCTATTGATGAAGCATGGTTCTATGATTGGATGGCACCTTTGGATTTTGACGGGATGTTGTGAAAATGGTCACATATTGATTTCGCGGTAAGCGAGTCCGACGGGACCGGAGTTTCGCTCACCCCGTTCCTCTTCCGGTCCCGTCTGGGCTGCCGCCCCCGTTGGAGATTTGATACCTATGACCCGAACGTGAAATGATTGGTGTGTCATGCGCTTAGCGTCGTCTTCTAGAAAATATATCACTGCCTATGATGGCCTCGATATCAATTTCATCATTCATTCATTCCTTTGTTTTCTCGCCTTAGACTTTGGTTACAGTTCTTTTCACACTATTCTTCAGTCAGAGTTATTGAACATGGAAAAGCCTGATCAGCTCTTGGAGTCATCCAGAAAGTTGAGCTCTTCCGAAATGGATGATGGGTCAAAAACAGAACGCAGCATCAGTCCACCGTTTGAACAAATTCCTGTCAAGTCAGAGAAATCAATCAAGAATACAGAAACATCGGCAGCAGAGGAATGGGTCTATCTCACGGGATTTAAGCTTTGGGCAGTCATTGGCGTTGTGACAGTAGCCTGCTTTATTTTACTCCTAGACACAGCTATAATAGCAACGGTACGCTTGACTCTACCTAACATATTCGACCCCTAACTAACAGAGACAAGGCCATTCCCAAAATTACAAGTGATTTCCATTCACTTAACGATGTAGGATGGTATGGAAGTAGCTATTTGTTGGCCAGGTATGGTAGCCTTCCCTATATTATGCTTGATGACGCTCATCATCACAGTGCTGCTCTGACCCCAATGGCTGGAAAGATCTATACTCGGTACAACTCCAAGGTAGTACTTCATACATCCCCCGCGATACAGATAATAACTGGTCCTAGTGGTCTTTCCTTTCATTTCTTGGTGTTTTCGAGCTAGGTTCGCTATTATGTGCCTTGGCGAAAGACGCCAAGATGTTGATTGTAGCCAGAGCTATTGCTGGTCTCGGATCTTCTGGTCTGATTAACGGTGCTCTTACAATTATCGCAAATTCTATTCCTTTGGAAAAACGAGCAGGTAAGTCCTCCGCTGCGAGGTCCCATGGTCGCTATACTAATACTAATCATAGCATCCACTGGCTTCTTGATGGCTTGTAAGCGATACCCCGAGAATTGTGAAGTAGCTCTCTAACATAACATCCTCAGTCGCTCAAATGGGTTTGCTCCTGGGACCGGTCATTGGAGGAGCGTTGACCCAGCACGTCAGTTGGAGATGGTGTAAGTGTATCTCTTACATTGTAAATGCAATGTCATACTCACATTCACGTAGGCTTTTGGATCAATCTCCCTGCCGGCGCATTAACCGCCGCCATCCTCCTCCTCATACAAATCCCTCAGCGCATCGCAGTCAGAACCAAAAAGTCCACTTGGCAAAGTTTTATCATGGAGCTAGACATCCCAGGGTTCTTTTTGTTTGCGCCTACAACAATAATGTTACTGCTGGCTCTTCAATGGGGTGGGACAAAGTACGCATGGTCCAGCGCGACGATCATTGGACTCTTCTGCGGATTTGCCGCGAATACCGTGGTATTTTGTATCTGGGAGAAGTCGCGTGGGGAAATGGCAATGATTCCATGGTCGATGATCAAGCAAAGAGTTGTTTGGTGTAGCTGCCTTCTCATGCTGTTCTTCTTCGGTGCTAACCTCATTATTTCGTATTATCTCGCGATTTACTTCCAGGCGGTCAAGGGAGTCTCGCCAACGACGAGCGGCGTCAACTTCCTGCCGAGTATTCTTAGTCAAATGTTTATGGCCATTACTTCTGGTGTTCTCGGTGAGTCTCAGACTTTGCTCCATAGCTCATGCTGATTTGTATAAGTTGGAAAACTCGGTTACTATCTTCCTTGGGCCGTCATTAGTTCGGTATTTTCATCGCTTGGGCATGGGCTTATAAGTACATTCACTCCGACAACAACTACGGGTGTCTGGATTGGGTATCAAATAATTGGAGGTGCAGGTCGAGGTGCTGGATTACAAATGGTACAGTCATTCTCATATACCTTTCCGAAGTATACTGATCCGTGTAGCCAATCATCGCCATCCAAAATTGCATACCACAAGAACAAGTGTCCATAGGCATGTCCCTTGTCGCTTTCGCTCAAACACTCGGAGGTTCGCTATTCCTCGCCTTCGCCCAAACTTGCTTTTCTGGGGCTCTCCCAAAGAGCCTTGCCACACACGCGCCTGGTGTCAGCCACACGCTCGTTGAACAAGCTGGCGCAAGTGGTTTCCGAGAAGTCATTCCGAAAGAGTCATTGGCCGGGGTTATTGAAGCGTACAACGATTCGCTAAACCAAGTTTTCTATATCGCGGCTGCCGCTTCTGCGGCGTGCTTTATTTTTGCTTGGGGTATGGGCTGGAAAGATATCAGAAAGAAGAAGATTGTCGAAGTGGCTGCATAATTCACTCGCGCCGAATAAGAGTGACAAGGACACTTTTAACAACAAATCAATGGTTCTTGGCCTTGGCATTGCGGATCAGCAGCATTTTACGCAAGTGTCTCGCTATTTTGTATTATTTTCCCTTATCCGCCGTGTTCGAATGAACGCTGGCCTGCATCTTCAAGCATTTAAATGGCGTCGACATATAGACCACTTAGCATTACTATAATCTCAGCTTATTTATTTCAGAAAAAAGGTTCAGAAATTTGTCATAAATTCAACGTCATCTTCCTGGTATGCGAAGCAGAGTATCGTCTATAGCTATCTGTACTAAATCTGTACATCTGAATTTATACTAAAGCACCACAAATATACTGCTAACCATCTGATGGATCGTGTACTTATCCCATAAAGCCTTGGACAACACGTCATGCTGCTTTGAATTTATGCTACCCACTTCTTGGTCTCGAAGACGTAGGAACAGAGCTATTAACATAGCTCAGATAACAATTCCAGCCAAGCGAAACCACTTGCACAAAAATGACTCTCTGATCCAATGGAACGAATCGAAAATTGACAAGCTGCACAAACGGCCAAAGCATCCAATTTCTTTTCAGAGTCGTAGCATACGACTTCTCCAGCTTTTCCGACGGACTCGAACCCACCATGATGGACATGGAGCTGAAAAACACCAAAAGACTCATTGGCGCAAAAAGTGTTTGATCAATTGCGACACGTGTGAACATTTCGATGTTTTTGTTCTTGTGTTTGATTCTGGTTTGGAGGAATTTGAACCATCGCGTGGCTGCTGGACGCCATATCGCTGTGAGTCATCCGTCAGTTCAGAAGGGTTGAATTGAGATAATCAGTGAGTTTTGGTACGTACCTCCACCGTAGAATGCCATTCGGGCAGTTCTAGATAATTCAAGATCTTTGACGCCTTTCTTTTCGACGAATTTTTGTGCGAGGATGTCTCCTGTGCCGAATAGAACTGTCGTAGCGACGACTTGGGTTAAGGTCGGATGGGACGCTAGTTTTCCTTGGTACCTAGTTGGAGTTAAGTTGGGAATCAGGCTGCTTTAATGGGGTAGTACTCACCATCTTAGCATTATCGAGTCGAACACGATTGTTTCGTCGCTGTTAACTTCTGAAGTTGAATGACTCTCTCGCAATGCCAGATGCGGAGTGGGTTCAAACAGTGCCAAGGCTGCATACGTTTTGGCGAAATCCAACGCTACGAGGAACACAAAATAAATTAATGTTTTGGCTTTTGCTTCCTCTAATAATAAGACGTGCTAGTGAGATAGTTCTACTGGAACACAACTAATAAAGGTCCTGGATGTGGATCCTCAATTGATCTTCGTGACACTCTGCTGTTTTCAAGGTTGCAAACATTCTGTAAGATGGTCAGTATTAATCTTGAAATACACAAAAATATAGACAATCATTCGGAATCGGAAAAGCAAAAGCTTACTTGTCGTCTGGTCTTGAAATCTTGATAAAACCCCAACCATAAATCCCTCGCTCTGCAGTCCTCAACCCCACTGTCCGCAGACATTTTGCACACAGGCTGCTTATCACGGATCAAACTCTTTGAAGCATTATACCATGGTTTGGGAACCGGCCAATCTGAAAAGTGCAGGAATTTTGCTTCCTTGATTGCAGTTTCGGGGTCCCAAGTCTCGTACTCGTTACCCAAGTAGTTTCGATGCGAGCCGTTATTGCGAAACTCCCCCGTCAGAATGGTGTATGGGCGATGTGGAATGATCATGCAGTCTTTGCCGTATAACTTGTTGACAATCTCCATATCGAAGTCACCGCCACTTGCCGTCAGAATAGCCTCTTGCACACGTGCGAATTCGTTGTTGGAGGGTTGAATCAAAGCCAGTTGAGAGGATAGAAAATGGTCTTTAAGCCAGTACGCACGTGGCATCGCGACGGGGGCGGGAGGTAGCAGGAAAAGCTCGTCCATATGCTGAAGAATTGTACTGTCTGAGTCCAAGGACAGAACCCGATCGTATTGTGTTTGGTTGAAGGCCAGGAGTTTCGTATAACTGTCTGCCCACGTTGCTGCATTGGCTCGCATTAGCTTTCAATCAGACTGGTGTAGAAGAATTGGTTAGGGGTATCCTCACAGTCTGCGTCGTTACGGTGTTGTATTTCAACCGGCATCAGCTTTACAGCATATTCGCTTTGCGCCTTCTTCAGAAGTTTGCTGCCAGAGCTTTCGAAACTCAAGTCGATCGTGTTGGGGTACATCATCAAGCGATCAGCTTTACTTCCAAGTCGATTTAAAATCTCGAACAACATCACTGAGTTACAGAGATATGTCTCGTCCGTGACGTATTGAGTGTAGGCAAAGCGTGACCAGTCTACGTTGCTTTCCTTAACACAGATCGTTGAGGGCACTGAAAGTGAGCTGAAAGATGCGTACTGACGAACTTCATATCTGTTGCGGAAGACACAACTGATGGCAAACACTACAGCCAAAGCAGTCGCTACTACTCGTACACGCTTCGATCGTAGTATTTGGTTAACATTTGGCGCGTGCATATTCTCTGGATCTGCATCGTCTCGTGCCATGGTGTGAAAAGTGAAGTCTTTGCTGAAATGGTAGAAACCCGGAATTTGAGCCCATTGCTGAGTGGGCTTAGCCATGATAGACATGAGTTGGTGTAATTTTGTTAGTTGGGACTAACAAGACAGGGCTTTTTTACTTGACTCCCAAAGCAGAATAGAAAGGTCAGACTAGCAAACAAAGTGATATGCGTAATTGAGAATAAAAAAAGAAATCGAAGCAAGAAAAGTGAACTCGTAACTATGTAAACTGTAGGAAGAATGATTTGAAAGGTATTGATAATTATATTTTTAGTTCTCAAACACCAACGTGATGCCGCTCAACGGTACATGCTGCTGCGGCCTCAGTCGGGATCTTATGCAGGCATGCAATACGCGACAGCGAGTAATACATCGAGGTAAGGAAGAAAATGCGCAAATCTAGTTGGATTTTGCAAGAACCAACAGCGGAGGTTACATCAGCCACCCAAATGGAGCTGTACTCGGTGAGTGCAGTTAAATGCATAAAGGTGGGCGGCAAAAATATCGTGGGTAATTCAGCCACTCAGAAGACAATCCAGTTTGTCGGGATTCCAGTAGAAAGCGGGAATGCGCGGCTAAGTTACCAAATCTCTGAGATGTTGGATAACAATTTCCCGAAATTAAGAGAAAGCCAACACTTGTCTTTAAATGACTTACCTAAGGGTATGTAAATTCTTCTCTCGTCCGCGCTCGTTTAAACCCGCAGAGCAAAGAACACCACTTTCTTTTCGCGAAACTTTTAGCAAGAAGTATGATTTGATATGTCATTGCGTTCGAGTAGTAAGTTCCCCTAGCTGTTCTTTCGGGTTGATGTCTGCCTCATTAATATGTTAAATAAAATTTGATTTGACAACACTACCAAGTTCCCAACTAGTTGAGAAGCCGAGAAAAAGCATCAGACAATAGTCGTGTCGAGATTGCCAATGGAGAACCCTTTCGCATGAATCTCTGTTCGCACCAATGTCTGATTGAATAAATGAGAACCTTCTTCTTTGGACGTCTAAATCTAGGGATTTTTGTCTGGTAGAATTGCCTGTGGTCAAACCTCAGGAATTGGCGAAAACATATCTGACAATTGAGATTACACAATTTGTTAGTATGGCCAACATAAGAAAGGAACTTGTATGTAATTAAAGTGTGAAATGGAGAGCACGCATGTCTCTGGGCATTAAATGTACGTGGAAGAGTGGTCATCTTTAGTCAACTATCAGCTAACAGCCTACGTCGTTGACGGCAGGGTCACAAATGCGCACTAGTCCTGAAGATCAACTTGCCCAACATCTCACCCCAAACCCAGTTCGCCCCCCTCCTACTTCATCCTCTTCGACAAACACCTCACCGGCCCCTTCTCCTTCGCCTCGCACCTCGGAAAATACTTCTTCTCCTTCCTCGTATACCGAATAAGCTGTGCGCGCGTGGCGAATTTCCTTACCTTCAGCACGGGTCGGATGGTAGAGACACTCTCCAGATCTTCCCACGACGCATTCGACGCAACGTCAGACCATCCATCACGTTTCCCTGCCTCACTTTCGAGTTTGGCTCCACCGCAGATACTGCTGTCCTTACGGTTGCGTTGGGCTTCGACGACGTCGACGATGTTAACGTTGAGTTTTCCGAGAGCCTGTGTTGTGTTAGCGGAATTTTATCAAGATGAGCGTTAGGAGTAGTTTACCTTTCGACATTTTTTCAGACTTCCTAGATCGATATCCTCAACATCGAGATCGTAGCAGAGGTTTTGCCAGTTCTCGAGCTTGCTCACGTCGCCGAAGTAGTCGTTGAATTCAGAGGTGACGTCGCTTTCGGGCTTCACAGCACTTTTGGTTGAGATGGATGGCGTGAAGATCGGGGTGCTGTCTAGCGACTCTAACTTTACATCCGGTTTGGTGTTGACTGATGTTTCTGTTTTGATATCGGGTTTGGTATTGAGAGATAAGACTTTGAGTGCTTCTTCGAGGGTGTAAAGTCTCTGTGTTCTGTTAGATAGTACGGACATCATTTTTGGAGGGTTTATTGCCGGTCCGTTCTGTGCCTCTGGGCGCTTGCTCTTAGATTTTTTAGTCATTTTCAGTATCGTGTTGTCGCAAAGGGTTAAAGAGGACCCCGATTTTGACAATGGGGGTGGGGCGCAGAGTGCCGGTCGTCCTATTTTATGTTGTCCTTTTGTTGGAGTTGAGCTGGCTAGACAGGAGTTGTGAGATGTAAAGAGTCAAAGGTCCTAAGAAGGTTGAATGTCTTAAGCTTAAATGCATCTATCAAGGTGGTGAATTGTCAAAGGTGAAGGCGAGTCTACTGTGACTAAGCCGTGCAACACAGCTAGGTTCTTGTTTAGTAGTACTGTTCTCTATCATAATTATTAAATGAACAGTGAGTGAACCTTAGTAGATGCCCAGGTAAGCAGTAACCGAAATACGGGCAGCTTGAGTGAAGTTGAGGTAAACACCGTCCGCGCGCTTCGCACCTCGGCATGTGATGGTAAGACAAGAGACGCATCCATGGATGTATCTACCAGGTAGCATGCTCGCTTAAATTCGATCTGACCCCGCAGCATTATAAGCGTGACTGGTAATTTATTACACCAGATAGTAAAAAGCTCGTTGATAACAAGGTTTATAAAACAACCGAATCTCACTTTAATTCTTGAAAAATGGCTTTTGTCACAACAAGCTGTTTTCACAGCGCAGAATTCGAGAATGGTGTTTCTGAGCCATCGTTAGCAGAAATGCGCCTGGGTGAACGATCCCAATATAGCCTCTTAGCAATCTCCCCATCCATGTAACCAATCGACAAATTCATCTCTTTCAATCCAGTCAGAAGCATGGCGGATTTTGATAAGATGCACCCAAACCCCACATCGCAGCATATCGTCACACTGTCCCTCGGAACTGCAACTACTTCAAATACACGTAGAGTAGGTCGAGGTGTCCCAGCATTAGCTGCTGCATGCAACCGTATGTTTTTGATAATAGCTGGAGTGTGGAACAAGTAGGTTGGTCCGCCGGGCAATGGTGGAATCTAGGCATCAAGGTCCTTAGAGTTTGGACTCGCACATGAGGCGTTAAGCGATAACACTATATGCTATCGACAATTTCGAGCGTAGTGGGCTCCATTATGATCGGATCCAGGGTTTCTCGCATGTTCCTATAGGAGTTCCATGCGATCGTTGACTAGTGAGAGAGCTCAGTTTAATTTCCATACATATGGTGGCCAGTGAATTAGAAACTTTGGTAGTGAATCAGCTTCCATGAAATAGAGACTTCAATATTTGCGTAGGATTTGGTGATATTTCCTATGTATAGAGCGGTGAGCGATCTCTCAGGTGTCATGTTTGCGTCGTGCCATCTTTTATTGAAGCCCCGCAAGTATCATGATATGTTCATCAGCCACGATCTGGTACTGTTCAATATCCACATCCAGAGTCTTAGCCACGACTTGAAATTGTTGGTTGCCGAACTCGAGTGGTTTCGAAGCCATAACCGACATGGCCTTCACACGTTCATACGCTTCACCCGCGATCTCCTCCCACTCGTCATCCTCTCCGAGATTGCTAACAATGCTCAAGATCTCATGTCGTTCTTCGAACGTGATAGGGTATTTCAAATCGGAAGCGCATAGCGAGCGAAGAATCCGTCGCAGGCAGGAGATTGATGTGCTTATAACACTATCAATTATACCATATAATATGTTTGGATATTGATGCTCGGGCCGTGAGTTCGAGATATGCGGCTCGAGTGCCTTGGTTGTCATAGGGACAATGCTCTGTTGGCGCCATTTCTTGACATTACTTAGGAGTTCTATAGCACTTTTTGCCAAGGCGCTCGAATGATTAGACGGATTGCCATCATCGTTCATTGATCGGTAGGCAACCATGATCCCGAACATGTTAGCCATATGGATACATAGTTCTGATCGCAACGTGTATGAACGAGAGCAGACGCTCTCGGGCCAATCTGGGCATTTTCTGATGAGCGCCCACCAGTCGGGTTTGGTAAGGAAGCAGAATTGATTGGCGCTCATTGACTGAGCGAGCTAGGGGTGAGTTAGCAGGTCAATCGAGGTAGTCGTCGTGCAAATAAAAACCTTACCACATAAGTGAGCTGAGAATGAAACATCAAAAGCTCGAACGTTGTGTTGTAGCCTTCAATTCCTCTTGAATGTATTAGGTTAGAATTACCGCGAGCAAGCTGGAGCCAGTTTCCTCGCCCCTCGTTAACAGCAAGCTGTGACTATTGTTAATCTGTACATGAGACATAACATTAGAGACCCACCTCAAAGAATTGAAGTAAGATAGAGGCGCATAGCACATGAGCGTCCTTGCTCATAATCGGATGAGCAAGATGGGTTCTTACAGACCGAATTGCTTTAGTGTAGCTTTGTCGGACTTTCTTGCTATCCGTCAAAGGCATTGAATCGTCGGGATGATAAATAGCACAAATGCAGGCTATTGCATCGTCAAGCGCCATATTCTGACCTAATCGACCGGGAACGTATTCTAAGAAAGCACCAATCAGACGCAGCGGCATCAGCACACCAGTGTTATTTGCCTCGAGACAAAACACAAACTCGGATGCAAGTTTATTGAACTCGAGATACCGCGGAATCCACGATCGAGCCCTTGAGAAGTGTCGCTTGCTAAGCGTAGTAAAGAAGGCATTTTCATGCACTACCAGTGTTCCATCCGTCTGGAACTTCTCGTCTTCGTATTTCTCAAAGATGGATTCCAGGCCTTCGTCCACGGTATCAAATACAAACTGTCGGCCCACGTATTGGCCAGCCACGCGAGCCGCCTCATCCACAAACTTCCAGCGGGTGATGAAACCAGAACATATCAATCCTGCTTGAATGCATCGCGTACAAGCGGGTCGTTTCTCATCGCACTGTGCAAGGTGTTAGATTCTTGGGAAGGTGTTGTAAGCCAGGCGCGGTATGACTTCTAGGCTAGTACTTACCTTTTTCTTGCGTTTGCGGCAGTGGTCACAACGACTGCTCGTAATTACCCCGACCATTTTCAGCTTTTGGATTGTCTCTCCACCTCTAACTTTTGCTCGAGCAAGCCCTGCGTGATGCAGTGGGGGACACGCAGGATGGATTGAGGTTGTTTCGGTGCTGATTCGGGGCTGACACGTCCGAGTCTGAGCTTGAAGATCATTTCTTATTGGTCCTCGTATATTATTTACGACCCACTGGATCCTATTCGCTTTCCATGCTTAGCCCCGATCGCAACATCGCACCTCCTTTAGTTAAGCGAGAAATCGCATCAGCCCCACGGCCCTCACGACTACAATATCCACCCTCATACGCGTCATCCTAACATTGTATTCACCACAAAATACTAGCAGAACAGTTTGATGGGGGAAGTTGCCTGCCAGACGGCCTGTGTTCAATTCAGATTCGTGGATTTCTGGAGGACCGAATGGCCGAGTCAAAGATAGAATCATGAAAGCAAAGGGTATAAAGCTTGGATGAAATCTGTGGGAAGTGAAAGTACGAAAGAGTTGAGGATACCGAAAATTACTACACTCACCTTAGTTCAACATTGACTGAAATTTGAATACTCCCTGTTGATATCAACAAACTTCTTCTCGAGTTTCTATTGGAGGTTTCCAACAATCTCTCTCACAAGACTCCCAAGCATCCAAACATGCCATTCCCAAAAATCGCAATCATCGGCGCCGGTCCAGGAGGATTGACCCTCGCCAGCATGCTTCAATGCAGCGGCATCAAACCCACCATTTTCGAACTCGACAAAGACCGCTCATCACGAGATCAAGGAGGAATCATCGACCTCCACGCCGACGGCGGCCAACTCGCCCTCAAAGAAGCAGGCCTCTTCGAAAAATTCCAAGAAATAATCATCCCCTCGGCCGAAGCTCTCAAGCTCATGAAATCCAACGGGGAAGTCGTCTGGGATGAAAACAACTCCGCGGCCGCACCCCCAGAAACCTCTCGAGATCGTCCGGAAGTCGATCGTTCAAACCTCAGGAACTTGCTCCTCGATGCCGTAGACCCCGATACTATCCACTGGAACCACAAACTCCTTCAAGTCGAACCCGTGGGTGCCAAATACAACCTCCACTTCAGCGACAGCATCGAAACAGGCTTCGATCTCGTCATTGGCGCCGACGGCGCATGGTCCAAAGTCCGGCCCCTCGTCTCTAATGAAACGCCGTACTACTCAGGCATCACGTTCATCGAACTCCAAGCGCACGACGTGAGTGTGAAAAAGCCATGGCTGAACGAATTCATCGGTTCGGGCAGTTTCTTCATGTTCGATGAGGGTCTCGCGTTGATCGGGCAACAGAATAGTTTCGATCGGATTCGTATCTATCTTGGGGTTCGACAGCCGGAGTCTTGGATGGATGAGTGCGGGATCAACTGGGAGGAGCCGAAGTCGGCACGGGGGGTGTTGGCGGAGAGCTATTTTGGGGATTGTCATGGCGACTTGAAGAGGGTGATTTTGGAGGAGGCGACGGATAGTTTGATCGTGAGACGATTGTATATGTTGCCTGTTGGCTTGAGCTGGGAGATGCGATCTGGGGTTACGTTGTTAGGGGATGCGGCACATTTGATGACGCCGTTTGCGGGTGTGGGCGTTAATGTTGCGATGGTTGATGCGATGGAACTTGCGAGGGAGATCATGAGGTGGAAGGATGCGTTTGTGGATGGTGATGCCACTGCGCTTGATGAGGCGGTGAAGGTGTATGAGGAGAGGATGTTTGTGCGAGCGAAGAAGAATATGGAGAAGACGTATCATGGTCTTGTTAGCCATTTTAGTGCGGGTGGGATCGATGAGCGGGTTGGTTTGTTGAAGAAGAGGGCCAGGATGCTGGAGGAGAGAAGGAAAGAGCAGGTCAAAGCTTGAGGGAAAGAGTTGCAATATAAGGCTGTAAATTGGGAGAGAATCTGGAAGGCTAGTATAATAATCCATTTGCTTCTTCGAGGTGCAAACATTCGAAAACATCCGCAAAAACAGCTTTTTCCTTGTTATCTTAGCCCACAGAGTTTGCTAACTTACCTGACATACTTGAATAATCGTCATGAGGATCCCGGGATAGACCGAGATCAGTGAAGGCTCTTGATCCTCGTCGAGTGGGAAAACACTTAGCGTCAATACGACTCGTGTAACGAAATTAATTCATACCGTATAATATGTAGGGAGGTCAACTATAGGCCTTCTCATTAAGTAAATAGCATGCATAGAAGCACTACCAACCAACCAATCGAAACACCGCCGCACTCCCCATACCACCAGCAAACATCCCACCAACGGTAACAAAGCTGGCCACACTCAGCATACTCATGCCGCTAATGCCATGTCCGCTCGTACAACCTCCCGCAATTCTTGACCCGACAATCAAGCTGATTCCACCGAGGATAGCTCTAGTCGTGCTGATAGCCATCGCGTCATATGGTGCTGGTACCTCCGCAACTTGGGTCAGTATCCACGAGCCACCCAAAGCACCAAATGCGAAGATGGTGGCTTTGATGGAGGGTCTCGGCTGAGAAGGTGTGAATAGCCACCAGAAGTTGTCGCCGAATTGTTCGAATGCGGAGGAAATTCCTAACGTAGAGGATGTGAGAAGAAGAGATGTAAATTGGCTTATGCCGATGAGAATACCGCCGAGAATAGGATTGACGAGTGATGGGTCATGTTGAGGAAATGCATAGGCTGCTCCCGCGACGAGACTACCACAGAGAATTTCGTAGGTTGCAAGACCCATCCACGCATCTGTGCCGACACGCTGCGGTACAGTTGGCTTGGTGAAAGCTTCCTGTTTCTTATTGATGGTGCTTGCTTGGAGGCGCGGTTTTAACCAGGAGTAAATGATGCCTCCGATGGCGCTACCTAGCAGGACTTGCTTTGCACTGCTGATTCCGGTTGCGACCTGCGGGAATACGGTTCCAGGACATGCGCCGGTGAGAGTCATGCCGAGTCCTAAGAGGATACCTCCGATGAGGTTACCGTTGTAGACATTGCTGAATGAGGGAAGTGATATTGTTGCGGGAGTTCGCGGTTGGCATTTGGATAGCGAGAGGTTGTTTGCGAGGACTATTGCCAATCTGAGGAGGTGTCAGTGCTGGTGGAAGCTTTCTTGCTCTTTTCAACAAATCTCAAGATATCACACCAAAGGATGCTGAAATTCTTGGGCGCCGATAATCGAGACTGGTTGTACTTACGCACTAGTAGCACTCGCGGACAGGAATCCCTTCATCATATGAAAGTTCGTCAAGTTCATCTGGCCGATGATAGTCGAAGGCGAATACATGCCGGCCGCAGTCAGAGCAGCTCCGAATATGGCACCGGAAAGGGCATTCGGCCATGGAAAAGAAGCCATCGTACTATCAACGTCGTTGTATTCTGAGCTTGTCTTTTGTCGAGAACATCTGGGAGTTGTACAAGTCTTATCAGGAACGAAATATAAGCTGGATGTCGGCTCTTCCCCTTTGTTTACAAGCAGAAGTAGTGATGGGAATTCACCGGACCCCAACAACAGGTCACCTCAACCCCTGAAGCCCTAGTAGATCCCGAATCCAGTCCAGTCGGTTCGGCACTGAGCTAGCTAGTCATTTGAAATCAGAACCTCAAGTCACAATATGGATGCAAAGAATTATCAAAGAATATTCCGAGCCACGCAAGACGTCGCTCGCGCTTTCTCTGGGCCATGACGTGCTAATTTTGTGGCGTACGCCCTCCGAGCCGTGTTTGGATATCAGGTCGGCGATTCAATGTGACTTTGTCCGTTTGATAGCGAGGAAAGGCTGGACAAAGGCATTGAAGATGGTGTGCTTTGATGTTGGAGATTGGTCTTCTTTTCGGTAAATGCGCATACGTGCCGGTTAGTTCGGGGACGTTCTGCGCGTTTGGTCGCCGACTTTTTGTTTGGGGTTGGTCACGTGAGTTTGTACGTGATTTTGTGACGCAGTAGATTGGTATGGGGATGTATTTTCCACAAACTAAAGCCGATACCAACAAGGAAACCGTAATTAAATAAATGCAATAATTGAAACATGATTTAGAAGGTAAATTAGCAAGAGTATTCAGACCGGTTTATTTTCCACCAATTCTTTGGGCTGAATGTTCCGCCTCAGGCAAATATCCTCCAAGCGAAGTAAGACATCAGGGTCCTGCAAGAAGTCAAAAGTGTGGGGGAAACATGTGAGGTACACATGGCAACGCGATACCAGCCAGTTCATTGGCTTCGTGGGGGTTTTATTCGGAACACAAACCAACTGCCGTTGAAGTTGTCGCCGATGTTGTGCAATCTCGGGATCTTCTTTTCTGCCCGAGGACCCGGTCTTTGTTTCAAGGCGTGTTGTTAAGCGAGACTAATGACTTCCAACAGGGAAGAGGGTGACATGATCCAAGCAGATTCTGTAATAGATGATTTAAATGTTTGTAATTAATGTTGTTAGATCCGAATTAGCTATGTAATACGCAATACCAGTACATAAAGTGCAACAGAAGATTTAAATTGTTATCCAGAATCAAAAATAGAAGAAAAGGTTTCGCTAACAACCACCACACAAACACCTAACTTTGGAAAAATCAACGATACCCTTCACATCTACTGAGATCCCCAGCGTCTTCGGAGTGTAGCTGAGACTTTGGCTGATAAAACCGAGGATGACGGAGCAGTGACAGTCGTCAGAATGGTAGCAATCTGCGTGCGAGTCTCATAAACGACTGTCACCGCAGCGCAGGAGGAAGCAGACGCGGAAGAGGTAGCCGCAGCACCACCATTGCCACCGGCGCTGGTGCTAGAGACCGTAGTACCAGTACCAGTTGGAGCGACGATGCATGAGCATACTGACGAGATTACTGCTGGCTGAGAACACATGGCGACAAAGGGTGGAAGTTCGCTGGTGGCCGTCACCACCGCAGTGGTATAGGTCGAGCAGAACCGTGAGAATTGCGACGTAGACTGAATTGCTTCGCGGAAACAGTTGTCCTGGTGACAGTCCACGTATGGATCTAGCGCGGGAGTATTGTTTGGGCTAGTTGACGTCGGCGAAGTGGTGGTTGTGGTTGATGCTTTGGTTGAGGTACCTGGTGAAGTGGTACTGGTGGTGGATGAAGAATGAGACGTGTATCCAATAGCTCCTGGAAGAGATGTGTTGATACAGGAGCATGCCGAAGCCAAATAAGTAGGATTGGCTTCGCAATTTCGCAAGTAGTCAGGGATCTCGGTTGGAGTAGATGGTCCTGCGGTGTATGTTGCACAGAACTTGGGACCGTCCATAAACGCTTTGTTTTCAAATGCACGAAGACAGTTATCGGGTTGACAGTCCAACGGCAGAGTTGCTTTGGGCGGTTGAGGGTTCTTTACCGTCGTAGAGCTGACACCAGAAGTCGTTGAGGATGAGGAGATTGTACCGTTCGTGGTTGCTGACGACGTAGTGTGTGCCGTAGTTGAGTTAATTGAGGAAGTCGTCATGGTAGAATTGGAAGAGTAAATCAAAGTTCCTCGAGTGCTCGGAGCATGTGTTGACGATAACACCAGGTTGGGGTCAATACAGGAACAAGCCGAAGAAATCAAGGATGGCTTGGCTTTACAATTAACGATAGGTTCCGGGAATCCAGTAGTAGCAGTATTCACAGAAGCTGTGTAGGTGGCACAGAAGCTCGAAGCACCAGGAAAGTGGGCTGTATTTTGCAAAGCTCGCAGACAATTGTCTGGCTGGCAATCAAGGAGAGTAGGCGATGGATGGTGCATGCTTGTAGTAGCGGGATCAGGTTGGTGACTATAGTGGTGATGTGGACGTCTGCTTTTAGTAGCCTTGGTAGAAGCGGTAAAAAAAAGAACAGTAGATGAACTATCGGAGGTCGAGATGCTGGTCGAGGAGGAAGAAGATGTCGACGATGGAGATGTCGGAGATGTTGTTGGCGTTCGCGGCCCTCTACAATCAGTTACAATCGAGGTGATGGTAACCGTGACCGTGTCAGGGCAGTGACCCAAAGCTGGTCCACAGAATGCCACTATGGCAGCTGCGACAAATGCAAACTTGGATTTCATCTTGGAAACGCGGCGGACGGTATAGTAGCAAGAAAGGAGCTGAATGAAAGAAGATTCAAGAAAATAATGTAAGCAAGATGTAGCTGTTGATAAATGAGTGTGGATGGTTGCTTGGAAATACAACAGAACTACAATACTTCTTATAACTCATCGTCTTCGGGGGGTTCCTTGGTAGAGGCATTGAATTGGAAAAGTATTGTGACCTTGCAGCGAGTAGAGAAGGGGTTTCAAAGGCAGGTATTGCCCAGATCAAGGGCGAAGCTGGACCAGTTAGGATTTCCGTACCTTGAGGAGGGATTCTATAGAGAGAGCAGCAATCCGCCTGCTCTTGCCAAAAGTCGTGGTGTCTAGTCAACTCCTTCAGTATCTCGCTTGAGACATGATAGAAAATCGCCCTGCAGGAGGCCAGAGGTGATCCTTTGGTAGACTTAGACCAATTAGATCTAACCCTTAACTCCCCCAGCTCTTACATATTTTGAATTCCACCAGAACTGCACCTTGAGATCCTTTAGTAAAGTCGCCTTGGGTATCATAGATCAAGAATTGCATTTCCTGGAGAATCAAGGAAGAACGATCCGTACGAAATGAGAACTATGTTTGACGTCCAGCTTAGAGTGACTCGATAGATATCATTGAAAAGATCAGTTACCTTTAGAGTCATGAAGGTACCTTTAAATAGGACAAGGTTGAAGACCGGAAGTAATGATGTTCGATTCTGTAAAGGGATTCTGGGATCAGGTCGAATGACGTTCAGGTGAGAATCTTGGCGATCTAGTTAGGACTAGCGCGATGCGCCGTGGGAACTTTCTGGTCCCCCAAAATCCCTTGAGCTTCCAGACTCTCCATTTCCATGCAGCCTCATCGTACACGATATATTTTACCTGGCGCAATTGTTTCCCAGAAGCTTCTGTGATCGGTTCTCTATGCGGTCTACCTAAGTATTTATGAAGGGTGTGCGGAAGATTGTTGTCTCGTTTTGTTCAGCAAGGGCTTTTGTTAACGATATTCCTTACTTTAAACATGGGCGCCTGCTCCTCCTGCCTTCGTGGTGATGGAGGCGACAGAGATTTGGCAGACGAGGTAAGTGGCATATGGTCTTTAGAAGAGTGCATCGCTGAATTATCTTTTGCACAGGATGAGAGCTCGAGACTGCTCTTCGACGACCCAAACGGGAACCATTACGGAAGTTTTGCCGATTCGAACGCTGGAGCTCCTCAAGCAGATCCGCAAGAGGTGCAGCGAGAAACCGAGGCCTTGCAGAAAGTGGTAGCTCAGACATCGCAGTAAGCAGCAATTTCACTGTCCAATTTGTTGCGAGGAAGCGTGGAAATATTTAGCAATGAGCTAATTTTTACCGCAGTCATCTCGTCGATATATTTGCCATGGTACCTGCAAACGGCCAGCCTACCGCTGCGGACAACTTCCCCGGTCAAGATGCGAAGATTATCCATTACCAAGACGTTCTTGCGAAGATGTCCACGGACGACCAATCGCTCGGAGCCAAGACGCTCTCCGTGGAAAACACGCCCAACGTTTCCGACGGATGGTTGTCAGAAGAAGAAGATTTGGAGGAAACGAAGAACTACAAGCCCATCAAATCAGATGGCATAGGGCCGCTGTTGGGGGGGTTTTCAGATGCAGCTCCGGTCACGGAATAGTCGATGGTTGGCATTGACAGCACCCAACAATACCCGCAGCGGATGCGTTGCACCGTATTGACGCGCAAGGTGGTTGCGATAAATGATCTATGGACCTCTCATCGCTCCGAAGAGAGGAATACGATCGTGGACGCGGGGTTTGACTGGATCAGCAAGCGTGTTTGGACTATGCGCTGTATCAATCCAGCATCTCCTTTGTCAAAAGCGCTTCTTCACTGGCTGCTGGATTTTGACATGTAGCCTATCATATTACGCTCATGCTCTGCAGTGAGGCTGCCACGCAGAGTCCATTGAGGGTTAGCCACGTTCGCAAATTCCACCTCATTTTACTTCTGCAGACTCGTCTCATAAGACCAACGCGTTTCCCTCGTTGCTCTCGTCATTTTCTTCAGTCCTTTCCCCATGTTCGTTCGGTGTGAGAGCCACGGAATCCTCTGTACTGCATTCTACGTCGTCTGTGCGCAGAGCTCGTCATGGCCCTGGCTAATCTGCTGCAGCTCGGCGCTTAGTTGACGACAACAAAACATACATCTCAGCTCTCATCCCCGTCTCCCCTCTCGCTGCCTGCGCAACTTGCTGTCAGATCTCGATAACACCATCCTGATATATCCGTCATCTGGTCCGGCACCACGTCAAGCTCGCTGCTACTCGACTTGCCGACCATTGGAGCCGCTGGGCCAACCCTTTAAGCGCCCGGCAATCCTGGACGTCAGTGACCGATCTTGTTGGCATGGTTTTCACTGGAACAACAAACAAAATACGCTATGAACTTGAGCCTGAGGCTTTTGAGAAGTTGCGGATTCGTTTCATCGTTACACACTACTGCTACCTCATTCGCAAAACATTTTCATTCTTGCCCAGGAACCAGTCATTTCCAGCGCCGTTCAGCCATCCAAATGCCATTCCGCCGCAAAATCCGTCCAGAAAACCCCAATAACCAACGAAATGTCTTGAAGCAAGGAAAATACCATCTATCTGAGAAGGCCTATCTTGTCTGCATCTGAGCCTGGCTCCGCTCCCATTGCAGGTCGTTGATCTCCTCCCACAGCTTGCTAATCGTCTCCTTGGACGCGTCGATTGAAGCGCCCCGTTGGTGGCCCCGCTGTTCTTCCTTGTACCATCTTTCGATTCGATCCTCCTCCTTCCGGAGACGGCCATGCTTCACATCGATCTTGGTGCATGTCTTGCACTTGTTATCCTTTTGAATGGTGTTCATGACAAGTTTCATCCCGCAGGTTTCGCCGGTGCGATATTCTTTGGAGCAGTGTTGGCGGAAATGTGACCATTTGTAGTCGCCGCAACTCATCTGGTGTTGATCGTAAAAGCACATGGTGGCCGTGCGTGTGGGGTCTGTCCGTCCGTTAGTCGGGCTGCTTGACGACCACATCTGAAACTGGTGTGTATCTGAACGTTGGAAACTTACTGGCTATGGGTTGGATCTTGGCTTTACTGCTTGGGGTTTTTGCGTGATTGGGCTTTTAGCGAAGCTTATGAGTCGAGGACGCGATAGAGAGTTGGCTTGAAATATCAGGATGAGTTGATGTTCTTCTTGACTGTTTGGAAGACGAATGCTTGCTGATGTTGATACAGAGAAAAAGAACTGGCTGTGACCAACGCTTTTATAGCCTCGCAAGACAGAACCCATCCAGCGAAACTTACCTTACGATTCTATCATGCTCAATGCTTGCGTAGGACTTTGCCATCGCCCCGCCTATTCCGGCCATCACATTCGAGCCAACGAACAACGCATCTCTGCAAGTCGTGCCGTTCTGTCACCACCGGCCTCCATTACGCAGAAGCGATATCTTCTCCTGTGGAACCCCATGGCATCTCCAATCCCTGCTGGACTGTAGATTGCCCTTTTGATACCTTAGGCTGGCCAGCTCAAGGATGATCTGGCCCTGCTAAGGCAATTCTGTGCTTTCCATAGGACGAAGCCTCGGATTAGAATTTGTCTCCTCACTCTTTGTTTGTGGTTGCATATGAGTGGAGGTGCTGCATGGTCTCGGCATATGATGATGGCCATGCAATCTGATCACGTTATGGCCTGTCGATCCATGGCTGTTGTGTCTCCTCGTGGTGGAGGTTATCGAGCGGTCTGGTTACTGGACAACGATATTGCTTTCGTGTGGACCTTCCCGTCTGTGATGAGCACGGGACTCTTGGTCTCCCTGACAGGACCGCGTTTTCTGGAAAGACTTCAATATCCAGTATTGATGAAAACAAATGCCTCACGCCGCAATCACTTCACCCAACCGGATCTGATGGATCTTCGTCCGCGGCTTTCTTCTTACACACATTTTCGCTATACCTGCATTCGGGCTTGTCGTTTTTTCTTTTCGCAAGCCTATATCGATGATGTTAAGGTTCCAAGGCCATCATCCCTTTCGGGCCGCAAACGAATATGCTGGTAGCTTTGGACATTCAATCAAGAATGCATAGGATATCACTTCCAGCTCGAAGCATACCTTGGCAATGCTCCTTGCTGATGGCTTGAAAGTCAGCAGACCGCTTAGTTGCGTGGAAGAATGGATTCACATATGCAACTAGTCTAGCCCGCATTCAATTTTGGTAGAGTGTTCGCGCTTACATCCGTTCTATCCTCTCGCTCTGCTTTGCTCGAACGCCTCGCCATTATGGAGCTGATGCGCTGGCAAACGGTGGTTCTAAGGCAATCAATGTTTCTCTCATCATCACGCATGTGAAGAGCAACATGAGCAGATAGTCTGTGCAGATCTCTGCGTCTCTGTTTCGCCACTCACAAGGGCTTTCTTGCCATGACCGAAGAAATTTCCTCTTCCTTGGGCTGTTGAGGCAAGCTTTCCAATGGGGCTTCACTGACGTGGCGACCTTACTTTGGCTACTCTTCCAATTTCCAGCCAGGTCTTAGTTGAACGGTGATATGATCCGGCCTGCAAAGAAGACTGGGCCTTGTATGGCACAACGTTTTTTCATCATATTTCCGTCCCTCTTGCATGTCTATCACATAGTTCGGGCATATTTCAAAGAGTTCTGCGTAAGGCTTTCTTATTGAAGGAGATGGCAAGAGATGCCGAAGACCAGAAGTCTGAGTTACTGAGGCTCTCAGTTGTGCGTGTACTTTTGGAGCCATGCTCTCTTGGCCCCCTGGCATTTTCTTATCCCTCTCACAGATTGCTCAAATACTCATCATTCAAATTTTGCAAGGCAACTCTTCACGGTGGCAAAGTGCTATACCAATGCAGAAGCTGCAGAAGCCATCACACTATGGCATGACGGGAGACCAACTAATGCCATTGAGCGGCCATGATGACTACTATCATGGCAAGTTGCATCTTGAGGCGAAGTTCTCTACCTGTTCCGTCCCATAAAGGAAGTTGACTTGGATCAGGGGTTACAATTCAATGACGGTCTCACCGGCGACGATGATCGAGGGCTGACTTTTGGCAACATACACGAGGAGGCTGGGAAAGAAGAAAGCCTATCCTACGATGAGGAGAAACCTGACTGCCTGATGTGGGAAGAACGAGCTGATCAACTGTCTGTTAGGTATTGAATCAATCAATTAACCGATGTTGACAAACAAGATATTGATTCTGGCCCCCAGGTGATGTTGTTTTGCAAAATTGATAGGCAGTGAGTGACTAGTTCGGATAAACATGACCCCCTTTTTGACCTCCAGACAAGCGAGAAGGATCATTTAGTTTTTGATATGCGAGAGAAAAACAAAAGATTTTGTGAGCGGTGGTCCGTCGCTCGTGACATGGTGTACCACCTCAACTTGACAGAGATTTTTTTGTTGGGATTACCAATCTCGGCATTCAAACGGTATTTCGACGTTTAGGAGTTGACGTTCTGCGGTGGAGCCACGCTTGGTACACATTTAATCATGTGTTTAGATATCCACTGCGTGTCGTGAGAAATGGTGGGGTGGTTCTCCTGATTGATCGACGAATCAGATGCATAGAAGAGGTGGTCAGCAAAATAGAGTATTCCACACATCGGTAAGCCTCATCGAGTACCTTGAACGGTTCTTTATTGGATGGATGTCTGCAGATGGGATATGGAGGTGAGCAGTGTGGGGCAAGGGTAATGTTGAGAAGCGACATCAGCATCATGGTGGTCGGTAAGGGGTGACCTTTACTCGGCACGCCCCGTAGCGCTCTTTACGATGTGTGGGCTAGGCTGGGATGATAGTAATGAGAGGTCGCCGCCGAGACGACCGGGTTTTTTCTTGCTTTTGCGGAAGCTAGCTATTACATCCCTCTTACCGTACTTGCTTGTCAGACTTTTATCTCCCGGGTTGGCATTCCGATGGGAAGTCCCATAGCTGATCTGATCGGAATCAGCGCTAAGTACCGCTTAGAGATGTTGGCAGCATGTTGCTCTACGCGTGGCATCAAGGCCGGCCTCAGGTTGCGTCCTAGATAGATAGTATGTATGCTGCAATGCACGCCGATTGCACACGACAACAGCTGCGAGGCGATAGCTACCAGAACTGGACCATCAATGGGTTTCCATGCAGCATGCCGTGGAAAACGGCCGCCCTTCAACCGCAGACCGTTTGTTCATCCATCGGTGTCTACAAACACAGGGCGAGTTGAGAGCTAGGCCCCGTCGGCCGTCTCGTTGCATCGTGTGTATGGGCTTCCCCATGCCGAAATCTCATGGTATATGCGGTGCTCTGCGCTGTCCACTTGCCTGCCATGTTGAGGTCGCCTGCACGACGGCCAGCCTCGAATTCCCAATCGCCAATTCTGAGCGTGAGGGTGCTGAGGCGCGGACGCGTTGAGGTGGCCGTGACCGTAACCCGCTTGATGGAGGGAGGCCGTTGCGTACACGACCGGAAGCACGGAATGAATGGGTTCTACGATATGTGATCCAGAAGGGAGTTTGGAGCACGAATTACGTTGTCGTTCACTTGTGCCTGGTTTCGTACGCAAGAGCAGGTAACGGCTGGCTAATCATGAGGTGGTGAGGCGTGGAATTGAGGTGATAGGTAGGTATACACCACGTGACTCCCCATCTTTGACGCCTTGGATTTGCGAACATGTGGGTTTGGGGGCTCCGTGGAGATGGAGATGGTGATTTGTACATATGTGGTGGTTGCTGCATTCGGATGTTTACTGTGAGAGGAGTTTTGTTTGGTTGTTGTTTGGACGAGGCGAGAGGTGAGGTGGGGAATGGAAAAGGGGGTCTGTCGGTTGGAAAGTGGAGGTGGAGGTGGAATGGGTACCCCGCTATTTTCGTGACTTGGACGACGTATCGTGAGTATGTGATGAACAACGCATGTACAGTAAATTCAAGATCGTGAAACCTCCTTCTACCTAGAATTTAAACAATCTCCCACCTTCTCCACTACCTCAACATGCCCACCACCCTAACAACCCTCCCCCCCGAACTCCTCCTCACAATCCTAACCCACCTCGACATCCCCGACCTCCACGCCCTCACGCGCACTTCGCACGCTCTCCGACACCTCTCCACCGACCCTCTCCTCCATACCACGCGTCTCCAGCGCGTGCCCGCTGCCCTCAACCATTCTCTAAACGCGAGACCTAGTCTGGCGTCCCTGATTGCGAAGCAGATATATGTTACGAGGACGACTGTTGTGGCGAGACGGCTCGGCAGGGATTTTATTCGGATAAGGTTGGAGAGGGAGTTGGGGGGGAGGGGGGTGGGTGTTTGAAGGAGGAGTTGGGGGACGGGGGGGGATTGGTTGAGGGATGAAGAGAAAGGAGTGATATAAAATAGGGGGGGTAGAGCTTTGAATGCCTGTTAGACGGTTTAGGGGGAGAGGTACGCTAGGGAAACGGATAGAGGGGCCGGCTAGCGCGATAGCTTCTGGGGTAAGGCTAGTAAGGCGGTTTTAGATAGTAGGAACGCTATACGAGTACGAGGAGTAGAACGGTAGGTTATATATACTATTTTATTAGAAGATATAGGCGAAAGCGGGCTTTAATATTTAATATTTCGGGGTTTAAAACTTAAGGTATACTATATCTAATTCTATAGTATTAACACAATTTATATAAATAAGAAGGGAAATGTAAAGTATACCTCTACTTAAATGCGAATTTTAATTAAAGTACTAGATGGCTTTAACGAGATTCTACCCTACGCTTTCCCCTTTTATACTAATTCCTTATTCTCGTCTCTTATTCTTTATATTCCTAGACTATAAATCGATAGATACTATAACACACTACTTTCCGAACAATTACAATTACTATTTGAAAAAAACACATTCCCTATCTCCACTAGATTAAAATCCTACATAAACCGAAAACAGGATGGAAATCAGTACTCCCGTCTCTACAGCCTGCCTCTGTAGAACCAAACCTGATTAATCTATCGGCATCTTATTTGTGTTTTAAAATAAAGAGGGAATTACTACCACTACGCTCTACATCCTCTTCTGAGAATTGAGCTTTCTGTATTTAGCTAGTATAGTCGAACTTTAGAGTATGTTTTGGAGATAATAGATTAAGGGAGTATATAAAGACATTAGCGAGAACTATCTAGTCTTTAGCAAGCTGCGTAGAAGAAGTTTGCAATACCCATTTCCTTATATCACGAAGTCTTAAGAACGATCAAGTAATTCTCTACCATCTTATCATCATTATTCTTGAAACATATACACATATATTTTCCACTGGAATTCCCCCCCCAGAACACAGCCATCCTAGCACAAAAGTCAAAACCGACCTCCCAACTCCCAGCCCCTCATTTCCCAATTCCATCCGCATCCAACTCTCCCACCCACCCAAAACCCCCCTTTTCGCACTCACACCCCCTATCCTCCCCCACCACACCAATCCCCCTCACATATCCACATCACCAAAGCCCTACACTTAACCCCGAAACACTCATACACCTCCCCTGCTTACGAAAACATAAAAACGACAAGCCCAAAAAAGTAGAGATCTGGATCTCGAAAAGAGTATTCGAGGAACAGCGCAAACGGCATCGTCCCTGATTAGGGGTGAAGGGTAGGTAAATAGATGTTACGAATTCAGCTTGCGAGTAAGAGATGAGAAGAAAATATCTGAGAGAGGGGAGAGTGAGTTCAGAGGATGTTGTATGAGGTGATGTTAGTAAAAAACGTCAATTTAATGTTAAAGATAGGTGGACTACTTGGTGAACAACATTGAAAACCCGAGCGTGGGTTCCATGAATCTCGCATGAGAATTCCAAATCGGAATGTCTTGGGTAGTATCTATCAAGAATCCGATTCTTCATGTTATGGAAATGGTATACTATAGTTGTTTGACTGGAATCTTTAGGGGACGTTATATCATGTCACCTCCTATTCTTCCTATCAAATCATAATTCACAACCGGGATCAAAAAACACATTTATATATAACCACCACTTCATTTGAATCTCTCTTTTCTATCCTCCACTACATGCTAAATACCTATCTACAAAGCCCCCTCCCATCATCTCCCCCTCACCCCTCTCCTCACTTCCTCTCCTCCCCACCAAACTAACAACAAATAAAAATCCCCGCTCCAAATCTGGTATAAAAAGCACGCTCACCTCACAAAAAAGCAACATCAAGTCATGAAAAAATAAAATCTATTCCACACCGTCCACCTATATTTCTAAAGCTCCTCAACTCCTCCTATACCCCTCCGCCCCTCCCATCGGTCCATACCCCGGACTCGGTCCCCCATTATTATACGGCGCCGGACTCGCCAACCTATTAATACTAGGCTGCACATTCATACTCTGCGCCGTCCCGGGCCTTTGTGGACCATTGACGAAATACCCATGCTCGCTGACATTCCGCTGTTGCGGGACGGGACGGGTTTGTTGGGCAGCGGATGCGCTTCGCATGCCTGGGTTGTAGGGAGCGTAGCCGGATGGGGCGGGGGAGTTGCGACCGTTTTCTGGGGACGAGCGGCCCATGTTTTGGTCGTATGGTGTTTGTTGTCTTATTGATGGTGGTCCCATTGGGGTATTCGAACGCATTTCGTTCATCGGTCGGGGTACTGGGCGACCGTAACCATCTAGGGTCTGTCCTCCTGGAGTAGCACTCCTCGGGTCGGTGTAAGATACTGGACTTGAGGTGTACCCTCTATCGGCCATGGCGCTCGGCATTCTTGGAGGTCCTTGTGTAATTGGACCTTCACTCCATTGACTCCGGCTTGAATTCGAGGTCATTGGCCTTGAAGGTAGACCATTAGGATAGCCATTGTTCAGAGGCGCTATCGATGGAGCAGGCGAATCTCTTCCACTTTCTGCAACATTTCCCATCAAAGGAGCATTCGAGCCAAAGCTTGTGACGGAAGAGTTGGTTGCATTGCGATTAGGAAATGGTCTCGATTGACTCAAATTATTAAGTTCGAATGCGGGTAAAGTGGCTTGTCCACTAGGGGTTCCAGGACGAGATGAATACAAAGGTAAAGTCTGCATCGTGTCGTTCCTAGTGAGGGTCGGCATGTTAGGTAGCTTGTCATCGTTCTTTGGGTCGAACAGAGTTGGCAAGGTAGCTTGGCGTCCAAGAACTGGCGCCTTTTCTCCCTTCTTCAATCCCTTCTTATCAGCATTTTGACGTCTTCTTTCCTCCTCTTCGATTGCCTTGTTGACTTTGACAGATACAATCTGCGATAGACGTTTATCAACCTTTCTCCGGCAGTAACCAGTAAGTCCACCGTCTCGATTAGGAATGTAATGCCAGAGGAAGAAGGAGTAGAACAGAATGGCTAAGAGCAGTGATAAAACACCAAATACCCAAATGACAAGAGTGAAGATCATTCCTGATAACACGACAGCTTGCTGATTGTTCTGTTCTGCAAGATGTCCGATGTTGGTAAAGAAAGTCGATAACGTCGAACCAACATCCTCTTTGCCTTCAAAGTTGGCTTCGAACACCGCGTAGAGCGTGACTGCGTTGATGACTTGTCGTGGACCTTGGCAAAAGATGATTCGAATCCAAGCTATCAACATCAGCATTGATCATCCAATCGGCATCTCTTTTACTCACACTGAAAGGAGAAATATGTAAACAAGGCAACATATTCCGCACCCTTCTTACTCTTTGTCAACTCTGCAAACACCAGAAATCGCTTGTATCCGCGTCCCGTCTTCGTCCATCGAACGCACTGTAACCGAACCGCCAATGAATCCAGGAAACTCTCAGCAACAGCCCCTCTCTTCATCACGCGCATCGCTCGGAAATGTTCGTACGCAACATTGAGCCACGATAATATGATACAAGCCGAGAATATCCATTTACCGACATCGAGATCGATCGCTGGTGCAATCGCTCCCGACCATTTATCAAACGCGAGCAGGTTGACCGCGGTAAAGGTATCGACACCGTAGACGGCGATGGAGACCACGAGAGAACCGACGAGATATGCGTATGCGAAAGGAGGAAAGCAGCCGGTGTTCTTGAAATCGTTCAGACTCTGTCGCATGGTTAGCACTCCAACTACACCACTTCCAAATCAACCACCTACGATAAAATCCCACTTCTGTTCCGGTCTGAGGTCCTCCTCCTTGACTCTCCCCGAACAGCCCATATTGAAAATGCAAAGAAGTAATTAAAATCGATAATTGCTGGTCCAGCCAAAGCGCCTGGCCGTAAAGAGAGGACGGACGAATTGAAGCACTTTCAATTCCTCGTGTGGAATGTTCGTTCTCGACTGTCGCTTCGCCAATCGATATCGTAAGTCGTTCTTCCGCCTGCGGGTATGTACGACTGCTAAAGAGAGTATGAATGAATGGTGCGTGTGGCGGTGATGTTGGTTCAGGATTCTCGAGGTTGGACAGGCCAAGGGGAACGACCGTAGGAATCGTCGTTCGATGCACAATGCAGAGGTCGTCTGCCGGCACAGCAGCGGTTAACGGTGTGTTCGTCCTGAATACCGGACTGGTTCGCCTTGCGGAGCCTCGTTGCTATTGTCGCATAGAGAATGGTCGGTACGGAGGCGTTGGGCGATCTCACGATGATCTCGGCGAGCAGAGACAATGCTAAGGGAAGCGATTCAGCGCAATGAAACAATCGACGTCAATACAGCCAAGGGAAGGCTGAATAGAAACAACGTCGTCGATAATAGGGATGGTTTCCGTGGTCGGCAGTCACGGCGCGGCTTCTCGATGGTGTCGCTGTTTGCTTTTCCTGCCCACGGTTTGATCGCTGCGGTTGTGTCGCAGATGCCGAATGAGGAGAGATCAGTCGTGAGGAATCGCGCGGGCGCCGAGGGGTATCAATGGATCAATGCGCGAGAAGGAGAGGAATTCTGAAGAGAGCGAGCGAAGGGCTAAATGAGCGACGATGATAACAATAGCAAATGCAACGGCACGAGCAAGATAGCACAACGTATGCAGCCGCACGTAAAGGAGTGTCGAATCTTCCGCGAAGATCAAGAGTGGTGGTGTTGAGCTTATTCCGCTGGTCGTTTCATCTCAAGTTGGGGTGGATGGTCCATGGATGGTCTCTGGTGTTGAGGAAAGGAGTTGCGAATTAGCCTCGTGGACCCGGGTCCCAGAAGCGGGAAAGCGGCAGCGGCAAGGCGACCTTCAAGCGACCAAATGAGGATATACCTTATCCGCACTATTTATATCGACAAGCGCGCGTTTCTGTTGGAACGACCTTTGAATGACCTATGATTTAGCTCTAAAACTCATCCGCAGACCGATTGCATCTTTCCAAACAATTCCTCTTCGAATTCCAACTTCCGTCCTTCCGAATACCCAATATGCCCCGCCGCTTTTCACAAATCCTCCCTTCCCCATCTCTCGCTTCTTATTCGTGCCTCTCACCGATATTCAGGGGTCGCGTTGCCCGTTTGGCGCTACTTGCGCAGGTACCGTTTGCTCCCCGTTTTACCATCGCAGCCATACAGAGGGCTGCATTCAGAGTTGGTGATCTTGCGACAAACGGCGCCGATGTTGTACATATCTGTTCTGTGCACTATTCGTTGTGCATCAAGTCAGCCACATTTCTTGGAATTCTCTTGATCGAAACCAGAATGGTATATGTGGCTGTTCTTCTACTCAAGCGACATCTTTCTCCTCTCTACAGTCTTCCTCGAAATCCTTCCTCAGATCTCAATTCATCCTCCACGCATAAGCACCTTATTCCCAACAAGCAAACCCAAAAAGAAATAAATTGTGCAAGCAGGCGCGGCCACAGACCCGCCAAATGTTTGACCTTAATCAATGAACGTGCATGACTCTCCTGAAACATGAAACGAGGGAGATCAGGTGACACGAACCATTTGCTCGTCGTCGCAATTATTTGTTTGCCAAGTGCAAAGTAACGACGACAGTGATACTGTATACCTTAACAAGTGCCCAATTACTTGGCATTCCTACATCATTGGCTTGAATCAATACAACACAAAGCCTTCTTCCTTTTAGGTTTTAACAGAGTTGATCAATTAGCCACAGAGTTTTTCTAACTACCACTACATCACCTGACAATTTCTCATCCAAGATTGTAAATATCAATGACTTCCAATTCAGCAATATAGAAATGTCTCAATTAAGATCAAGAATTTCGTATAAGCATTAGGCTTGGCTCAGCCTCTCACAACCTCAACGTCCTCCCACCGTACTAGAACTATCTCAAAAGTTAATGACTGAACAGAACATACATTTGTTTTTATGTTGTTTTTACAAAAAAAGCGTGTCAAGCGGCATATAAGATATTAAGGGAAATTCGGTCATGTAGGTTACTCATGTTGCATGTCAGGCTATTGATGACAGATTTATTCTCCATAAAACAAGCACATGCCTTAGCAGACCTCCTTTTGCCAGCATCGATCCACTGTATCTGATACTCAGAAAGGACAGTTTTACACGTTTGACTATATGTTCTTTTTTGATTCATGATGTTAAGTCGGTCAGTCTTATCTAAACTTCAGCCAACTCAGGTTGATCTCAGTAGCAGGTTGTTACAAGTCGCCAACAGTTTTGATGACCTCCGTTGCGCAGAAGTCTAGAAGATGGATCCCGCGATACTTGTGATAGTGATAAGTCAACTAATTCTGCAATTCAATCAAATCGAGTAAAACATAAGCTCAAGGAAAGGAAAGCATTTCACAAACGTTAATCAAAGATTTCCTTCAATTCCATAACCAGCTCATACATGCCAGGCCCTTTCGATTCAGTGGTCATCGCCACGACGGAGAGCCGAAAATTCTGTTTACGGGGTACGAGCTCCCTTGTTAGCCCTCCAACATTCACAATAGAATCTGCCGTGAAATTTGCGACGTCGTGTCTCGAAGGATGTGTAATCAAAGATCGATGAAAGATAGAGCGCACGCCACGGAGATACTCATTGTACTCATTAGTTTTCGGCACAACGATGCTTGCGTGCGGTGCTATGGGCGTCTGCGTAAAGTCTGTTGGCTCGGTGAAGCCAAGTACAACGTACAGATTCTTGAATACTTGGTTGGATGACGATAATGTGATGTTGGTATTACGAGATGGTGCGCCGATTACAACAGCCGCCGTGAAGTTTGGATGCCCATCCGTAATGAAATATCCAGAGAGTTTTTCGTAACCTTCGCTCCAAAGATGGGAAGGCTGTTTGTTGAACTCCAAACCAAGACCCGATGAGTCGTAGATTGTGACATAAAATCTATGGCACAGTCTTTGCTCCAACAGTCGAGACTCCCACGGAAGAATGATCTTAGGGATAGAGATATCGTCTTCTTGGGCTACGCCACTGAATAAATGGGTTAGCATTTATCTTTTACTGTGCTGATATACTGGCTTTAACTTTCTGAAGCGGGCATCCAAAGAAATTAAGAATATGAATTAAACCATAGCATCCCCAATGGCGTACAACTGGTTCGCTAGGAACACAAAGATCTTTGTGTTCCTATGTAGAGAAATATCAGGTGCACTGAAAGAGATGGCTCATAACACTCAACTCTATTTGGCTTGAACTATCAGTCTCACCCTATCCGCTATGTCGACCAATGAATATAAAAGGGAATTAGGCACTGTACCTCCAAGCGACTCCCTCTACTTTATGGCATGAATGTCGAGCATACCCTGATGACGTTTTGACCAGCAAAATCGCAATTGTTCCAGGGATGCGTCTACCAGTGCAATGTAAGACCATGAATAGGCTACCTTTATACACCTGTAACTCGGATTGAAACTGCAGACCTCTATTGGTAACAAAGTATTTCGGTCTGGGTGTGAATGGGGAAGTATCTCTCTTGAAGTTGTTGCAACTGCGAAACTCAGATGGATTACGTGCGAAGATACCGCGATATGTTTGGTCATCTCCCGTCGATGTCCACGCAAACAATGAGAGATCGTGCACGCTCGATACAATAGCTTCTTGGAGTCGAAGAAAAGCCTTGGATCCCTCGCCGTAAATCAGGGGAAGATTAACGTCAAACAAACCGAACAAGCAATATGCAAGGTCTTCAATCCGTGTAGTCGATCTGTCAGCTGCCCAGGACCTTTCGGTAATTGAAAGTCAGTAGAAATTCGCCTATGATCACGCTACAGAGGAGACTGAAGACATGGGAAAAGGGAGTACACTTTGGTGATAGTAGAGCGCACTTGAAACATGGAGAGGCACTTACATCCGTCTAGCGACACACGCTGTTGACAGAAGCTCACTATCCTCAAGGATATCAACGTCGATGCCTGTTATACCTGAAAGCTCTTCCTGCAGGTCAGTTTTGCTGCCTTTCAACTCCCAAGAAGCATTGTAAAATTCAATATCCGCCGGTGCAATCAGCTCTTGCAAGGTCCAGCCGCGAGTGAACCACTTGCAATTCGGTAAATCAGCTTCAACGTTGCTCATTTCACTGAGATCTGAAAGATAGACGTAGCAGATCTTCGAAAGCTTGTACCATTCGAACATCGAATTGATGGCTTCCGACAACTCAGCACTGCTACTCTTGTCGATACAGCACGTATCCACCCAAGCATACTTGAGACCACTGCTCCGAGCTAATTCGCATGTACGATCAATTTTGGAGAATCCGGCCTTGGACCTGGCCTTGTCAAGATCTATCATGTCTTGGAAGCTGACCTCCTCATGCTCCCATGTATGCGACAAGATTGCATACTTCTGATTTTCAGGATCACCAAAGAACTCCAGCTTCAGAGTGGAAGTATTGATGAGCCACATGAGTGCAACGCCGATACGTCTAATGAACAACGGCGGGAAGCTAAGCGTTCTGATGATGTTGGATTTGGCTCCTGCAAGACAATCTCAGCTCTTCATCACGATGCATGGGCGACCTATCAGACACCGAGCTGGGTGGTCGCCGCAATTCTCCTCAGCACAAACAAACTTGCCCTCGAATTGAACACAGGTCAGACTCCTATCAGCTTCAAATTTCATGTCGCAAGTCTCCATTGTACAAATGATATGGGATCGAGATTGACTGTAAATTTGTCGTTTCTTAAGTCGATTGACTAAATTTCGAGGGTTGTTGTTCGGTCGAAACGGCCGCAGTGCCGATTTGGACCAAAGCGGCAGAAACCAAAGCGGTGAGGAAACTGGATTGTCCTTACACGTGATTGCAGGGCAACTCAGGCACCAAGGAGAACACCAAAACTCTGACTCTGTACAGTGGCGGTGTCCACGATGCAACCAATCTTTTAGAGGTATTAGACAGCCAACAAATGTATCAATTTCTAATACTCGATATACTTGCTCACGCATTCCTTGCAATATTGCATTCTCAAATTAGCACAACTTAGGCTTCTCTACTTGGCCATCTTCTTTCTCAATCCATCGCACGCTGCCTGGCCCAATCCAATAAGTGAACCAGAATTCATGATCTCCAGCACGCTTATATCCAGACCAAAAGTTTGTTTCCACCATCTCCTCAGCTCAATAGCCATCAAGCTGTCCATACCGATCTGATTCAGGGTCATTGATGTATCGATATCTTCCTCTTCTTTCATCATGAATCTGAAAATCCTTGCACCAATCTCGTCTGCCAAATACTCGGCATTGGCCGTCACCCCCAGGATCTCAGGATCCAAGGCGGCTCTAGCAAGGAACGACTTGAGCGCATTAGAATTCAGTGTGCTGGAGTCGCCCTTGGTGTCTTCAGATATGTTGTGGAACATTCCCATGCGACGGTCACGCCTCCAAGAGGTTTGGCAATCGGGGTGATTCAGATGAACCTCAGACCTAAGACCCATTACAATATGGCCACTCGACTTCCAGGAGGAGATGTTGTCGTTGGAAGTAGATTCCGCCTTCGTTTTTGGTGGGTGAGAGTTCAGGATTGCCAGCTCCATATATTCTAAGAGCTCTCGCTCTGGAAGGAAGTATAACCCCTGAGATTTGAGCTTTCTTCTGATGAGAGGATTCTCGGCGACGAATCCAATATCATCCACTGGGCACACACCCAAGACAGACGCTGGCAAGCCGAGGCGGTGTCGATACTGAACGAAAGACTCGAGGAACGTGTTTGCTGCTGCATAGTTGCCCTGCCCAGGCTGATCAATCAGGGTAACCAGAGAACTCGTCATGACGAAGAAGTCGAGCTCTTCATCCTTGAAAGTATTGTGCAAGTTCCAGGCCCCTTCGACCTTGGGAACTACAGCTTCTGTCCAGTCCTCGTATGTCATGTCCAAAATTGGAGCGTCTCGAAGCACCATTGCAAGATGGAAGATTCCTTTGACTGGTTTTGTTGCTCTGCTGGCCACTTCCTGAACGGCTTGGATATCATCTGCTTTACCTTGGATTGCTGTGATCTTGCATCCCATACTTTCCAATTCGGACAAGAATGAGCTGTCATGCTCCCCCTGACCCGCACTTCGAGAAAGAAAAATGAGATTACGAGCTCCACGTTCTACCATCCAGGTTGCCACCGACCTCCCAAGACCACCAAGACCACCAGTGAGCAGGTATGAAGCATCTGGATTCAAGCTAAAAACTTTCCCCTTTGGCTTACTGGGGATGTCAGAGATCTGCGCGGGGATCCTGATGACCGCCTTTCCAATGTGATCACCTTTTTGGAGGTGACGGAAACTGCTTGAGATATCTTTGGCGTCAAAGACGGTCATTGGAATTGGTGTGATAAGCCCTTGCGAGAACATGCTGACCCATCTCTCAATTGTACTACGGTCGTCAGTATGTCTTTGAAAGATTCGGTGGGAATTAACTCACGCTCCGACTGTTTCTGGGCGCTTCTTCATTGCGTGCGCGAGGTCGACACAGCAGTACGATCTGTTTGCCAAAAATGGTTCCAAATCGAGTTTCCCATAGCCCACGAGATCTCTCTTCCCGAGTTCGATGAGTTTACCAAACTCGGCAACACATCTCCATGATGCATGCAAAAGCTCTCCTGATAGAGAGTTGAGGACGATGTCGACACCTTGGCCACCAGTTGCATCGAGAACCCCTGCCAGGAAAGAATCGTTTCTGGAGTCAAAGATTCGCTCCCTTGGTATGTTGAGTTTTTCGACGAGGTAATTCGCCTTATCTTCATTGCCCACGGTACAGTAGATCTCGGCTCCTACCATCTTACACAGGTCGATGGCGGCATGACCAATGCCTCCACATGCTGAATGGATCAAGACTGTCTATAGAATTATTAGCAAATATTGCGGCAAGAATGGGTGATTGCCAAAAGTGTGGAATGCTTCTGGTGAAATCCCAAGCTTGTGAACACTCTCACTCGGCCACGGAAACCGCATGATGGAAAGAAAATGAGTGACATACCTGGCCGCTCTTCATTTGACCGACATCAAGTAGAGCTTGTACCGCCGTTGTGTAACATGCGGGCATGGTGGCGCCCTCCTCAAAGCCCAACGAATCGGGTATCCTGACTACGAGGGAGCTCAAGAGAATAGCGCGAGTCGAGAAACATCCTTCCATCGCAACACCACACACATGATCCCCAACAACAACGTTTTTCACGTCAGCCCCAACTTTGCTAACAACTCCCGTCAGCTCCAGGCCCAGAGACACGCTCTTAGATCCAAACTTGAGAACACCCATAGCTACCATGATATCTCGGAAATTCAAACCCACAGCACGAACTTCAATTTCAACTTGATTGTCCCCAACGTCAGATATACTTTCTTCGACCCATGCAAGAGTATCCAGCAGACCTGGCTTGCCTATGACAAGAGTTTGGGCATTACCAGAAGAGGCACAACCCTTTTCGCCAACTTCTTCCTCAAGAGAGAAAGGCTGGTACCTGCCAATCTTTATAACACCCTTATCAACGGCATATTCCTTGTCCGGAGCAATGATATCGTTATCCTCGCGCGTGCGCACCTTTTGGAACACCTTCATGACCAGGGTAGCAAATTCGCTCTCCGATTCATCAATCTCCAGAGTGTGTATGGGGATTGCAAGCTCGGCACGAGCCACTCGAAACGTACCAATAGTTTGTCCAGAGCGCGGATTTTCGCAGGCCACTTGTGTCGGTGGCATCAACCAAAGCATCTTTTGGTCTTCATATTGCCTAAGGATTTCTTGGAATGCTATGAAGTCCGCTTTAGCGATATCTTCGAAGAATCGTCCTTCCAGATCCAGTGTACTTATGATATCTGAATTGTGAGGAAGCATGTCCCCAAAAGCTGTTGTGGTGACTTGGACACCGCAATTCTCTAGCTCTTGGACGAGTCTTAGGGTGATACCTTCCTTGGGATTTCTGCAGAGAATCACCACCGGGCGTTCAGTGACAGCTTCCTGGGGCTGTGGCTGTGAGACGATTGCCGCACAATACTGGAAAGGTGCCTCTGCATCGTAAACAACTACATCAGTACCGGTGAAGCCTGCAGCCTTCAGTTCCATGTCCCACCTCTCTGGCATGATGTATGGCTCCCACTTGCGGTTGTCTGCCTCACCCAGCCACCATCCTGAAAAGTTACCAAAGACATAGCCTGGTGCTCTAGCAAGAGCACAGACTTCCGAAAGAACCAAATGACCATGTGGACGTAATAATGGCTGTAAATTCTTCAAGGTCTGGTTCAAATTTGCAGTTGCATGGACAACATTTGGCGCAAGGATGATATCAAAAGACTGTGCCTTGAAGCCTTGCTCAAACGGATCCTTGGAAATATCAAACACTTGATAGTCCATATTTGGGGCGTACGAGAAGCGTTCTTTTGCTTGGGCAAAAAAGCCAGCAGAGATGTCCGTAAAGCAATAGGTGGAGTAAGCAGGGTTTCCCCCAGCGCGCGCTAGATCCCTCAGAATGAGCTCTGTCGTGCCTCCAGTGCCCGCACCTACTTCCAGAATTCGAAGATTAGGCTTGGTGAGGGATAGCATGTGGATGAAATCTCCAAAGCCGAAGGACACCGCGTTATAGATTTCGGTCAACACATTGTCTTTCATGAGCAGATCGAGGGTGTCGACAGAACCTGTGAAGAGGCCTTCGGCATTCTCGCAAATTCTCATGATACCTGTCGCAACAAGACCGATGCTCTCGTTCGTGTGTAGAATGTTCATGCGATCTTTCATTCCTTGAACGCGTTGGGCACGAGATAGATCGAGGTAAGAAGAGGCATTTTGAACAACTGGGTAATCTCCTGACTTGGCACGCTCCTTCTCTCTTGCAAGCCAGTCCCTGAATTGCAAGAAATGAGGCTGTTCCGTATGCAGCCCCTGCAATCTTTCGTGAGAGTCGAGCAGACAGAGCAATGCCAGTTCCTCCAAAAGTCGCTTAACATCATTGTCGGCCATTGGAGGAGCGAAAAGCGGTGGGATCTCCATGAAGTCAATGTCTGGATACCATTCCAAACGGGCTGCAGCGTGCCGATCAATGTCAACATTGGACTTCTCTTCATCAAGCGGACTCAAACGAGCACCCCGAAGACGAAGTGCGACTTTGCCATCTGCGACGCAATCAAGACCAACCTTGTCATCTAAGCTCCAAGCCTCTGCTACCATTGTGGCAGCACTACGCGAGACGTCCAACTCTTCGATGAGTGTAGGGACACAGAGCTGCGTGAAATTTCTACCAGCTGCCTGAGCAAGAGCCGCCAAGACTACCTGGAGACAGGCGTCGATGGTTGCCGGATGGAAGAGAAATGGTGCTTCTTGTCGACTCTGTGTGTTGCCGATCTCCGCCACTGCCTTGTACTCCGTAGCAGATGATGTGAGCTCCTTAATACCTTGGAATTCGGGACCATATACAAGACCGACACGAGCCATAATCTCATACCAGCGAGCGACCCGGACCTGCCGTTGAAGCGGTTCGATATGGCTTGCTCTTTTGATTTCCTTTTGCATCGGCATGACAAGGCCGTCACAATGCTTGATCCAAGTGCTTCCAGAGTATGATGAGATGGTGAAATTGTACGCTTCTGAGTCAGCGGCGTCTGTGAGCTTGTGGCGGGTAAGATTCGTCACAACTTCCACTGGAGCAGATTCTGTGAGAACCATGGCTGTATGAGCTACGACGTGTCTTACGCTATACCCAGCTTCAATTCCTGTGACTTGTCTAATTGCTTCCCCTGCCATGGCAACATAACCGGCAAATGGGAATATCACATCTTCGCCTACTTTGTGATCGAGCAGCCAAGGCTCGTCTTCTAAGTCCAAGAGAACCCTCCATGATGGGTGGAAGCCAGTACTTTCGGGGATGCGTTGGCCTAAGATGGCATGATGGCCAAATGACCGCAAACGCCAGTCCTTCGCTACTCGACTCTCGTACCAGAATGACTGCGAATGGTCCCAAGGATACGCAGGCAGGCCTCCATCGACCTTTCCGTTGGAATTCAAAGCCTTCAGATTGAGGTGGCTTCCTTGCTGGTATAGCGAACCCATAGCGGATAAGAGGTTTTCGGCGGAATCGCTCGCGCGAAGCATTGTTGGGATATACGGGCATGGTAGGCCAGCATTTGCACAGATCTGCCGCAGTGGCCCTGCAAGCGTTGAATGGGGGCCTATCTCCAGGAAAATATTATGGCTTTGGTCCTGCAACAATCTGGAAAGCGCTGAGCTGAACTTGACTGGAGATGTGAGATTCAGTCCCCAGTACTCTGGATTGAGCATTGAAGACCCGACAATCTTTTTACCCGTCACGCTCGAGTACAGTGGAACTCGAAGATCATTTTGTTTCATATTCTTTGCAGCAAGTTCTTCGTGCAGGAGAGTAGTGTACGGTAGGAGGATATTCTTCATGTGATCTTGGAGAGTCGCAAGTCAGCAAAAACGGTGTTTTTTTCCGGATATTGGTACTTACGGGAGTGATATGCCATCTCCACCTTCAATTGGCGAGCAAACACATCTGGGCTCCGCTCTTTCACAGCTGAGACAACTTTTCTAACCTGGTCCAAATCTCCAGAGATGGTAGTACTGCCTGGACTGTTCTCACAAGCAATGACAACGCCGTCAGTCAGGAAATCTAGAACATCCCCAGCGCCGAGACCAATTGCTGCCATCCCTCCACTCAGGGTCTGCTGTGTGGTTACATAACCACGGTAATATGCTGCAGCAATGGCTTCCGAACAGGACAATGCTCCAGCAGCATACGCAGCAGCGATTTCGCCGGAGGAGTGCCCGACAACAGCACTGGGCTGAATGCCACATCGAGTCAAGGAATTGACAAGAGCAATTTGTATCGCGGTACATAACGGCTGCGCTAAATATGCTTTGCTGATTTGGGATCTTTCAGCGGACTTGAGTAATTCCTCTGAGAAAGAAGTCAGCGTCCAGTGACTTGCATGTAATTGAGGGATACCACAAACTTACCTTCGATGGTCCACGAGGGTGCATGAATGAACGACTGGAGGATCTTATCCATCTCTTGAATATCCTTCCGAAAATTGACATCGCTTTTTATGAGGCTGGCACCCATCTCAGGCCATTGCGCGCCTTGTCCGCTGAACACCATTGTAATTCCTGGTGGATTAACAGCTGCCTTCGCAGCTGGAGCTGCGTCCGTGGTCGAAATGTCCTCGCCAGCCAGGAAGAAAGAACGATGCGGCAGGTGCTCGCGACGTTGAGTTAGAGTATAAGCAACATCTTCAATTCGTTCCGGGTAGGATTCAATGTAACTCTTTAGATTAACGATTTGTTTCTTCAATGACTCTTGTGTGTTGGCCGATACCAACAGGAGCTTGGGGCCCGCTGGCGAGGTCTTGCCCGCAGACTTCAACACTTGAGACCGCACCTCGCTTGCCGAGTCGATAATCGCCTTCACTTACATTTAGTACAATACTTTGAATTAAATGTAAAGGGGTGATTTCACTTACGTGTGCGTTCGTGCCTCCGATTCCAAAAGAATTGACACTAATACGCTCCGCACGATTTTCAGGCCACGGAGTGGGGACCACAGGAACTATGAGTTTTTTCTCCGCGAAAGGAATCTTAGGATTTGGCTTGTTGAACTTTATATTAGGAGGGATTGTACGATGTTCAAGGGCAAGCACGGCCTTGATGACGCTGTTCAGTCCCGACGCCCCCTCGGCGTGGCCAATGTTGGGCTTGACTGACCCGATCAAGACACCTCTTTCGCCAAACACATTACCAATAGCTGTGGCTTCAATCGGATCACCGGTTATCGTACCCGTACCGTGACTTCTGTTTAATAAATCAGCACACTTTTCTCTTCTTTGTTCCAGAGCCGAGAGCCGTGTCTAGAGATCAAACATGCTCCCGCCCATTAGGGAATGGAGCTTGACAGGAGGAACAAAGGAAGAGGACGGACTCTACAAAACCTGTGTCTCGAGGATCCAGTCCTGCCTTGGCATAGACGTTTCGCATCAGTTCTTCGTGGCTCTCTCCATTCGGGGCCATCTATTAGCCTATTAGCATACGTCCTCGCCAGACTATTATCAGGAGAGACTCCTCGCCTGAGTATTTTAACATACCAGTGATGCACTCTTACCATCGCTGTTGGATAGAATACCACGAATGACTGATCGGATTGGGTTTCCATCTTTAATAGCGTCGCTGAGGCGCTTGATATAGATGGCATTGATTGCTTCAGCACGAGCAAAACCATCCGCATCAGCGTCAAAGGTTTTACACGAACCCTCGGGAGAGAGGACACCCACTTGTGTCATTGCGCCAGTGAGATATGGTCCCATTATCAAACTGGTACCCGCAACAATAGCGGCAGAGCAATCACCACTTTGCAAAGCGAGGCACGCCGCATGCAGCCCAACCAAAGACGCGGAGCATCCAGTTTTAACGACTAAGCTGGGAAGATATGTGAGTTCTCTTCCCATTCATAAAGTACAGGATTCTTACCTTGGTCCCTTGAAGTCAAATTCGTATGACACACGATTTGCAATCATCAAGTCACCACTTCCACTAAATCCTGTTGTTTGTGGTTCTCGTGCGATCGAATGCAGCCAATCTTCGCCAAAGGTTCCCACGTAACACCCAATTGGTTTCCCCCGGTAATCAACCTCTCCAGCATTTTCGAGGCATTCTCGAGTCACTTCGAGAATTTGTCGCTGCTGTGGATCGACCTTCTCAAGGTCTGACTTGGTCATGGTGAAGAAGGAGGCGTCGAGGCACGAAATGTCATCTTCGAGAAAGTAGGCATGCTGAGTTTTGATAGCACCCCTCTTCCCTAAGCTGGGTCCAAACCCTTCAACATTCCATCTGTTGGCGGGAATGGGTGTTCTAGTGTCTTTGCCATGGATCAAAACATCCCAAAAGGTTTCATCATCATGAATGCCTCCTGGTAGGCGCATAGCCATGCCGCAGATTGCAATATGCTCCTCAAACCCTTTCTTCATTTCGTGGTTAATCCCGGGGGGTTTTGTATGGCCATTCGTGCCGTTTGTACCATTTGTATGGTTTGCAGCACCGTTTGTACCGTTTGTGCCATTCTTAATTGCATGGGAATTACCATTTGCCAATTTCTCATGATTTGTGTGCCCGTTGGTAGTTCCATTAGACACCATCTTGGAGTCTGTGTCTCAAAAGCTGAGAAGAAATATGTTGAATGTAATTTGGTTTTCAGTGAGTTGATGAGGATTAGCAATAGTACCTCCCACTCAGTCAGTCGGGAGTAATCCTTTAATACTTTTCAGAAGACTCTGTTCAAGGACCGGTCCTACTAGGGACTTTGATTCTACGAAGTTCTTATCAGGATCCTACGATTGAGTATTGGTGCTTTTCGTGCCCGTCACACTGTCGTTGGCTGATATCTTTCACGACACAGAAGTAAGAAGGCGGCGGTCAACATCCTTGTGCTTGTAGGAAGTTATGAAACAATGGAACACCTGCAGGCAGTTTTGCGGCGAATGTTTCTTGCAGCGCGAGGCCAAATTCGACTGAAGACCATCAAGGACCGGACCACCAGTGTGTTGCAAGGCTAACCGAACACTCTTTTAGTGTATCGTTGCCAGAAACCGACTCTGTAGCACTCCTTCCCTAAACAGTTACATTTACCCTTTGAACTAGAAGCAATATGTATAATCTCTCAAAAGGATTAAGCAAATACACATTTTAGCGCGGTCTTTATTCTATCCCCAGGGGTGCCCCGTCTGGACCGGCACCGAGGACCGGCAAGGACCGGACAGGGACCAGATACCACATCTTGATAGCCACCAAGTTCCTCATAGTATCACCAAAATAACAATTACATGAGGCCCAGTGGAACGTTGAGCTTCTCTAATAAGAAAGTCCATTTCGAAAATCTTCGCACAAGATATTTATTTCCCTTCATGCCGCCCCGAATTTATCTTCCATAAATAGTGTGCACAGTTCAAGATCGGACTGTTATTTATCTTTACCAAAATGAGCTCCTTTCAAGATAAGAGCTTCTCGAATATGGAAGATCTATACCCAGTTCCATTTCCAGATGATGTGCCTATCGCGAAATTGGAGACCATTTCTCTCAACAAGCTCTTGAGCAACAATGAAGTCGAAGCTCAGAGACTCTTCAACGTATGCAAGGGTTCTGGATTCTTTTATCTGGACATGATGGATCATGAAATTGGAAGAAAGATGTGGGAAGATGCCTGCTACGCTTGTCGCTCCGGGCAAGCGGTCCTTCCTATTACCCCTATGACAACGAAAAAGGCATACAAGGCACGCACTGGAGTCAAAGTTCTCGACAGAGGGTTTGTGATATGCACCTGGGTCCCTTTCTGTCAAGCTCATATATCTTTTCAGGTACCAGACTGGGGCGGTAAATGACGATGGACAGCCAAGAGATAGCGAAATGTTCATGGTATGCTTGTTTTGCCAGCGACGCGACGCTCAGCAATACTGACAGTCTATGATCAGGTTCCTCAAACCGAATTCTTTAGCAATGAACCCTTGGGGTTCGAATTGCCTCCATGGCTTGCACCACATGAAGAAAGATTCAAAAACGCGATGAGCAGTGGTAACATCGTTGCTAATGTCATCCTCAGTATTCTTGAGGGAAAGCTCGAGCTCCCTCCTGGAGCTCTCACCAATATCCATAAGCTGACCGATTCCTCCGGAGACTTCATTCGAGTCTTACGCTACCCCGGCACCGACTTGGGCGCAGAAATTGATCCGTTGAGATTCCCTCCTCATAGAGACGCTGTCAGCATCGCTATATTGTTCACCTGGCTCGGTGGGCTTCAGATTACCGATGAAGAGGCAGCTTTCGCTGTGCCGGAGTCATCCTGGCGGTGGGTCAAGCCTGTTCCCGGAACTGCAGTTGTCAACTTGGGCGATGCTATGGAGGTTTTCACGAACAAACTTCTCAAATCTGGCCTACATCGTGTGATCAAAGCCCCAGGCTTACAAAGAGCACACGACAAGTACAGTGTGCTCATTGTAGCCCGGCCAGAAGACAGTACGCCCATGCGAAGTTTTTCTAGCCCTGTCATTCCCGAAGGTACAGAAGAGCAGAAGAGCGCACCGATTTATTCTAGCATCGAATGGGGCCATAACAAGATCAAGGCTTTGCAGGACTTTATCGACAAGCTTCAGAGTGCGCGTGCTGGGAAGACGGAAAATCTTGAGCGCAGCTGGTGAGTGCGATGGCGTGGAATTATATACGGACTTCTGCAATTGAACCAAATTCTTCTCTGTTCCATTTGAGCTGCCAAATTTCGTAATTCTATTGCTGAGACCTTTTTCATTTATGTCGCACCAGCAATGTAGTAAACCATTCTTGGACAACCAGTGTATCACAAGACTAATGGGACCACCACTGAGGATAAAATAACAATATTCTGGCCCAAATTTATATTTATGTAGTCTTTGTGAATTAATATACAACATCTCATTCATAAAGCTAATTGTAATTGTCTAGTGAAGGACTGCTCCAAAGTCGGGTTCTGGCATCGATGTACTAGAAGGGTGTCCCGTCGGACTTGTAACACACTACAGGACCAAGGCAGAACATTAATAATACAAGTCGAAAGACAATCACATCGTTTCATCTCCACAAACATTTGAAAATTTATAGCTGGAGTGTGCAAACCTTAAAGGTTGCTGTACCTATGACATTTCTCACGACGGTGTACGCACATGACACTTTCAACTACTTAACGCATCTGTGGTAGACTTCCTTAACCCACCTTTGGGCCTCGCTTATAATTGAATGCCTGGAAGTAATACTTCATTAACTACACGAGTTCCCTTCTTATGCCAGACCTGAAGAACAGCTCTGATCTTCTTCTTCGGTTCGTCGTACCAACTGGTTGTATCTGCCTCGTGTCGCTATAGGAGTTCTATCTGGAAAATATCTCTCAACGATTTCAATCCATTTTCTACCATGAGCTTTTACTGCTTTCGGCAGCATGTCGTCCTGAAATTTCTCCGAGTTAGTACATAAGCACTAATCTCACTGCCAATTGGATATCTTACCTCGTATAGTGACCATCTCTGACGGCTGATATTCGGCTTGATGGCTTCATGCCATCTCCGAGAGCACTCTGTTCAATCTTATGAGTCTTTGTTCACCGACAAATCATATGGGTAACATACGATCTGGCTGTCTTGTGCCAACAACACGTGCCACCTCTGACCATTTCGTACCGTATATTCGGGTACCTTCACGCAAAGCGTTGTCTTCTTGTTCATCCCAAGCCCCCTTTTTCACTGTAGGGGCCAAGGTATAAACCCATCGTTTCCGGCAATCTTTGTTGTTACGTGCGGATAATCTGGTTGCTACTTGGAGCCAGTTGATCTGTGTTGGGTCTGCAACTGTAGTCAGTCCAAGTATTGGTAGAATTCTGGCACGATGAAGTGTGTATACCTTCGCGCGCCACTTCATTTCTAAGTATCTCATCCTCCTCTGGTGTCCAAGGCTTGGGAGTTCTCATTGTTCGTTGGAGATTTACTTGGTACCATACATGGCATCATGCGGATCAGCCTCGCAAGCCAGGTAGCAGTGCCCAGGACGAGTCGTTTTAAGTTGGTTATTTTCTCTATCGTGACAAAGCACTTTGGGGGGGATTATAAGATAATCTTGGGGGAGAATCGTACAATATTTTATTGGTCTTCTTTAGCGAGGCTAGGCATCTCATTCGTCGCATGGTCTATCCCATGCGACTTCACCGCAAAGTGCCTTATCACAGTAGATGAGTTAAACACTGAATGGACTCTGCATGCGGACCAGGTACACACTGTATCGGCGATCTTGTCGGATCTCGGGACATGCCTCGGTTATGCATATATGTCTGTAAATGTACCGCATTCTTAGTGATCAGTTCCTGATATTCTGCCGTTTGGATATATGGTATTATGGAAGTCAAGGTAGGTAGGTGGTGGCTGAAATTTGAACTTTGTCTTGTAAAGTGCAACTGGTGCAGGTACACTCAGGAGTCTTACCAGTAAAACTGAAGTGGATAGCCAAAGGGAGGTGCCGAATTACTAGACGCAATTCCATGTATGTAGGTAGAGAACAAAGCTCGGATTCTATTTACCTATTTAGTATGGGATTACGAAACTGAAAATATTATTATTATTGCAGCAGCAGAGGCTAATATCTCGATTCAAAAACACAAGTTTGTTACTCAGGATAAACAGCAATTCTGTTGCTGAATTGATGATTCTCATCGGGCTGCATCAGGAGTTTTGGACGATGTACACGGAGTTTGAATTCAAAGATGATTTGTTCGAGGGTGTTGACAAAAGTTCCCCAGGACGACCTTGATATTCCAGCACTACCATATAACGACCTAGAACATGAGATGAGTCGGCTCATGTTTTACCTTGACCACTTATTCCACTGGTAATTTCTCTTCTTCGGAACTTCGTGGCTTAGGGTTCTTCGAGTAATAACAGCTCTGATTTCGTCGAAGCGAGGGAGCGAGAAGTAATAGTTAATTATTACGTTTCATTATTGGCAATAATTTTTTGGAGTGCGATTTACAAGTACGCTTTCTCAATTCTAATATATCCTACCTGTTTTAGAGAACAGAACGTTTTTGACGTCTCTATAGAGAGAGTATTTTCTACCGCGGAAGCTGTGTGGCCGACATTAAGGCTACCTCTAGGTAGGCTAGAACGTCAATATGACAACGACTCTCGTTTCACTCGCTTCCCTCGTTGTCTCTTGCTTGCTACGAAAATCGCTTTTTATCACTCATTATTGATGGAGGGAACTTGCAGGGTGGTCATGGCTACCGCCCCGTTTCTGTACGAGTAAGGGACTACTTCTGTCAATCGTATCGATGAAATAACCCAGAACGGAACGTGGTTCGAGGCTCTCCTCATGTCAGCTAAAACGGCATACGGCGCTACTCTGAGCCTCAGTGCTGCATACTGTAAGTGCCCTCTTTGCCGTGGCGGGAATCTACGCGGGGTGATGTCTCGTATTCGATTAAGAATAGAATATCACATAGAAAATACCGAGTACTGTCGCACATAAGGTTAATTCCGCAACCTGCGTTGAAACCTCGGCTGCGAACTTACAGGGCCCTGCAGCTCCAACACTCCCCCCAAAGTGCCGCAACGGCGTAGCAACCTCGCAATCTTACCCTGAAATGAACTCCCGACGGTGACGTGGCTGAAGGTTTTCTTCAAGCGCTAGACACGAAGTGCAGCATGGGACAGCTTCTACACCTCCCGAAAACAACTCAGCGAGGGCGACTCGTAGACTTGCAGTGCATCAGAGACGAAATTACCCTGCTACTGTAGACAGAGCATGCAGTTACCTTTCAGCTTATCCGTAGGATTACAATCCCCAGGGGTAAAGATACGCATTGCGGGGAAATTTGAAGTGAAGTCTTCGATGCTGGTCATATTGTAGCAGCTACGCAATGCCCCTCGCGAACAGAGGAATTCTTCATTCAATTTCATCTTCTTTTTCGAAGTCACCTAGTGAAGCAATAAACCGATTGTAGCTGTACCGCGATCATGTTGGAAGGCCTTGTCGTTGGCCAGTTGAGCTTGGTTGTAATATTGATATTTCTTGGTGTAAGCTCGAGCGCCTACAGAATGAAGGACTCGTACTTACATTTGATACAGTGCATCATCTATCCGTCAACTACCTGCATTTACAATGCATTTTTCCACCCTTTGCGTCGTTTTCCAGGTCCAAAGTTATGGTCCACCACCTACCTCATTCGTCACATCTATGCAATGCGTGGGGAACTAGACTGGAAACTTCAATCCTTTCATTCGAAGTATGGCCCTGTGGTACGTTTCTCGCCGGGAGAACTATCATTCACAACAGAAGAAGCTTGGCGCGATATATATGGGCACAAGTCGAGCCCTCTGATCAAAGACCCCATTGTTTACAATTCTGTGAAAATGGGTGCCGACGGAGCAACCAGTATTTTCAATGCAGACCACGATTCCCACGTCCGGATTCGAAGACAACTGGGCCACGCATTCTCAGACAAGGCATTGCGAGAGCAAGAGCCAAGGTTGAAATCTTATGTCGACTTACTCATTCTGAAGCTCCGAGGGGTAGCCGAATCGCAGCAACCGACAGACATGGTCAGATGGTATAATTACACAACTTTTGATCTAATTGGAGATCTTGCCATTGGAAAGTCCTTCAACTGCCTTCAAGACAACGACTATCATAGCTGGGTAAGTAATCTCCAGCAGGGCATTAAAATTGGCCCATATATCAGAACTATCGCAACTTACACTGATTTCAATCGCCTTTGGCGAATCCTCGCGCCTAGCGCGATCCAAAAGGCAAGATTAAATCATGAGATATATGTCCGGCAGAATGCAGAAGCCCGTCTTTCCAAGGGCATCTCAGAAGAGAGACGAGATTTTATGTCTTACATCCTGAAAAACCGTGGCGAGGAGGGCGGAATCACCGACAAAGAAGTTGCTGCAAACTGTGGGTTTTTAATCATTGCCGGGTCCGAAGCGCCTGCCACTGCAATGTCCGGTATCACATATCATCTACTTAGGAACCGGGACGCTCTCCAAACACTAACTAGAGAAATAAGAGATGCTTTCCAAAGCGAGGAAGACATAGACCTTTCAAGTACAAGTCACAGATTGCCATATTTGCTGGCCTGTATCAGTGAGGGCATGAGAATCTACCCTCCGACGCCACATATCCCTCCGAGAAGGACACCGCCACGAACAATGACAAGAATTGCCGGCCATCAGGTACCAGGCTGGGTAAGTCTATACCCTACATGAAAAAACACCAAGCTGACTAGAGTAGACATCAGTTGGGGTACATGGGCTTGCCACTACTACTGCGGAATGGAATTTCCATCGTCCTAAGGAGTTTATTCCAGAAAGATGGCTCCCATCTGCCACACAACAAGCCTCATCGCCATTTTTCAGCGACCATCGTGATGCTGTGCAGCCGTTCAGTGTTGGTCCTCGAAGCTGCCTGGGAAAGCCACTAGCATACAACGAGATGAGAGTCATCTTGACAAGATTGCTGTGGAATTTTGATCTCGAGCTTTGTGAAGAGAATGAAGGCAGCTGGCTCGAGCAGCGCACGTATACTCTCTGGGACAAAAACCCACTGATGTGCCGTTTGAGAAACATTAGAGGCGATTTGTGAGGTTCCGGAGACTGGCAAATTACAGGGAAATCTCCATATCTTCAAACACTCTTGAATATCACTATTTCAATAATCAACAGATCGTATCTTAGCCCCAAAACTATGACTTTTCCATTAAAAAGTGGGTTCCTTCTGGCGGTATCGTATTGATTACAGCAGCATTGCTGTTGCACGTATTTCCTATAAAATATGACCGAGTCCTCGTGCTCGCACTAGTGCATTGCAAAACCGACAGGACACCATCTAACAATAACGATTTCAGAAAAAAACTCTCCACTACACCTTCCGATAAATTTACATTTAGTCTCAACAATGGAGATAATATCGTATGTTCAGTCAAAAGATTTAAGGAAATATAACGTTTTGGGGATGATATTGCTATTCTAGCGTCGTAAGGTGTCCCGTCAGACTTGCAACACACTGGTGCTCGTGTGATAATAAGACGGGTGGATTCACAGATCGAGGACCTCCGAACCCCAATGGAATTTAAACGTGTCAGTAAAAATGAAGTACTCCACGAATTCCGTACTCCGTAACGGTATTAAAAGATAAGAAACCCAGTCTCATTGACCCTTGCACCGCTTCGGGGACCTCGCGAGAGGTCGCCAGTCGTATACCCCATGCAGAGGAAGGCATACTACCCCGTTCACGAATGGGGAAATACACGTAGGGCTACACTACTGGCTCCTGCCAGGAATATCTAGTCCCGGAGGCGCCCAACACTGTACAAAAAGTTTCGAACATCTCATTGGATAACAGCCACGTCTCCAAGCGGCTAGCTAAACCAAGCATTTCAACTACGGGTTACCCCAATTCGCTTCGAACATAGCATGTATAGTGGCGGAAAATAAGCTCCAGCCTCCATGCAAAAAGTGTTTCCATGCTGCCGGTCCCTTGGCAGAAGCTAACTCCCATATGGAGATGCGACACTTTTGAGGTCGTCCGAGGACTCCTTCCCTAGAGGCACAGGCAGCACAGATTTTGGAACGCCTGAAGGCAGATAAGGTATTGTAATCTTTAAAAGCTTGGTGAGAGCTTGACAATTACGAAGCCTCTAGCCCTATCTAAGTAAGAGATTCTCAAGTGCTTGGGACTTGCTCATTTGACAACGCCGCACTGAAGTATCGCTAAACAATGTACCGCATTTTCTTAAGGAAGCTGATAACTCAATCCATTTGTAGGTACCTAGGGTTCTTCCCTTCCATGCCATTCTTCTACGCAGCTTGTTCATGGCCACCGTCTTTGTACTCCAAGATCCAACTTTCATTACAGTAGATTAACAATTTCAAGATGTCTTCTGTCGGTAAAGTTATCATGTGTACGGGTGGAAACAGAGGGCTTGGATACTCAATCCTCCAAATTGCTGCGAAACGCAATTCTAGTGCAACCTTCATTCTCACTGCTCGCAAAAAGTTGGATGGGCAGACTGCAGCTGAGCAGTTGATCAAGGACGGTATCACTGCAAAGGTCGATGTCATCGAGCTGGATGTGACCGACGATGAACAGGTACGTACGCTCCCTTTTGCGTGAATATGGCAGAACTGACAATGAACTTAGATTATGGAAGCGATCAAGTATGTTGCGATCAAGTACCAAAAGCTTGACGGCATGTTTTCACTGGGTTTGACGAGAGGACAAAAGCTGACGACAATCAGTTCTCATCAATAATGCCGGAGTCATTGAGATTATCCCTGATTTATCTCTCCCAACCCTTCGCAAAACATGCAACAGCATGCTGAATGTCAATCTCACATCGGTCGCCGTTCTGACCTCTGGATTTTCCCAACTTCTTCAGAAATCGGCAGATCCAAAAGTCATTAACATAACTTCAGGACTTGGCAGCATTTCGAACACGCTTAACTCTGAGAAGAAGATGGCTGTATACCCACCATATGGGTTCAGCAAGGTTGGCTTGAATGGCGTAACTGCACACATGCAAGTCTTTGAGAACCAGAGAGTTCTCAAGGAGAAGGATGGAGGCAAGCCAGCAAGTGGCAAGATCAATTTCTATTCCGTTGCTCCCGGGTTTCTCAATACAGGCTTCACTGGGTTCAATGCTATGGGGAGAGATCCCAAGGATGGTGCTGAGGTCGTGGTTCAGATCATTGAGGGAGAGTATCCAGGAGGCACACAGTGGGAGTGGGTTGATGGATCCATGAAGCAGATTCCCTGGTGATGGAGAGCTGGCTCAGCCTGGGTGGCGTCAGTCATCACCGTCCTGTTATCTTCATTACAAGTCTGTTAGACTCCAGTTTCAATCAAATTGCTATCCAGCTACCTGTAGAATCGATGTTGAATATACGCGAGACTGTGCTAACATGCTACTACGGGACGGGACGGTACGAAACGGTACGGGACGCTTTGCCCGTCATCCACTAATCAATTTCATTGAAACAGTCACCGGACCAGACTAGAACCAGGTCAGAACCGGATCATGAGCCAGCTTGATTTCGGGCCATGTGTCGTTTCGAATGTGCCTCCTTCTTGCAGCCGCACCACATCATGTGGGAGCGGGACCGGCCTAGGACCAGACTTCGGATCATTGAACGTGTGCATTGCATTGCATTGCATTACATTTCGTTGCTCATTTGTTCGGAAGTATAATCCCAGAATCTTTTTTTTAGGATCACTTTGCAGTCTCTTTGACCGAGCGCAGCCTTTACAGCACCTATTTGAGGTTAAGTTCTTCCGAGGCCTCCCGCCCTGCCATTTCAGAGCAAAAAAGATAACGAAAGTTCAGCTCACGTTCGATGATTCTGAAAACCGTAGAGCATACCTGACCGAGACATTTTGAGGCTCAGCCATTGAGCCGCAAGCCAACGTTAGTCTGATCTGATCTAGACTGGCCGGTCCATTTGTCGGGTGCAATCCTTCCAAAAATGTACCAAATCACCGCCCGAGACAGTAATCTCTCAATCAATCGTTCTCCCAAAGCTGAAATAGAAGTTAAGATGAGGGAGAGATATACGAAAACGTAACTTTCGTCTAGTGCTAGAGATTAAACGCGGGGTGGTCGCGCAAAATCACCACAGAATTAGTTCTAGTGATCCTTAGTACCAGACGGGAGATAAACTCGTACATATCTTGTGTCCATTTTCTCGTTCTTCGTCAATTTGTGCTTCGGGATACTCTAGTTGAACATCTTGATCCTCTCCATCCACCACTTATTCCCTACATATTGTCATTATTTTCACGACAATGATGTTCCATTGGTTAGCGTTGGCTGTGCTCAGCATATCGCTAAAAGTGACTGCTGCAACTCCCACGTGGCTTAATCAAGTGCAAAAGCTCGATCTCTCAGAAAAGACCAAGATATACCTACCCAGCGATGCAAGTTATGTCAACCAGACGATACAGAGATACACCACTTTCCAGGCTCCGACATATAAGGTTTCTATTAAGCCAGCACTAGCTGGAGACGTGCAGAAAATCGTGGGTTTCTCTTTTGTTTTCCTTGTATCTTCATACTTTCAACGAGACTAACAATCTCATTAAATATAAAGGTCAAATTCGCCGCTTCTCACAATGTCCCATTTCTTGCTACAGGAGGGGGCCATGGCTTCTCTACAACTTTGAGAGCCTTACATGGCGGGATCGAAATCGACCTAGGATTTTTCAAGAACATAAGTGTAGATCCAAAAGCAAGCACAATGGTCGTAGGGGGAGCAGTACTCAATGGAGATGTAATCCAGCCTTTATATGCCGCCGGAAAAGAATTGCGTATGTACTTAGTCACATCTCCTATAGCAAGTGAGACATTAAGAAGACAATACTGATCAGTCGTGAACAGAAACTGGATCAGATGCATGTGTAGGGCTCGTAGGCACAACACTTGGAGGCGGTGTTGGAAGATATAATGGACTACACGGCATGCTTCTTGATGCTCTGCAGAGTGTTGAGCTTGTGACAGCATCAGGAGATCTTGTGACTGCTTCAAAGAAGGAGAACGTTGATCTTTTCTGGGGAATTCGAGGTGCGGGAATGAACTTCGGAATTGTAGTTGAAGCTACCTATCTCGTCCCAGATTTGACGAATAATGGGAAGGTCATGAATGCGGACTTCTTATTCCCTGTCAATGAAAGTACTGCTGTCTTCGAGTACTTCAAGAGCTTGGAGGAAACTCTTCCTGCGGAATTAAGCTTGATCCTTCAAGTTGGATACAACATCAATTTTGGTGGGGTAAGTCAATCCTTAACTCCAAGTTGAAGAGAAAGATTGCTGACCGACAGACATATATCGTTGTGAACGCAGTCTATGCAGGGTTGATGAGCGATGGTCTCCCTCTTATTCAACCCCTTATTGATGCGAATCCAAGTATGAAGAGCATAAGTGTCGTCACCTACAACAATCTCATATCATCCGCTTTCTTTGGTACGGCACCCAAGAGCGGAATATGCACAAAGGGACTGAACAGGAGTGTCTACGGAGTTGGTATTAAAACCTTCCACATCCCAACCTTCATAGAATATTTCCAGAATCTGCAGCATCTATATTCTGAATATCCAGCTGCCCAGAGCAGTGTATTCTTCATCGAATCGTTCCCGAAACAAGCTGTGGTTGCAGTTCCGAATGATGCCACTGCTTATCCCCATCGAGGTACTAATGCGCACCTGTGAGTATTCATACCACCTCGAGGCTGAAACTTGGCGTCGTCTACTAAGAAAATTGACAGGCTGTTCAACTATGGGACCACGGACCCGGCTATCCAGACAAAGATCGATGACTTTGGTAAGCAGGCGCGAAATAATTTCAGTGCCACGTCTGGTTTCGATGGGCTCCAGGTGTACGTGAGCTACGGACACGGTGATGAAGGGCCAATACCTTTGTACTCGGAAAGGAATCTGCCCAGACTGAGAAAGATCAAGCAGCAGTGGGATCCAGAAGGATTGTTCAACTTCAACCAGCCGTTGGGGAAAAAGTATCGTCAGGTTTCGAGGAGGCCGTAAGTCGCAAGATATGTATGTACAACTAGAAACTATCATGGTGTAAAGTAATATGATGTCGATTGTCCGAGTTGCCGAGTCAGACTCTGGTCTCGGTCTGGTCCCGAGCCGGTCTTCAATATGCGTACCTTCGCCTCAATGAGGGTGTGGGTATCAAGTCCAATAGGTCCTTCAGGCCCGTATCTAAGATAGGTATCGAATTCTTGTAGGGACTGTAGTTCTTTACAAATAGGCACAATTGCTCAGTCCAGCCATTTGACGTGCTACATTTTTTGTTAAGTTTTCGACCCGTACACGTCACTATGACGGTCTTTCATATTGCCCTTCTCGAATTCAAGCCCACCGTTTCATCGGAGGAGCTATCAGAGGTGCGTTCGGGAGTACTGTCCAGCCCTGGGGGGTCTACCATTGATTAGATTCCAAAATTTTAACACGAGAGCAGCTTTTCTCGGAATGTCTCAGCTTGAAAGATCGGTGCATCCATCCTGAAACTGGCAAGCCGTACATGAAGTCCATGGCCACTGGGAAAGATATATCAATTGAAAGCCTCAGTGTGCGACTGCCAACGTCTTGTTTTTGATAGCAACAGGACTAACACAAGTCATTAGGCAGGCTTCACTCACGCATTCGTTGCCGAGTTTGAATGCGTGGCCGACCGCGATACCTATATCAAGATCGACCCGATTCATCGAGCCTTTGCTTTGAAGATTATAGGTGTCGTGATGAGAGCACAAACGCTGGATTTTGAATCGGGAGTGTTTTGAGCAGTGAGAAGAGCGTTGAATAATGTACTGGTAGATATCGATGGTCGAAGGCCGAGTGGCATGCTGCGGATACTTTGGGTTCCGGGGAAGTTAGGGACAGTGGAAACCTGGAGGCGATTTCAGCATACTTTGGAATAATCACGTGCTTGAAATTTTCAGTATTTACAGACAGACACACTTATTTTTCCGTACTTGACCATTCAGTACCCATATTTCTCAGCTATCAACAATCACTAAATTGCATATATCCAAAGAACTTTACTCATTTCATCACGAGACCTCTGTCACACGTGACGCTTGGCAGTACCTACCCGGCAGTAGCTGAGCACTTTGTCTTCTGTTTCTCATTCCTTTACAACTCTACAAACAATAGTTCTATCACGATTCCGAGCAACATGAAGGTCGTATTGATGGGAGCCACAGGCTTCGTTGGCCGTGAGGTTCTTGATCAATGCTTGAAGAATTCCAGTATATCAGCTGTTGTCGCTGTCAGTCGATCAGACCTTCAGATAGTTGATCCGAAACTTAAAGTCAGCATCGTCGATGACAAAGATTTCCTCAAATACCCCGATTCGCTTTTGGAGGATATAAAAGACGCCGATGCATGCCTGTGGTAAGAGCATTACATCCGAAACTTCGACATATTTAAATTGAGTGGTCGTTCGCTCACTGTAGCTAATAAGAATCCAGGTGTTTGGGCAGAAATCCCAGTAGCGAAATCAATGAGGCCAGGAAGGTCTGTCTCGATTATACTGTTACTGGTCTGCAGGCAATGACTCCGACGACCACGAAGGACAAGGATTGGAGATTTCGCTTCATCTACCTCAGCGGGGGAGCTGCAGAACGAGATCAGAGCAAGGTGCTCTGGTTTGCACAAGAGTACCGTCATATGCGTGTACGCTCAACCGACTACAATTTTACATTTTTAATGCACCAAGTAATCAGAAGTGCTAATAATAAAATCACAGGGACAAGTGGAGAATACCATTTTGTCACATGCTAAGGACAATCAAAATACCTTGGAAGTCGTGATCATGAGGCCAGGTTTTGTTCTTGCAAAGCAAACTAGTGTCAGAGACACTGTCAGAGGACTGGCACCCTCTGTACGAGTGGATATTCTTGCTCGAGCCATGATTGCCTTGGTATTTGATGCAAGCGGAAGACAAGTGGTTGAGAACAATGAGATAAGAGAACTTGGTGCTTGATCCTGGCAGAAGCTTTCGATGTTGTTCGCTCCTTCGCCTTAAAGCTGTGGCCGCAAGAGTGTGGTTACCTTGCATGAACATAATACATAGTTCTACAGTTCTCGTCTCGAAATCCCGTAACCAGAAAGACCGGTGTCTCTCAACTATCTTCTTCGTTGCTGCCTGGTTCGTCTGGCAGCCTGTGTTTTACACTCGTCCAGCCCAAACCCCATGCCAGAATAAAAATCGCAACAGAAGAGCCTGCCGCCAAATACTAGAGGTTGTTAGCAAATGACATTCCAGAGTGGCCAGAAGACTTACAAATGTTGATGTTACGGCTTCATTGAAAGCCTCGATAACACTTTTCAAGGATGTCTCAGGAACAATTGCTCTGTAGTTGGCTGCTCCAGCCTCAATTATTTGGTTGGCTTCTACTTCGGGCGCATATTCAATCAACGCTGATAGGAGGCGATTTTGGAAGACAGTCTGGCCTAGTGATATGAACAGAGAAGCTCCAAAATTCTGCGAGAATACAACAAGTGCCGTGGCAGTCGACATCTGCTGTTTCGATACATTTGCTTGAATTGCGGTCACGGGAATTTGCGACATCAAGCCTCGTGCAACTCCATTCAAGAGCTGGTAGCAAATCCACGGCGCAGCAGATGATCCGGAACTGAATGTTGTCATTAGACCTCCCGCAATTGCTGCAATGACCCCACCAGCGATCATGAACGGAATGTAAAGACCAACAAGGGATACTGAACGTCAAGGTTAGTCTTCTTCAGGTCATTGGGCGTTTCGAACAGCTTACCCAGAAATCCACTCACGATAGTGAAAGTTACGGTGGTAAGCACCGAAGGCAAGTAATAAATGCCACTACGTAATGCCGATACCCCCTTAACCGCTTGAAACCACAATGGGAGGTAAACAATGGTAACATACAGACCACCGTACGACATCATACTTGTTGCTACACAGCAACATATTTTGATATCCCGAAAATATTCCACAGGCAACATTGCAGTTTCTCCTTGCCTGTGCTCCCACAGGATGAAGACAACGAACGCGACCATCGAACCACATAATAGTCCGATTATTACTGGTGATTCCCACCTGTATTTTACACCTCCCCAATTGAGCGCTATAAGCAGCATGACTATCACAGATGCAAATAGTGCGCTTCCCAGGATATCAAGCCTTTCAACCTGCTTTCTGAAGGATACTTTGAAATGTGCATCAATTCGGGTATCAGGAACGCGAGTAAGGACCAATGCAAGCCCCGTAACGGCGCCAAGTGGTAAGTTGATGTAAAAACCTAGCTCTCCACGTCAGTAAATAACACAACTGTAGCTCTGATCAAGTACGACATATCTAGTTCAATGATCAAATCAAGGAGTGAAACTTACACCATCTCCAGCTAGCATATTGCGTCAAAGCCCCCCCAATCAGCGGGCCTATTGCCACTCCTAGAGATGCGATCCCAAGCATGATTCCGATCAGTTCTACGCCGGAATGTTAACGTAAAAACAGCATCAACAATCAACTGCACGTACTTGGCCGTACTTGAAGAGGTGAAGCAGCTGCAATGATTAAGTATCCCCCATTGAGAACGCCTGCACCTCCCGCTCCAGATATGGCTCTCCCAAGGATGAACATCGTTGAATTCCGCGCAACGGCACAAACCAAAGATCCAACTTCAAATATTGCGAAGGCAATGATAAAAACTCCCTGGAACATTGGTCATCAGCATGCTCCCGCGGGTCTGGGTATCTGGTGGGTACAGACTTTGGAACTGTAATATTGGTATATTTTCCCAAATTGTAATTGGAGTGCACATCTAAGTTCATGAGAGTCAGCCCATTTGATGGATGGTATTTGGCTGACATCTTGCAGACTCACGTTGTCAGAAGATATGAACTTCCGTACCATCCCACATCATCCAAGGCATTAAATGCACTCGTGATTGTTGGGATAGCTGTGACTAACACCGTCGAATCGATCATCAGAAGGAATGCAGCCATTGTAAGTCCAACCATCAAAGTGAACAGAGCACGCCCGGAAAGATGATTTTCATCAGCTGTTGAACTCGTTCCATTGTCGACCTCCAGTGTGTCCTGGACCGAACCGTTTTTCAGGTCTTCCTCGAATCTCTTCGAATTGGTAACTGGTTCTGATTGTCCAATGGCCGCAGCAAGACCTGTTTCGATGCTTGCTTCCCTCTCCAAATCCGATACCCTACTACCTCGCACTCCGGCAGACGCATGGCCCTTCTCAGGTAGATTTGCGGCAAGAGTTGAATCCATCTTGGATACACACACGAAATTTCAGATTTCTCTGAGTTAGGGTCGCCATGCGATTTTAACGAACCTCTTGTCAAAATGTAATTGTTCTGCAAATAGCATGAAGGGGTCGTGATTGCTTCGCCGTCTCTAATTGCGCTTAGTCTGGTCCTCGTCTGGTCCCTGTCTGGTCCCAGTGCCAGTCCCAGTCCGGCCTCACAGATTCATTCTTGGATCTTCACATTCTAAAGACTTTCTCGAACATTTCGAAAGTACTTCATTAAATTAAATTTTGATTTCTTCATGAACTAGGCTTGTTGACATTACCATGGCGTGGTTTCGGTACGATCTTCTGGTCTCAACTGTGATTCTCTACGCCACATATCTTATTGCAAGAAGAGTAAGGAGAGAAAACCAATTCAAAAATTTCGCCCTTAAAAATGGCTGCGAGTTACCGTCTCATTCCGCGAGCAGGTTGCCATGGGGTCTGGACCGAATGTACAGAATGGTCAAGCTCACAGGGCAACATACAGATGTGTTAGAAGCTCTCATCATGCCGAGTTTCCAAAAACACGGCTGGACGCACTCATCCAGTGGTCTCTTGGGCAAGAAGTTCTTCCTCACAGCCGACGCCGACAACGTTCGAGCAATTCTGGCAACTCAGTTTAAGGACTTCGTCACTGGGCCCAATCGAGCTGGAGCTTTTGGGTACTTTGTAGGTAAAAGTATCTTCACAAGCGATGGACCTTTCTGGGAGCATTCAAGATCACTATTCAAACCACACTTTGCCACTGGACATATCAACGATCTCGAAGCCACAGAAAGATCTTGCCTCGACATGTTTGAAGCCATCTCAGCTCGAAAGAATGGGCAATGGACCCACCCTCTTGATCTGCAGGCCCTTTTCTTGCGCTTCACGCTTGACAATGGCATGGAATTTCTGTTCGGAGCTAATGTCCGATCCCAATTAGCTGCTATACCTGGCGCATCTACAATTTACCAATTGGACGAGGTGACAAGAATGGCAGCCGATACAGCAGGAGCGGATATGGGCTTTACGGAAGCATTCCACGTCGCCTCCCTCCAGGTAACAAAGCGAGCTAAGCTGCAAAGTCTGTACTGGCTGGCAGATTCTAAAGAAGGCCGGAAAGCAGTGAAGTACTTGCAGAAATTTTGCGAGTACTTGGTGAATGCCACACTTCAGGCATCCGAGCAGACATCTGCGAACGAGAGAACAAATCCACCACAAGCGAAGAAACAAACTCTTCTAAAGGCTCTGGCAAAAGATACGCACGATCCAATTGAGCTTCGAGATCAAGTCCTTTTTATGCTCACGGCAGCCAGAGATACCACTGCCGCGCTCCTCAGCTGGATGTTCCTCATGCTCGCCAAACACCCTCCTGTCTGGGAAAAGCTGCGTGAATCAATCATCAAGGATTTCGGCACCGAGAAAGCCCCCAAAGGCGTCCTGACTTTCAGCTCACTAAAACATTGCACGTACCTGCAGAATGTCATGTTTGAGACTCTCCGACTGTACCCACCTGGACCTCTGAATACGAGAATGGCCGTCAGAGACACAACATTACCTGTTGGCGGCGGAGACGATGGGAAAAGTCCCATTGCAGTCAGAAAGGGGGAAACGGTTAATATCTGCGTATATGCGATGCAAAGGAGGACGGATCTGTGGGGCGAAGATGCGCTGGAATTCAGGCCGGAGAGATGGGAGGGACGGAAAATGGACTGGTCGTTCTTACCATTTTCCGGGGGTCCAAGGACGTGCATGGGACGTAAGTTGTTCTCTTCTTTTCTAGAAATTGACCGTGCTGATTGATGGTTAGAGCAATATGCGCTTACCGAGGCGGGCTATTTGACTGTTAGATTGTTACAACGATTCGACGGGATTCAGGCAGTGGAGGGATTGGATGTTATTGAGCAGTTTGTTACGGTGACTTTAGAACCAACCAAAGGGGTCAATGTTCGGTTGAGGGAGGCAGCCAGCTCTGTTTGCTGATACTGTTAACTATCTTACCCTTTCTTATAGGCTGTATATCTTATATTCCTTTCTCTCAGTATATTGCCTCCCTCTCCTTTGAATTTGTCCCTTCTTCGTCAATCTTTTACCCCTCCTCGTCCTTTTAGCTCTCTCCACCGTTCACAGTAATAATTTCGAGCAAGCTGAGGCTGGGGGTTCGCAACACAGCACTTTTAACATCGTCGAGGTGCGCAAGAAGGGTTTTACAAGACGCCATGAATGTTGTGGCGTTCAACTACCGCAAGGTGTTGCTATCCCTTCTGGATGATTATAATAACATGCCCAATTTCAAAAAGCACGAACAGAACTAAGTGTTGAGAGAATACGTTCTTGGCATGTTAGACTGGGTCGAAGCCAACGTGGACTTTTCTCTCGATAGTCCAAGATATTTCCGGGAGAGGGCTGGGTCGGAAATTAGAAATACTCGGTGGGCTGAGCTCTTCCCGCTGAAGCAGTGAGGATCCCTAGTAAACGAGTTTATGCTGGTATACTTAAGCAAATACAAAAACGTACAGTGAGAGATATCACCGTCAGTGCTCTCCCATTTGTCTTACTGCTGTGAGACGTAAGAAGATACGGCAATATGTTCTTCGCCGTTTTCAAACCTGCGTGTCGCCTTTAGGCGCCAAAAGGATGAGAATAAATTGTTCGAAGATTTAAGATAAAGAGATCAAATGGAAGATATATGGTAGCCTCTGTCATATTGAGCTGTTCTTTAGCACTTGTGATGATTTACCTACTATTGTCAGTCGACTTTTATCAACTTTTCGACTACCTAGCTATTGCTTGGTTCTGAGGTTAAGCTTGCTCGATCAAAGCCCTGCCGTAGTCTGCTCTATTTGGTAATCTGTTGACAGTATGAATATGACATCTTGCCGGTGTTGTGTTTGTTAAGAATACTAAAATAGTCAGCCCCTACCATTTAACACCGAGAATAGATGCAAACTTACTACCACAGTGGAAATCCAGCTCCATGAAAGCCACTGGACTGTGTATCCGATAATAATATGGATCTTCGTCCCCGAACTCTCCGATCCACGAGAAAAAGGTCTCATCGAGATGTTTCTTGAACAGTGCTAACCGATGTTGAAGTACAGACTCAGGATAGTACTCGTTGAAGGCCAGGAAGAGTTTGATTATTTGATCTTGACTTTCTTTTGGGAACTTCTTGACTGGACACCCCTCTGCAACATGTTAGCGCAATACTATGTAATGAGAGAATGCAACTAACCATATGGTACGACCCTGTTGTCTTGTCTCGCACCTCCTAAATGTCGCTCATCAAACGGGTTCCATCTATCCGCCGCTAAACTCTTCCCATCCATTCCCTTACTCAATGTAGCCTTTTCCTGCAATTCTGAAGGCAAGTTTTGCATCAACTTCAGACTTTCCAATTCCTCAGTCCTGAATAACCTCAATCCAGCATGCGGTCCCTCATCGATTCTATCCGGTTCGGCACCCATGAAAGTTGGCCCAATTACCATTCTTTTCCCATCAAATACTACTGCTAGACACAAATGATGTCCAAAAAATGTGTATCCCCATGGTGATGAAAGAGATGGTTCGCCGAAAAGACGGAAGTTGTACGAGTGTTCGTTTAAAACCTTCTTGCCATTGACTAGATGTCCTAGGAAATCGTTCGTAAGACAGCACCCAAGAACTTTCTCGTACCCTTGTGGAGAAAAGGAAGCTTTGAGGATTTCATGAATCGCGGACTGTATTTCTGGTCTACATGTATCGAGCCGGAGTCCACCTACGTTTTCTTAGTTATGCATATCTACCATGAGCACGGGTGCTTACCTGGATTCATGTATAACTCCGGATTCGACCACAATCTAAACTCATCATCCCGAACATCCCCAAATTGAACCGCCTTCTTCTGCTCCTCATCCAACAACTGCAAAAACACTTCCGCCTTATTCGCAACCCGTTCCGTAGGCGCACCCTCATCATCCGCATAACGATACAGTCCCTCCCTCACCTTCCCATCGCTCGTGAACCCCACATAAGGTTTCTCCAGATTCGTCGCATCCAGTCTGTTTATCAACCACGCCGGCGCTTCAATCTGTCGTCGCGATTCGCACCAACTCAACGCATCGTGATCTGCGATACCTGCGATTCGAGGATGGTCGGGAGAAGGCACGATGTCGCGAAATGGGACCGCTGCGTCGGAGCGTGGCTTGGTGGGGTCGGAGGATTGGAGATAGCCTGATGTTTGTGGAGCTGCCATTTTGCTGTTCAATTTGAGATAATGATGCAAATACAAGAAATAGAAAAGGTATATCAATTGAGAAAACAAGAAGATGTGCTCATGAGCAGACAGAGCTGCGTGTCCAGGTCGACGCGTCCAACGGCCATTTTCGCGGTGGCTTGTCCTCGGATGTTGACATCGGGAGCTTCTTCAGCGAAGAGCTTCCCCCGCAATGTGGGGTTGGCGTTCTTTCTCACCACCAACACTCTCGACATCGCCAGCTTCGGTGGTTTCTTTGGGCTCCGTGTCGATGGTGGGGCTGCTGAATGTCAACATTTAAGAGGTCGGGAAAAGTGCCACATGGGAATGGTAGATGCGTGGTTCATAACGCTTCGTAAGTCTGTGGAATTGGTAAGTGTTTTTCCGTCCTTGAAGTTTATCTCGTTCGCATATCTCTTTCCTCGATCTCAATCTCGACATATTTGTGAATCGCGAAATACGGCAATTATGTCTATCCCATCTTTCAGTCGTAAGTGTCAGTTTCATCCAGCGGTGGTTTCGCGACTCATAATGCTCCAGGTCTTGTACGCTTTATTCCAAAGTCTTCAGACGAACCGCTCATTGCAGAGCCAGTAGATGCAAATCTCGATGTTGGAGCAGCAACAAGAGCAGGGAAAGATGTCGAAGTGAAAGTCTTTAGCGGTTCCTCGATACTGTCACCTGGCTCCCCAACCGGGAAAACAGAAACAATCGGAAAGATCCTGTCACCGTTAGCAGAATCTGAGGTTGGAACAATAAGATGTATTGGTCTTAACGTGAGTAACCACCCATTCCACTCACAGAAGTTCATTTCTGGATACTGATTATTTCCAGTATGTGCAACACGCAAAAGAAGCCAAAATGGCTCTCCCCACCATCCCAACTCTCTTCATGAAACCCTCCACCTCACTCGCATCACCCTACCCATCATCCACCATAATCCCCAGATCAACACTCGCCGAAGACTGCTGTGACTACGAATCCGAGCTCGTAATCATCATCGGAAAACGATGCAAAGACGTGTCTGAATCCGAGGCCTTGGATTACGTGTTAGGATATACAGCTAGTAATGATGTGAGCAGTCGAAACGCACAGTTTGCGCAGAGTCAATGGAGTTATAGTAAGGGCTTTGATGGGGCTTGTCCGATTGGCCCCGTGGTGGTGAGTAAGGAGTTGATTCCGGATCCTGCGAAGTTGCATATGAGGGGGTTGAAGAATGGGAAGGTTATGCAGGATTGTGGTATTGAGTGAGTTCTTCTCCCCAACATTCGAAGATCTTAGACACTGACTGTCTGAAGTGATCTCATTTTCTCAGTGCCAAAGATCATTTCTTTTCTGTCAAAGGGAACTACCCTTCAACCTGGAACTATCATTTTGACGGGTACACCAGCGGGTGTTGGCTTCTCGTTTGATCCAAAGGAATATCTGAGAGATGGAGATGAGTTTGCGGTTGAGATTTTGCCATATATTGGGACAATGACCACGAAATTCGAAGCAGAGAAGTAGACATATATTCAAAGATCATTATTCGCAGTATGTGTAAGATGTGTGTCCGAAGTGTTCATCTACGAAACATGCATTTGTATTTAAGCTAATCGCACAACAATTATCACACTCTCACTTAGCTCCCTCAATCCAATCCACCCTTAATACCACCACCCAACTCACCAGGCTTATACGGATACACACTCTTAAAATGCGTCGCAATCTCCTCCCTCGTAGCAACCCATACATCATCTCCACCCTTCTCCTTGACATACAACATGAACTCCCTCAGCGCCTCACTTCTTCCCGGTTTACCAATTATGCGGGTATGAAGTGGAATATTCATAAGTTTCGGCGAGCCAGGGAAAGCGTCAGTCCCACGACCCTCACGAAGAAGCATGTCGAATGTAGCTTTCAGATGGTCAAGATACGTTGTCCCCGTGAATCCAGGAGACATATGAAACTTTCCATCTTTAATAAATTAGCGAGAAACCAAAAGACAAAGGGGAGAGACATACCATTGCAATCATAATTATACGGCACAACCAACAACCCCTCCTTCTCCGCCTCCGGCAAATCCCTCTCCCAAGGCATATCAAGCCAATACGGCACATCATCATTAAACGCCTCACTACTATACAACAACCTCATCCCATCCCCCCTATCCTCCCCAATCTCCTTCACAACCTCCGGCCACAACGCCCGCGTATTCGGCGTACCCCTCCCAAAGAAATACCCCCTGGGAAACACCCCCGTCACAGCCTCCAACTCGAGACAATTCTTCTTGATATACTCTTTCTCCTCTTCAACACTATAATCCAGAATATCAAGCCACCTCGCCCCATGCGCCGCAATCTCGTGGCCCTCCCTCACCAACGCGCGGGCAAAAGTCGGGTTCGACGTGATAGCCTGGCTCACGGCCCACGTCGTGAATTTATAACCCTGTTCTTTGAAGAGCCGTAAGATGCGCCAGGACCCGGCGCGCGAACCGTACTCGAATTCGGATTCCGCGCCGTTGTGACGACCAGAGGGGACGTAGGAGGATGAGGCGCCTTTTTCCCAGAGGTACGGCTCCGATTGGCCGTCGCCGGAGAGCGTGGAGCGTTCGCCGCCTTCTTCGTAGTTGAGGATGAAGGAGAGGGCTAGCTTGGCGTTGGAGGGCCAGTGGGGGTGGAGGGAGTGTTCGCCGTAGCCTTCGAAGTTGCGGGGGATGTCGTATTTGGGGTCGGATATTACCATGTTGATGGGGAGGAGAGGAATTTGGATGGAAGAGTTTGGATATGAGATTGAGATGAGGAGTAAGATGATGGATGAGAATATGAGAATGATAGATGAGCGCAACAGATTTCCAAAGTACATCAAGAAAACCAAAGCCCAAAACCCAAAAAAATGAGGAAACAACCAAGAAATATACCTCCCTCCTCCCCTCTCATCCCACCTTTTCCCCATCCACCCTCCCTCATAATCTCCTCCCAACCTTGCCCGATCCCATCTCAAACCATCCGACAACACTTCAAATCTCAACATCGTTCCCGGCCAACTTCATAGTGGGATATAAGTAGATTCGGGATAAGACACACACCTCCGAAAGAGGGGCGATGCCTTTGCGGCAATCCATTTCTTATCGTCCTTCTCCCCGCGTTTTGGGGGACGATAAGAACCTTATGTCGATGTTACCTTGTGAGATCCTTGCGTGGAAAAAGCAGACGTGTGAGGCGTCATCTCAATCGCGCTCGAGGAACGCTGCTATTTATATGCGCTGACGAGGCGAGGTGAGGTGTGTGGTTGGTGAGGGTGGTCGATTGGCTTGGCAGGGGAAATGTCGTGGAAATCTGTTCTTTCGGCGTTAAGCTGGGATGGAGATGGTGATCTGTTAGAAGCTTGAGGACAGAACGTCGTTTGATATCAGGCGATTTAGAGTTGGTTCGAGTCATACGGAGTAATACGAGTAATCATTCATGAATGGCATTATCTCTTTTGGGAGGCGGTGCTTTAACCGCTTCTTGAAGCTCAGTAAACAGTTGCATTGTGCAAAGAGCCAGATATTTGTAAATTGCCACCACATTGCCAAGAGCCTCTTCCTATTCTGAAATTCTGTGTTTTGGCAAAGAGGAAGAGAACAGCTTATTGCATGGCTTAGATCACAATAATATCAATAGACCATTCGGCAACAAGCCTCCTGAGGCTCATCTTGAAATTGGCGAGGAGGCTCAATAAATGCGGCTCTTGTTTAAATCAACAACATTATTTACAGGATTCTGCAACTCAATTTATTTCACTAATAACAGACAACTGTGTCTACCTACTTATACTTGCCATACTGGACACATATGATTCAAAAGGCTATATCATGGCTTTGACATCGTCTGAAAATTGTAATAAAAAAAGTATTCACCCTGGTTAGTTCATGCATCCATCACCAAATACAATGCAATTCAAACCTCCAACCGTGTCCTTTGACTCGTAAATCCCATTCTCAGCCCTCCCAACCCACAGACTTTGCCGCTTCCCCTCCATAACCAGCCACTCCAGACGGTTTTCGAGGTGAACACCGTAGCCTTTTGTTCGCCCCGCTTATTCAGCCAATCAGCACCACCAATATTGCAATCGTGTCCAGTTCAGTGCTTCTTGATAAAGTCGTGGGGAACCTTTTCAAAACTCCTCTTCCTCTTTCCAAGATTCCTCTCCAACTCCAATTCCTCCACAACTTACCTTTCCTCATAGTCGCATACATCGAGACATATACACGATGGCGCGAGGAAGCCAGACTTCGTTTTTCCTTGGGTTGTCCTTTGTGGCATACTTTGTTTTACTTCTCTCTCCTTTGGGTTTCCTTCAGACAGCAAACGCCGCTGAGTCGGCGCAAGAACCATTACAAGAGAATTATGGAACAGGTAAGCTTCTGCATGTCTCTGCAACCGGTATCTACAGCTTCTGACGTATCTGCGAATTAGTTATCGGTATCGATCTTGGAACCACATACTCCTGTGTCGGTGTGATGCAGAAGGGCAAAGTTGAAATCCTCACAAACGACCAAGGACACCGTATCACACCATCATACGTCGCCTTTACCGACGATGAAAGATTAGTTGGAGACGCAGCCAAGAACCAGGCTGCCGCAAACCCTCGCCGCACCATCTACGATGTCAAGTAAGTAGCAACACACATTGTTTACTGATCCAAAGCTAACAGGTGTCCTCAGGCGTATGATCGGACGCAAGTTTTCAGACAAAGATGTCCAGGGTGACATGAAGCACTTCCCATTCGACGTCGTGGAGAAGGATGGAAAGCCAATGGTCAAGGTTGAGGTTAACGGAAGCCCAAAGATCTTCACTCCTGAGGAGGTCTCGGCCATGATTCTCGGAAAGATGAAGGAAGTCGCCGAGTCATACCTGTCCCACAAAGTCACCCACGCAGTTGTTACTGTCCCAGCCTACTTCAACGACAACCAAAGACAAGCCACCAAGGATGCTGGTGTTATTGCCGGCTTGAACGTCCTCCGTATTGTCAACGAACCTACCGCCGCAGCTATTGCCTACGGTCTCGACAAGACTGACAAGGAGAGACAAATTATTGTCTACGATCTTGGAGGAGGAACCTTTGATGTTTCTCTCCTCTCTATCGAGAAGGGTGTTTTCGAGGTTCTTTCTACCGCTGGTGACACTCACTTGGGTGGTGAGGATTTCGATCAACGTATCATTTCCTACTTCACCAAGAAGTACAACAAGGACAACTCTGTCGACATCACCAAGGACCTCAAGACCATGGGTAAATTGAAGCGTGAGGCTGAGAAGGCCAAGCGTACTCTCTCTTCCCAGAAGACCACCCGCATTGAAATCGAAGCGTTCCACAACGGTAACGATTTCTCTGAGACTCTTACCCGCGCCAAGTTCGAGGAATTGAACGTTGATCTCTTCAAGAAGACTCTCAAGCCAGTTGAGCAGGTTCTCAAGGACGCCAAGGTCAAGAAGTCTGAAGTCGACGATATCGTTCTCGTCGGTGGTTCTACCCGTATTCCAAAGGTTGTCGAGCTTATTGAGGAGTACTTTGGTGGTAAGAAGGCCAGCAAGGGTATCAACCCTGATGAGGCTGTCGCTTTCGGTGCCGCTGTTCAAGGTGGTGTCCTTTCCGGTGAGGAAGGTACCGATGAAATCGTTCTCATGGATGTCAACCCGTTGACTCTTGGTATTGAGACCACCGGAGGTGTCATGACCAAATTGATCCCAAGAAACACTGTCATCCCAACCCGCAAATCTCAAATCTTCTCCACCGCCGCCGATAACCAACCCGTTGTCTTGATCCAGGTCTTCGAGGGAGAGAGAACTTTGACTAAGGACAACAACCAACTTGGAAAGTTCGAGCTCACCGGTATACCACCAGCTCCTCGTGGCGTTCCTCAAATCGAGGTCTCTTTCGAGCTTGATGCCAATGGAGTCTTGAAGGTTTCCGCTCACGACAAGGGAGCCGGAAAATCCGAGTCTATCACCATCACCAACGATAAGGGACGTCTTACTCAAGAGGAGATTGACCGTATGGTTGAGGAAGCCGAGAAATACGCCGATGAGGACAAGGCCACCAAGGAGCGCATTGAGGCTCGTAACGGTCTTGAGAACTACGCTTTCAGCTTGAAGAACCAGGTCAATGACGAGGAGGGTCTTGGAGGAAAGATCGATGATGATGACAAGGAGACTGTAAGTTGATCGAAACATGCCATACTGAACCATTTACTAACACAATATTCAGCTCACCGATGCCATCAAGGAGACCACTGAGTGGTTAGAAGAGAACGCCGCCACCGCCAACACTGAAGATTTCGAGGAACAGAAGGAGAAATTGTCCAACGTCGCCTACCCAATCACCAGCAAACTGTACGCAGGTGCTGGAGGTGAGGGTGGAGCTGATGAGGATGCTGACGTCCACGATGAGTTGTAGACGGACCCTCTTAGACTTGTGTAATTTTCTGCGCAATTGGTTTGGGACCTGGATCTTTATAAATTAGTACTTGTCCCGGGGTGTTTAGCATGGTTGCATATTGGAACCCCGCATCGAGATGAATGCGCTGGGCATTTCAATCCGTGTAAAATAAAAAGCATAAAGAGATTCAGAATTTAAGCGATATCCATTATTCAATACTAATCTTCTTTTCATCATTGTGATCTTCTATGCAGGGTGTGGGCGCCGTTCCTACCAAAAGCCTTCTCTGCGGTCTAGAGGCAACGGCACTTGTACATGCACCTATCATGGCTGTACCTTTCGAATCGACACACCGGCGAAGCTACAGAGGCACAAGCGAGAGGGTCATCGCGACTCCCGTCCTCTGTAAGTTCCAACTTCCAACCTCGACGATTGCCTTTTGCTTACGGGCATTGTGTATCGTATCTTCGTGGCGACTCAGATCGTCTCCCATCAAGTGCGATTCGGAACACCTGTGGAGCAGAATACCATAAACGAGTGATGCACCCCATCGAATTGTAGCATTTAACAAGCTTCGACCAACGACAAATCCTACATTTTGGGGTAGTGTATACCCATTTCCCAAAACTGTTGGATGCCCAAAAGCATAATAGGCTCTTCGGAAGGATCCCAGATCTTTAGCGAGTATCCGGGAGGAATGCGCCGCGCTTGATGGGATAGCTCGCATCTTCTACGCTTTTGCAACAACTTATGGTTTACTGATTTTGTTATAGTTTGCTTTGTCCTATCTAGTGGATTACTGTATCTGAGGACAACAAAGAATTACAAGAAGGTCACAGCATCTGGCTAGATTGTACCGATTAGTCAACCAACATTGCTGACAAGATCATCCAGTCTTATTCCAAGCCCATTCTTCGACCGGAAAGTCATGGCAGATGCTTTCCTCCGCAATTTCTATCAATCGGAGTCATCTATATCTTTCTTAGATGAACTCGAATCTGAGCTCGACGAAGGCTGATGAACCAGGCCGAAGCCAGTGTGACAACTCATCTTCGTCTGCTCTTTACCCCGTCGTCCTTCTCATCCAACCACACACTCAGCTCTCAAATCTTTTCCACATTGCTTTCGCAGCTCCTGCTCCGCAGACCAAAAACACGATGTATTAACGAGCTCAAGACCAATCCAAAAATGATGGACGCTGGTAATATCTTGATTGTTGTTTCCCAAATATCTTGCGTCATCGAGGCCAACACCACCGCCAGAACCATCCCTCCCATTATGATATCGTCCTGATGTCGATCCGCCCTGTTTGTATATCGCAAATACGTTATTGGAAAGGCGAATGCCACGTTTGTGAAGAGGATGAGGAGGGGATGCGGCCTAGACAGGCAGGTCGATATGTGGATATGTGCGACCAAAGATGCGAGCTCTTTCTGTAACGGAGAAGTCAGTCATCGTACTGATAAGGGAAGGAGACTTTATTGATTCTTACCAGAATGTTCTGCAGTATTTTATGGTCGCCAAATCTCAGCGATAGCTCTTCCTTGGCCGCTAACCATCGCGATGGGCCACTTGGAGACACGGTTATAACTTCTGGAGGCAATCCAGTCCCACTTGTCTCTTCCCATATCATTTCTGGGGGTCTCTGCATGAGCAGAGCAGCGAACAAACACGCAAATTCGAAGGCGATGGCTTTCTTGGTACGCCTGCTAAGCTTGATCTTACGAGATCCATGCTCGATTCCAGAACTGATCCGGGGGAGAATCCTCATTGCATTCCGGTAAACTCTGCTCATCAAAATGACAGCTTTCCGACGTTCTGCATTGTTTCCGCTCTGGACACAGATAGAGTCTACCCAAACTATCTCGCTGCCGTTGATGCTCGCATCATTCTCGCACCTTTCGTCCCTCGACCGCTCCTCTTTTCTTACTTGGTCTCGCCGGAGTGGTTCATATAAACGAGCAAATTTAGTCAGTCGTTCTTCTCGCCATGCGTTTAACATTCTGCCATCCGGCGACGGCGTAGAAATCGTTGGTCTGACGAGTTCAAGATGGTTGATACGGATGTTCGCAATGAAATCTAGCTGATGAGGCTCAGCCTTCTGTCTCGAAGAGTTATGTATTGAGATGAGTTGGAAAGGCAACCAGACTGTAGTACAGCGGCTGAAAGTTCTCGCTTGTCCGCCTCACTTTTCTGTCAAACTTGGAAGTTTCGGTGAGACGAATGGGAACTCCCTGGCGACTGGGTGCGCGTCGAGCAGCCACTTGGGCAGATGCAAATGCGAACCGTATCGGTGCACCAATCAAGTGGTCCCGCGGCGGGATCATGGCCGCATGCCTTTATAATGTAGTCTTTCCACGCTTTTGGCTTCTTCTCCGTCTAACCCCACCGCCCTCTTCTCTCGAATATCAACCTTCCCTTCCTTAGATTTTAATTCCTCTCTGAACTTGAGACAATTCACTGCTTGATTCTTCGAAAAGCTTTCTACCAACTTTCAGCTCGTGCTCCGTCAGTCGGTGGCTTGTTGGAGCTCGTGGCAGTAGTCGATATGGACGGACGAGGTACGTCTATCGAGCTTGAACACTTGCAATGAACTGAAGATTTGTCATTAGCAGCAGCCCTAGACGTTCGATGGATTCAGCACCAGCGGTTCATCAACAAAAGAACGCAATCATGGGCGTGCACGCACTGCCCTGAGCGGCCAATGTTTCATTCAACCGACTTCCTCTGGGAACACGCACATTTGTATCACCACGATCAATTACCAAAAGATCCGAGGGATCTCGATTATTTCCGAGCACATTTTGAGGCGAGATCCCGGAAGGAAAGGTCAACGCTTCTTTCTCCCCATCCAACGAAGCAATCTGCACTTGAATTGTGCTGATTTTCAGTAGAAATCCCTCCGAGCTTGATCCTCCCCCCAAGGACATTGACAAGAAGAGAATCTTATCGTTCACTCTTTCTAGATCACCATTACAACGATCGAACCTAGTACCGAATAGCCAGCGAGCCTCACAGCTGAACAGCGACTTGAAACCACCCGTTACGAAAGCTTCTCTGAGCGAATTGGATATTGACAAGATTGTTCACAATCCTCGGCTGAGACACGATATTAACTTTGATCCTGACCTCCATTTCAGGCCGAATCTTGATGGCGAAAAGGAGCGAAGGAAGACCCAAAAATCAACGTTGTTTTATGATGCCATGCGGTTGGAATTGGTCGAACACCTCACGAAGCGAGAGACATTCGAATCTCGACAAGATAGCTTGACTCACAAACGTCTGTCACAAGCTCCCAGGAAACGACTGTGGACGCCTGAGGACCAACCTCCATTGCCTCCTGGATCGAGACTCGATCCTCCTAATATTGCATCTGTTCAGGCACAGCGCTCAAGAGCTCGAGCGTCTTTTCAGACCATATCATCCAGCAAAAGGACCACCACTGCAAACACATCACTACCCCTATCGCCGTCAGCAGCTCCCAAAAGCAACCTCATCCCGCAGCCAGAAACTCGGCCCATATCACAAGAGCAACTCGTGGCGGAAGTAAAAAGCATTTATGCTGGCCTTGTAATGGTGGAAGCCAAGTGTATTGAGGTTGATAAGAAGCAAGCCACCCAAGCGCAAGCTAATGAGACCCAGTCGACGCTTAACAATGAGCAGTGGCAAGCACTGATAGCTCTTCACAGGACACTTTTGCATGAACATCACGATTTCTTTCTAGCTTCTCAGCACCCCTCGGCTAGCCCGGCCCTTCGACGACTGGCTTCGAAATATGCTATGCCGGCTAGGATGTGGCGCCATGGCATACATTCATTTTTGGAGCTCTTAAGACACCGACTTCCAGCTTCTCTGGACCATATGCTCGCATTTATTTACCTCGCCTATTCAATGATGGCCCTTCTGTACGAGACGGTCCCCGCTTTTAAAGACACCTGGATCGAATGCCTCGGCGACCTTGGTCGGTATAGAATGGCGATAGAAGACGATGATATTGGGGATGGAGAAGCTTGGAGCGGTGTTGCTAGGCTCTTAAGAAATCGGCTTCCAGCTTCTCCGGAGCATATGCTTGCTTTTATTTATCTCGCTTATTCAATGATGGCTCTTGTGTACGAGCCTGTACCCGCTTTTGAGAATACCTGGATCGAATGCCTAGGCGACCTTGGTCGGTATAGAATGGCGATAGAAGACGATGATATTAGGGATCGAGAACTTTGGAGCGGCCTTACTAGGCATTGTTATTCTACAGCCTCCGACAAGGTCCCAACCACTGGAAGACTATACCATTATCTTGCTATTCTTGCCCGGCCGAACGCATTGCAGCAGCTGTTCTACTATGCTAAGTCATTAGGTGTCGAAATACCATTCATTTCTGCTCGAGAGTCGATCCTGACTCTCTTCAAGCCCGTCTTCGAGACGAACAGCGCCCATGGCAATATGACGCCTTTTGATACTGCGTTTGTCAAAGCAAATTGGCATTTCGTCAAAGCACATGGGCAATTGTTCGCCAGCCGAAACGTCGAAACGTCCAAGCCTCCCGTTGACGTGTTTATGAATTCAATGGACAATCATATCGACTGGTTCACTTGGAAACTCATAGAACAAGAAGACTATATTGATTTCGCAAATTCTGTTGCGATGCTTGGCTTTACACCGAAAGACAGCATACCCATGAACATGAAAACAATTACTTCTGACGAACCCTCCTCGGAAAGCATTTGGATGGCCGATAATTCAATTCAGGGGAGCTTTATGTCGTATTTTTGGAGACATTTGAATATTGGAACCCCCGAGATCGCGTTACAACGCGGCGGAGACCCCAACGTTTTACCATTCATTCATGTCACACTCATCTTCATGCTTTATGCCTCCCAACATCCTGAAGCCATGCGTTTTCTTGAACGCAAGTCTCCATGGGAACAACTGTCTATCATGCTCAATACATTACTAGCATCTCGCCAGAGACCGGACAGAAATGATAGTCACACCTTTCCTTTGCCTCACGAAGATGATTGTCCTTTGCCTGAAGACTATATCTTACGGGGTTTATTATGGGCTGATAAATATTTTCCCGGAACCTGGTTCACAAATGAGAAGATTGAAGAGGAAGAAAGGGACGATGAAGTGGTATCTACGAGCGCGGATCGCAAAGAACGCATCTTGTGGCTCGGACACCGAATCATCTCAGGAGCTAGCTGGACGGGCAAAGCTATTCTGGCAGCGCTTCAGAACAAGAGCTTACGGTCTATAGTGTTGCTAAGCCAATTGCTCAAATCATTCCCAGTCACTTTAGCATCGGCGATCGTTGTGGTAAACACGACCGGCACTGAAACACCTCCCCAGGTTGAGAGTAATGGGAATGGGCCGAGTCAGTACTTTGGACACCTATGGCTTCAGCTCCGGGACAAACACTCTGGCCCTATCATTGAAAATACCACAGTGGCTGCTGTTTTGTCGAGTTCATACTTTATCATTACATACCTCGACGACGGGCCAAAGTCTAGCACTCCTATCCTCCCTTTATCACACCCATCAGCTTCCAAGTCATGGGTCCAAGCGGATTTGCTTCCAATAGCTACGGCCTTCATATCAGCCTCCACTTTGTACCTTGGAAATGGAAAGCTGGAGTCTGACTGGCAACTCGCCATGCTTGCGACCCACAATCTTTGTCTTAGCATCAGATTTCTTCGGCAAAAGCTTTCAAAGTTCCCCAAAACCCAGAAACCGGTCGAGTTCATCATGGCGAGCACATCGCTTTCATTAACTGGATTGCTCACCAAGTTCTTTCCCGTCAACGAAGGCCGCTACAAGAACCCGCTGATCCAAGCCGGCTTGTTCCTGCCACTGACAAACCTATTTATCACTGTTTTCTGGATAAGATTCATTCGAAATTACGGTATTGCCACGGCTCTGGAGCAGGGACAGGGGCATTTGATTGCTGCAACTCGTTCATTTTGGCAAGAGCGATCATACTCCATTATCGCCGTTGCCCTAATTCTGTTGCTGCTTGCCAAAGTCTAGACAAAGAGTGGACAAGACAAGCGTCGCTCGAATCACGATATTTCCTCAATTGGGTTGACGAAATATCGTTATTTAGTGTATCACTTTGGAACATCATCACATATTCCTTCAATTGTTTTCAGGAAATCAGACTTTTTAAGCGCCGTTGAAAGTCGACTGCTTCAGTCCAAAAATTAGTGGGCAGATACACTGGAAATCTGACAGTCTTCATGGACTTTCAATCTATTCATAGATGATATTAGCTGCTCTGGTATAGCTGGTGCAGCTATGTAAAGTATATACTGGAGTTATATATGTTGAGGATATAGGATCTCGTACTAGAAGTGTGGGTAGTTTCACCGCACTAAAATCTAAAATACAAATATAAACGAGCAAATTACTTGTGTTTAGTTGACGGGCATAGTGAGATGCTGTGAGCTTATATACTTATTAGGGGTATTGAGAAGCAGTCTTTCACCTAGTAGATAACTCAGGAGGTGTCGCTTAGCTAAGCGGCCTCTTATATGGAGTATAAATGTCCTTATAACCCCTTTTTAAAATTCTTTATTCTTTTGTAGATTCCTCAAGGCAGCTTTTACTTAAAACTCTAGCAATATTTTCTGGTATAGACTGAGAAAATAGAGGTATAATGAATCTGTCAAGTAGCTATCGTTACACTAAATGCCGGAAGGTTGAGAATCCTCTGCTAAATGAGGACGCAAAGACCTGAACTATCTAGAGTGCACAAAGGACTGTTCTATTCTAAAACTAAGTCAGGATTGAGGTCAAATTTAATTTAAATGAAATACCGAGTCACGGGAACCTAAAATCCCAAAACCCAATAAGCTTAAAATCTACCGCGCAGAAGATCCGCACGCTAACTCCCAATTAAGCCTTTTGCCCACCCTTTCGGCCACCGACTAACCACAAAGGGCAATGGATGTACTAGGGCCGGGAGACAAATCTTCCGAGGACAAGATATTGCGATTTAGACTCTACGCTACTAACGTGGAAATTGTACGTCGTGCGCGAGAAATCTTGTGTAAAGTCTACGCAGGCACAGTTCGTGCGAGGGGGCTTGACGGATGGGAGGATTACCGGGGCTAACGGGTTGGGGCGGTAAGCGTGGTTGGTATATGTGGTTGGTCTGACTTCCTCCGTTCTTGAAATGATGGTTCCTTTGTTTATGTTATTATTCTTCATGGTTTGATTGCATTTATTTATTTGAGCAATTATTGTCCCACCTGTTGGTCTGAAGATTTATCTCTAAAGATTAGACGACGTTTCGTCTGAAGATTACGATTTGGGCGTCCTGAAACAAGGTCGAAACTCGAAAGACGGGGTAACCTGGTGACGACGAGATTTTTGGAGGGGAAGAGTGAAGTCATTCGCAAATAATTGAAGGGAAGAGAGGTAGATCAGACAGAAGGATAGCCAGTACCAAAGAGGAATTGTTGGTGTTGTACAAAGAAAGGTCGATCGCGACGACCCGAACCTCGAAAAACGAAGATATACAACCACCATGACACTCTGCGGTCGCCGTCCAGAAGGCTTCGTACGCTCCTCTCCTCTCCACCTCACAAACATATCCCAACTAACACATCCATCAGGGCCCATCATCCTCACTCTCCCACCCACTCCCAACATCCTGCTTCACAGACACCATGATAATCCCCCTCCCAACCTACATCCTCGTCGTCCTCCTCCCTCTCCTCCTCATCCTCGCCCACCTCTCACCCATCCGACCCTCAAATTATGCGCACGCCAAAACCCCGCGCACATGCGCCTCCAAAACCGCGCAAATAATCTACTACATCGCTATCCTCATCGTCGCCCTAATGTCCCTCCTCGAAATCATCCGGCTGGCTACGATATCCTACTCTGTCGCCTTGTTACCGCTGCTCTACCCCGCCATCATTCTCGGCGCGTACCTGCATTGGTCGAATGGTATACACGGACGTGTTCGCGGCTGGAGATGGGTCAATAGTGTCGTGATCTGGGGAGGCGGCGCGGTGGTTAATGTTGTTAAGATTGCGGGGCTGGCTAAGGAGAAGGGGGTGCAGGGACGGGGAGGATATCCGTTGAGTGATCAGGTTACGGATGTGGGTGTTGTGGTTGGGGTGTATGTTTTTTTGGTTGGGATGGAGGGGTGGTTTGGGTGGGTGGAGAGTAAGAGGGCGCAAGGGGGGAAGGAGAGGGAGAGTTTGGGGAGTTTGGTTGAGGTTGAGGGGGTTGTGGGGAAGTAGGTGAGATTGTATGAATGGATGATTGTGGAGTTCAGGTTTGGAGTGGTTTTTGATATACCCGGTTTGAATTCAACGTCGATTTGGAGTTAGGATTGGATGTTCTCCTTGAATATAACAAAGATTTTCACATCTCCTTTGCTGATTCCTACTGCTACTTACAAATTGACAGAAAGGCTAGTTTTAATCAGCTGAGATTTGGACCTTGGTCCGTCCCAAAATTCTTTCCATTGTTCTGTAATCTCTGTCCAAGCCTCTCCTTAAATACCTGTCTTTCCCCAGAGTGAGCCGAGACAAACCCACAACCTATAAGCAGCGATTTATTCTGGAGTTCGCTGTCAAAGAAATCACAGAATTGGAACAAAGCCTAGTCTTACGATTCAATGTTGTTTCTGGATCAAGTTCAGGTTGTGTCGTGATTGTGTAAGGTAAACCGTGATTGTCTTTTCTCAGGGGAAGTTTGTCGCCGATTTTGAAATTGCTACCGATTTCCATCAGTCCTTATATGATTAGTGTCCAGACTGAGTTCAGTCATGGGATGTCCTCACCAATAGGAAATAAAAACTTTGAGGCACGATATACAAACCAGGCACGAATAGAATTCCTAGCACAAAGACCATGTCATGAATGGCGTGCATTTCGTCTTATACTTCAGAAAGCAGGAAGGAAGCTTCTACTCTTATTATGTGAGAAGGTGATTGTTTCGAGGCATGAAATTTTTGGGATGTGGTGTAATCATAAATAGATTTGCATTGCACTGGTCTTTTGTAATGGTATTGAAGTCCAGAACGTTCAGATATTCTAGTTGGCGTTTCTGGGGGTTCGTCTCCTACCAATATACTTGGTACTCACCGAACAAAAGCCGACTTCAGACCATTCTCTTCCTAAATTTACCTACCTCCTATGAATAGACCATCTTCCTCTGCTCTAATCTTGTTCCTCTTCTTTTGCGAGATATAAAACCATATCCCAATCGTAACCATAGTAAGAGGTATAGCCATCACAAAGAAAACCCAGAATTTAGACGACATGCCAAAGCCTCCACCTTCAGCGTTGAAGTCGAATAGATTCATTCCTAGAAATGACTAAATGAAAGAATATGGTGTTAGCCATTTCATAAATTGGTTGTTGGACGCTGTACTTACACTAACGAAACTCGCAGGAAGATATATCAAAGTCACAATTGTCACAACACGTACGCTTGCGCTGTCGTCCACGGTGTCTTTAGTCAAAGCAAGCATATGTTCGTTTATCTGCACGGATGTGCCTTGATTTTTGAGTGATAAGGCGATATTCAACTAAAGGTCTAGATTCAGTATTCACTTTGAATGCTCAACATGGTGGAGTGATTTACCAAGTTCAAAATTTCGCTAACGCGTTTTTGAAGAAGTGTAACGGTTATGAGGTGGCCATTCATATACGTTTCGTGTGCTTGCAGTTCATCACGTATCTCTTGACACGTTGTAGTATCAGACCATTGCCTGGAATGAAACAGATCGTTTGCATCAAGCAATTTCCTAATCGTGGCAAGTGTGGTTTGAAATCTTGCTGTCAAGGGAAGAACTTGATCTTCAAGGTGTTTCAGAGCACGGAGTTGAGTGTACGCTTCTGTCGAGTGTGATGGTTTTGTGAATTGTAGGGTCAGTGCTATATCAGCTATTGATTCTAGCTTGGTGTTTAGGTGAGAAATGTAGAAGCGCCAACTTGGCAGGTAGGTTGATAAGATGAGGAGGTGAGTCGTGAAAAATGGTTGTATGAAGGGGTTTGTGCTGCGGCTATGGGTGAGTCGGGTTTGGAGAATTGAATTTTGCTTCGGGTGGAGGAGGATGAGGAGATTTGGATTTGAAGGCTGTGTTGATGATGGACCCTCTTGATCGATCGGTATCGAGGCCTGATTTTGTGTTCTCATGGACGATACAAAGCGGTTGAAGACGCCGGTTTGTCGTAGAGTCCACGAAGTCCCTGTTGAGACTGGAGACTCTTCGGGGTAAACTAAGGTGTACTGCATATATATGTCCATATGTTAGTTAGTGACTAATTTCGAAAACAACCATTCAAAGTTCAGGCGTACCGAAGGTTTCAGGGCCGATATGCTTGATAATCATGCTCCCAAATCCAGCATCTGCATTACCAGGCTTGGATCGAAAAGCGGTGATGATATCCCAGAAACATCTCGGTAGCGAGTGGTGGGAAAAGATGATATCCAGACAAGACTCGCTTATACGTAGGGGTGAAATAGAGTTTTTGGCTGATATGTGACTGTGGAATGCTTATCAGCTTGCTTTCCGTCAAACATTTGGTTTTAACTGACAGTGTCCTTGAAAACAGTTGTTCATTGCTTTTCAGATGCTTCACAAATTGAATTTCGTCTCGAAGTTGTCTTAAAGGATATGTTTTCGAGGGACGGACTGAATATGATGTAAGCCTCGAATTTGGTTAGGGCTGCTTTGCAAGATGGGAAGTTCTTCTCACAAGACTCGTCCATGAGGTCAACAACGAATGACCTGTCTTGGGTTGTGTAATAAGAGACATCTCGAATATGTTTCTTCAACTCGTCATAACTGTCTGTTGTAATCGGTATGTTGGATGTAATTTTGACCTCCAAATGATCATAAGAAGCATTTCTATGGTCTTGTTCACTGTACTCTGGCTCCACAGCCGATGACACAGACGAGCCTGGACTGGTAGGAGTCGCTATGTAGAAATTTTGGATTTCAAGCCAAAGCCATTGTAGATCGCGTTCTAGAACTCGAGATATCTAGCCAGTGTATTAAAGGAATACTCAAACTGCTCAAACTAATTATAAATAACTTGAGTTAAGTTTGAGTTGAGTTAGAGTAGTTAATTATTATCTTGAGTTGAGTTTGAGTAGTGGCCATTACTCAACTCAACTCAACTTAACTCATTTCTTACACTGTATCTAGCAAGACTCCTCTAGAGTGCAGAATTGTATTCAACTAAGAGACGATCTACGAAGAGCGACGCAAGCACTGAAGCAATATCAGCAGCGGCAGAGGCTTGCTAAACATCTTGGTAAGGAAATGCCCCCTTAAAAAGTAGTGCTAGAACTCCGTCTTCCTAAGCACCAACCTCTGCCCTTCCTGTCACACAATGCGGACTATGAAGCCTCGAAAGACGGAATGTAAGGCGAAATTCTGGTAAGTAGATGTCATGATGTATTGATGCTCAATGAAGATTCTTGGGTCGAATAGCAATATTTGACCGATGAATTACTTGTAAACGAAAGACCCCGATAACAATTAGAATAGCCAATTACCGGTTGCTTCTACGATAAGGAGTCTTCTGATACCTATATATCACGTCGGAAACTAATGGCACAGAAATTATTAGAATTTGTCTCCCTAAAATGAAACCTCAGTGCAAAAGTGCGAACTGTTAAGAAATAATGTATGGTACTAGACGGTAACTTTAAACTATTTCCGAAAACCCCACCAAAAACGGCTATTCTTATAGTTTATAAATATATATAACTTTTAACCCGACGATCGAATTATACTAATTTTAATTCTTAATTATAATTCGAAGGCCTTATTATATATACCCTAATATTTATTAGAACTATTAAGGCAATTTCTTAAGGTATAGTCTTAAAGTCGAGGTACTAAAAAAAGGCGGGCTTTTAACGCTTTTTTAGGTAAAAGTCGCGATTTTCGACTTAGGGTACTTTCCTAGAGGTATATCGAGACGATTAACGCTTCTAATTAGAAAAGCTAATAAGTATATATCTTAAAAATGTTCGAAATATTAAGGTCCTAAGAAGTCACTTTCTAATTATAGAGTAGTCGTTAATTACTTTAAAGTGTACGCGGTGAGTTTTAGTGTAAAAAGGCGCTTTGGCTTAAAGTTAGCGTCGGTTACTGTAGTGTCTATAAGACCGCGGTCACCCAATAACTTATAGAAAATACCGTCGACTGAATTCTTCCAGAGTTTACACACTGACATGGTAATATGATTCATTATATTCAGGGCCCTCGCACAATCGCAATCACGTTCTTGAATTACTATTTGCCACAATAATAACAGGGTATTTGGTATAATTAATGTAGGTAAATAATATCTTATAAGATAAAAAGTAGGTATTTGAAAAATACCTTTACCTTTACACACAAGGTGGAATTTCCAAGGTAAATGCCCGGAAGGTAGAACATATATTCAATTGGTAGAAGTACCTAACTTCAGGTAGGGCATTTGACTAGTTTATAGTATAACTACTAGTCTACTACCCCTACTTAATGCTTCTCCCCCACCAGCTCAGCTAGTGAGATCACTTACACCCATCTATAGCAGTACCCCTTTCTTCAAATTCTTTTTACATGTAACGAATAGAATTTAGCGAAACCCGTGTTTTAAATTCAAGGTGCTATCGATTAGAATTACCTGAGATGAACGGCCCGATCGTCATTAATCTCAAAAGTACTATTTACATGTGTTATTTACATTAGAACAAGTCCGCCACCACAGTGTTATGTACTCAAAACTGCTGATGGTATTTTAAGTAGTAACTTTGTATAAAAATAAAATAAAACTACAATCCTAAGATTGAACAATTACTGGCTTTCGCAGAAGTGAGCCTTAGTAGAGCGTAAAATGACCACTAGCATTAAAACAAAGACTTGTTTAGCAACGCTTGATGTATAAGAGCCGGAAAGTATACTAGTTCCCGCTCCTACACCTGGAGGAGACGGATTATTCGGAAGAGCTTACGTTAAGAAAGACAGAAGTAAAATTCATATCCTTATTGACCGAAATGGATTTGCCGTCGCCGTGAAGACAGCGTAACGAGAGTCGTTACCATGACGAGTCGGGCGCACCGACCATCTAGTGTGACTTGATAGAGCTGACAGCAACTGACGGTTTTACCAAACTTAAGTATGGGAGAGGTAAGAATAATTCATGAAGTAATTATATTTCTACTTGTAGAGGTCGGCGTCTCGACATCGAGTCCAACTAAGTAATTAAATAAAACAGAGATGTAAAGAATACTGCTACAGCCTATCTTCTTCCTCGACCGGATATATCAAGTGTCGCTCGTACACTAACACCTTAGTATACTTAGGTAGCGTGCCACTTGGCTACTATAACCTATCCGATTAACAAATAAGACGATACCAATTGTTGATGAAGAGAGAGAGGGGATGGTGAAAGGCTGAATCAAAGTAAAGCAAGGAGCTAGCGGTGCTCTTGTGTCGACACCGGACCGGACTAAGTATGAATGTTTAGAGACATAAGATGAGTAACATACCTTACTGATCTGAGCGTATCTCACGGCAATAGAATAGCGCACCATATGGTCACTGTGAGAGATTCTTGGGTTGCGCCCATAAGGCAGCACTAGACAATAAGATTGAGCCGATACGCGAGAGGACCAAAAAACGTGTTTTATGCCCACTACTTATACTAAGTATTACTCTTATCAATTTTCAATTTTGAAGCTACTTAGAAAAAACTTGAAAGAGTTAACTGAACACGCATATGATTTCGCTACAAAACGTACTTTCTGGATTTCCCTGCACGATACTACATTCAGTGTGCCATTCATCCGCCTCGAAGAGCGGCCCTCCTAGATGACATGCTCTCCACAAGACTCTCGAATGAGCAATCAGACGTCTGAATTCCACGTCTTGCGCAGAACCTCTCCTCAGGTCTCCAATTCCTTCACTCTGTAGGAATGAAGAGCTCGGAAAATCTCACAAACTTTCTCTCTCAAATGCAAATTCAGGCTTGCCTGGCAGGATCGCGGTAGGTGAGTGTAGGCTTTTAATAATCGACTCATTGACAATACGTAACCAACATTTTGCTTCTTTACCATAGATGTAAGTGGTTTTATAGAAGGCGGTAGAATCGGGGTGGTTTCTGCCAATTTCTGAAACATTCTATTGTCAAAGTGGAAGACTGTGTTAAGTGACGATTGATGCAAATTGGAGACTGATGCAAATTGAAGACTGATGCAATTTGAAGACTGATGCAATTTGACGACCGAAGATAATCGACCGCCGATGCCAGTTGACGACTGGTGATATTTGATGACTGATGATGTAAGACAAAGCCATAACATGACGAAATTACATTCTGTCACAAATTTCAGCTGCCAATGACCAGGTATTGAGGTCGACATGATAAAACAACGTTTGGGAGTATTGAATAATAGTCGAAAATATAGTGTTTTGATGAAATAGCGATGTTAGCGGGACGTGTCGGGATGATGTGCTGTATGATACTTAAACTCACCAGCCGCCAAGCAGATATCGCAGGTCATTTGAAGTCAAGTCAACCTTCAGTAAGGCACGAAGATAATACAACAAGGACTGCGAGTAACAATACAAGCGCAAACTGCTCATGCTCATTGTGCGTATGACATGTATACGAGACCAACGAAAATATTTCGGACTATTAGACGCAAAGAAAAGGTCAAGAAAATGACAGACGCCGTGCCAGTTATTTTATACCGCTTGGTATACAAGATAGCTGTATTTGACAGGTTAGGAATGCTTCATTGCCATCTTTGTGCTGCCTTGGCGAAATTCTTCTATTGGAAGAAATGTCGGGTGAGGACCTTGTCATTGTTACTGGAATAGCTTCGGGAGGTACAACCGTGGGAATGTATTCGAAGTACATCTTATGGTACAGTCAGCTCCTTTTTTGATGGGAAGAGGCGAGTCAGTTGCGATGACATGTTCATCATAATATTGTGTATAAAAAGAAGTGAAGACTGTAGTTCAATTGAACATTGTGGCTAAGTGAGCTCGTCTAAACGGAAGAACGAAGACGTCGTCATTTCTGCCAAGATTCCCTCGCGGTGAAGCTCGTCCCACGACACGGACCACCACCCGAGCTTCCACCATCTGCGGGAGCCAAACATATGCCTTCAAAGCACACAATAATTACGGTGCCACTCGCTCGCGTCTGCAGGTGAAGACCCTGCCCATTTGCATCCAGAGGGGTCTGTCTTAATACCTCAATTATCGAACATCGACACCTTCATTTGAGCTTCCCACAGCTTCTCAACATCGTCGACAAAGGACTTCCCGGGACGAATAAAGTTGTCAGGACCAGGAAGGACGTCTTTCGAGCTCCAGCACCCTTTCATCCAGAGCTCCACAAGAAGAAGCCATTCCAATCGATCGACGACGCGTGGTAATTTCGCAGATGGTGGATATGAGGTCTAATGCTCTAGGCGGGCAGAGTTATCGTCTTGGACCCGGGTCAAGACCTGCGATTCTGGGACTGGCAAAGGTCCTGTTCCTGGGACTCTGCCATGTCTCCTCCGTGGCTGCTGCGCCGGTGAAAGGATTGTTTGGTATTCTCGAAAAGGAACAACCAAAGGATGCTGGAGAGCCGGGACTATGGGTATATCTGGGTATCGCAGCGGTTCTGGTATTGCTGGGAGGTGCTTTCGCGGGATTAACAATTGCGTGAGTGTGATTTGAAGCTATGGAAAGCTCAATTGCTAATTCATTGAAGCTACATGGGACAGGATGGCATCCATCTCCAAGTCATCGCGACCTCGAGCGACGGCAAGGAACAAAAGAATGCGCAGAAGGTACTCGATTTGATGAAGAAAGGCAAACATTGGGTCCTGGTTACATTACTCTTGTCAAATGTCATTGTCAATGAGACGTTGCCCATTGTGCTCGATCGGTCTCTTGGTGGAGGTTGGCCAGCTGTTGCCGGCAGTACTGTGTTAATTGGTATGTTGCGTAGAACAATTTACAAACACCACTAATCATAATAGTCATTTTCGGTGAGGTCATTCCTCAAGCTGTGTGCGCACGCTACGGTTCAGCAATCGGTGCTTTTATGTCCCCATACGTTACGGCTCTCATGTGGATTTTGGGTCCTATCGCGTGGCCAACTGCTCGACTTCTTGATTACGCTCTGGGCGAGGATCATGGCTCGGTATATAAGAAGTCTGGATTGAAGACTCTCGTTACTCTGCACAAAACACTTGGGCCTGATCCGACTTCGCGTCTCAATCAAGATGAGGTCACAATTATTAGTGCAGTGCTTGATCTCAAGGAGAAATCTGTCGGAGATATCATGACACCAATGGAAGATGTCTTCACCATGTCTGCAGATACTGTTCTGGACGAGGCGACCATGGATGTGATCCTCAGCGCGGGTTATTCTCGAATTCCCATCTACGAACCTGGAAACGAAAACAACTTTGTTGGTATGCTTCTTGTCAAAATTCTTATCACCTATGATCCTGAAGATTGCAAGAAAGTCCGTGAGTTTGCTCTGGCTACGTTGCCAGAAACACGGCCGGAGACTAGTTGTCTGGATATTGTCAATTTCTTCCAGGAAGGCAAGTCGCACATGGTTTTGGTATCGGAAGATCCCGGAGAGAACTTTGGTGCCATTGGTGTTGTTACACTTGAAGACGTTATCGAGGAACTGATCGGAGAGTAAGTCATGTGTTCCATATTATTGACAGTCAAGCTGATTCAAACTAGGGAAATTGTTGACGAGTCCGACGTCTACATTGACGTACACAAGGCCATCCGACGTATCCACCCTGCTCCAAAGGCACGCATCCCGAAGGGTCATGTAATTGAAAGCTCAGCAACGTCCGCCCCCAACGTCGCGGAAGACCACCTGATTGATCTTGCCGAAGAACATGGACCCGAGCTACACAGACATCTGTCCTTAACCGGCGTGGAACGAAGCCACAGCCCAGCAAATAAGTTTGGCACTAGTCCTAAGGCTACATTCATGCGACGAAACTCTTCCGGTGCAGATGGCAAGAACGTTATGGTTCGTGGTAACATGGCTGACATGAGGGAACACCTCAAGCATCTCGGCCCGTCGAATCTTGCCAGTCGACCAAAGACAACCCGATACAACACAGTCAAAATTAAATCGGCAGGCATCAACGGTAGATCTGAATCCCGTTCAGAGTCAGTGCCTCATAACGATGGAGCACATGAAACTCATATCGAAGAACCTTACCGTGACGATCCTTTCTTCCCGGATACTTCAGCACCTCAAGGTGGCGAGGGCGAAGGCCTACTGAAGTCCGCTGGAAAGGACGCCAAAGATGGCGTTCAAGCTTTACAGCAGGGCTATGGCTCATTCACCGAGCGACCAAAGTCTTCTAGCCCAACCATGAAAAAAACTGCCCGTTTCAATCAAGAAGATGGCGAATCACGGTCACCCCCATCGGAAGAGCCACTGACCAGACACAGTACCAGCCAAAGTGATGGCAGCGGTAGTACAGATACCGTAGGCGAGTTAACCGAAAACAATGGGAAAAAACCCCGTAAGAAGAGAGGTGCAGCCAGGAGTGGCAGTATCACCGAGAACATCATCGATTCCGGTGGTTTTCGAAAAGTGATTCTGGAGACTAATAGTAGTTCGAATGAAGGAGATGATGCTAGTGTGAAGAAAGTCTTGGTCGAGGGTACAGCCAACGGGTCAAAGGACAATCTGCTGGATGAAACTCAGGCGGAGCGGGACCAGAAATCGGAAGAGGTCAAGAAAAAGAGGAGACGGAATAGGCATAAGAAGAAGACACCGAAGAGTGGTGATGAGGGTGGATCTGGGGCTGCGGGGTCTTCTTCTGCTGTATAGGACGCTCGCAAGTTATGGACGGTGTGGATTAGGTCTTTTGGGTGCGATGAAACTGAGGTTGTTGTATTTATAGAGTCTGCGTGGGATCAGGCTTTCGAGGAAACATTATCAGTACACGTAATTAGCATATAGCATCTGCTGCTTGTAGCATAGCGAGATTTTTCCTTTTTTCAGTTTTCGTTCGTGTACATCTAGGACGATAAAAGCGTATGAAATCAATGGGTATTTCTTTTCATTATGGTGCGGTGTTGGTAATGCCTGGTTTGTTGGTACTTGTGAGTGGTTGACAGTTCGAATTTGGGACAGATATAAAGTTTTACGTATATAGAGGGATTAGGTGGAGTAGAGATTTAAGGTGAGTTCCTATTGTGTTTATATATATATATACAGCGAGCTAATAGCATAAAGGACCTCTGGACCCATGGACCTTTTCCAGACATGCTCTATAAACCCGCCACGTCGTTTCGTGTCCAGCCGCTTTTGGCTCCGTGTTACCTAGGGAGTATGTGATTCTTAGAACTTGAAAGGAAGGAGTCAGTACACCAACTAAACATAAATCAGGTGATTGCTAAATCAGGCTAGGGCCAAAGTGACTTTCGTTTGTTTATGCGGTACCTAGATGATCACGTCTAGCATCAGCCACTTCCCTTAGTTCTTTTTTTTTCATCAACCTCTTTAACATCAGTTGGGACGTCACGCGCCGAGCGACGCGATGTATGGCGAGTGATAGTCACTATATTTCTTCGATTCAACTAAATGAGGATATGTCAAGCGAAGCAATGCCGTCAGCACAGCATATGCAAGAGCATGCATCTGGTGGCTTGCCTGCGTGGACAGCTGAAAAGCTGAACCTCGAGCGCATTATCGAGGCTCATATGATCTTTCAACCATTTCGCAATCATCTACCATACGAATTCCTTCCGGTTAAAAAGTTTTCAACGATTATCTGGATTCATCATGGCGACGTCGCCGAGTGCTCCGGATCTTGCGATCGAGCCAGTCAGTCCAGTTAACGAAGTTGTTGCAAGCGTTCCCATCGAGACAGCCTCGTCTCCGGCTAAGCCTGGTGTCGAAAGCATCGATGTACTGCTTCCTTTGCTTAAAGAGGTCAGTGAGACTTTGAAGGATTTGAGAAATCACTCTGCGCGGTTTATGAAATTGTTGGATATCTCAGAAGCGGAGGAACGGGCTGAGAAAAGGCGTGAGCGTCGTCGTAGTAGTCGGCCGTCAAGTCATGGATCTCAAAGCAGGGCATCGTCCTCTTATTCCTTTTCTTCTATGAGCTCCGATTCTGAACCACGAAGAGTACGTCGCGAACTCAGGGAAGAACCTTTGGACGATGGGAATCTGGCGGAAATTGGGGAACGTGTCTCTGTGAGGCGCAGGCAGTCTGCAACAGATTCACGAGAAGCCCGAGCTACGGGCCCGAGCAATGAAGAAGCGATGGTTGAGGGGCCTAGCCTTGTTATGAGGCGGCGAGAAAGCCGAAGATCTAGTGCCCCCATAGATGTTGTAGTGGTTGAGGAGCGTAGCGACAGGATGAGCTCAAGAAATACCCGAAGACTCAAGGGTGGCGAAGGCGTGAGAAGGAACGTTGCAAGAATTGAGACGTACCAGGAGTCATCAGATAATACAGAAGCAACGAACTCAAACAACGAGAATGGCGACGTTTGCGAAGAAGAAAGATCAGAATCAAACTCACAACTCAGCGTTAGATCTACGAGTTCCAATAGACTAGGACATCGCAGCCTAAAGGGATATACTTCAGAAACGATAGAATACGGTAGTTTTCCCCACCCAGATCTCTGTGAGCAGCTGTTCGGAGGAACGAGTGGCTTTCGTGGTGAAGGAGACAAAGATACGTATTATCCACATTTGAAAGAGAAAGGTATTATCTTCGCCCGTGACGAAAGATGCAGTTTTACTTTCGATCTTGCTAGTCTTACCAATAAAGACGACGGTTACGACTGTTTTCCAGGGAGCTTCCGAGGGGGAGGCAACCCATCCGTGCTTTTGGCTGAAATCGAAAGAGTTGAACGCTTTTCTGACGAACTACGATCGAAGGGAGGCTTCTTCTTCTTTCGCGAGTCTTATTTGTCGGATAAAGATTTCAGAAATAAGGTATACAATGGAAAGCATGTCATAAGATGCCGTGATAATAGACGACATGCACTTCCGAAGCTGTCCGGAATAGGTCGCCAATTTTCAGGGGAATTCCCAATAGTTGTACCCAAGGACGAACTTGCACAGATCGCGCATGCACACTTGGGATACCAGAAAATGGTCTACCATTCACAACAGCAACGACTGAGGGAAGACGTGATTGGACCTTCTAACATCAACGATGCTCTCACCGACAGCGACTCAGTTTCTTCTGCCTATGGTCCTCTAGAGCCAGGCGTGACGTATCATTATAGGGGGCAACCGAGGACTGACTACAACAAAGGTCCACTGACGGGCTGGGAGACGACCGGAGGCCCTGGGCCTGACATCCAACACAGGGAAGGTCGTCAGGTATATTGTGATCCTCACATTACCGCCCCTTGGCGAAGGCTCTGGTGAGTTCTCTAATCATTTTCAAAGAAAGTAAGCTTGCTAAGCCGAAAAGCGTGCTCACAGGTCTGTCGAGGGTAATAGGAGATGACCCGTCACGTATTTGGTTATCTATCCCTTTGTTTGAACGAGACATTAAAGTAGATCAAGGAGACGATAAAAACTGCTATGCTGGATCTAACACGTCAAGTCACGGCGAGGATGACCAAGATAACGAGGCGAACGATGATAGCGGCCATGTGAGTAATCAGTACTACGAAGGCAATATATTAGAGCATCTCAGTCACAAACAAATCTCAATTCGGCGAGTCTCCCGCAGACGTATCGTAAAATTTCAATTCTCTTGGTACGAGATCATTCCATACGCAGACTCAGAGAATCGCAAGTTTTCTGGCAGATTATACCAGGACAAGGACAAGCGGACAATTCAATTACAATCCTTCATGGTTAGTCAATTGAATCCAGGGTGACAGTTCACAGGCTGGCGCTGACAGATCAGGCAATAGGAATTTGGCAAAAAATAGATGAAGACTACTCTGGGGATAGCAAATTTTGGACTCTCATCATCATGGCACCTGCCTTCTTTTACCATAAAGACCCGACTGATTTCGACAATACGAACGCAAGCAAGGAATTGAACGACTTGATCGGGCCGCTTAAAAGTGTCCTGCCAACGATATCTGCGACGCTGAGCATGGTAATCTCCAAGATAGTGGCACATTGGACCAAAATTGGCGACTATGTGGACCAATTTGTTGCCGGTCAGGACAGCTTCTTACGCGAGAAAAGGCACGATAGGCTGCTTTTCGATGATGATAGCTTTACTCGCTCCAGGCCATATTTCTGGGCCATAACCAGCACGGGAGAGTTCATTCTCATTATTGACGAGACTCTAAATCACTATAGAACCGTTGCGAAATGGGTTTCGAAGGATAAGGACGAATTGAGAAAACATCGTGAAGCACGGAAGAAGCTTGAGGCTGTGAAGGCTAGGTTCGAGAGGCAAAGAGAAAGAGCTACCGAGCTCCGAGAGGGCGTAAGTTCTGGGACTTATGAGATTCGCTCGTTATTCTCGCTAACATCTCACGTATAGTTATTCAGTGCCAGCTCGGTGGTCGAGAGTAGAATATCGACGCGACTCGGTCAAAACGTGAGGCTTCTCACATACGTGAGCATTTTCTATCTTCCCCTTGCATTCTGCGCAGTAAGTTCCCAATTTCATTCTGACCTCGCAAATCTGTGTTTCAAAATTCATCGTTGACCAATATCAGGCACTTTGGGCAATCCCCAATATCACCGAGGCAGCAACTCGAACTCCCTTCATAGTCACAGCCTTCTTCGTAGGCCTCGCAACATACTTCATTGTTTTCAATCTCGATTCGTTAGTAACATTTGTCTTAAAATCTTATTCTAGATTCCGTAAAGGGGCGATAAAGCAGATGACGAGAGACTCGAAAAACTCTCCACCCAACGACAAATGGCAGAAGCGCGCACAAGGGTTCAATCGATTTGAATCTGACCGCGGAGAGACTCGACCTTCGGAGTGGTACATCTTATGGTATACGCTACTTTATTTGTTTCATCGATCTATTAGTGTCGAAAATGATGATGGTTCTGGATACAGTTCAGAAACGTCAGGGTCTGAGACCTCGGAGTCTGAAGAGAGCTCTACTGAAGATTCAGGTAGTAGTGAGCGTAGCGAGAGTATTAACGAAATAACTCAAAAAAAGCCTTGGTTTTCGGGGATTCGTGAACGTTTTCGGAAACCCAAGGTTACCAGTACTGCTGATCCTGATGAGCAATCTCAACCAGAAAAGTCTTTGCTGTCAATGATGCATCAAAAAGCCAGAGTGTTGGTGTCTACTTCCACTCCAGCGGGCAACGAAGAGTCATCGGGGGATAAATCTTGGACCTCTTGGCCGCTGAAGTGGTTCCGGAAGCCTAAGAAGGGTAAAGAGAAGGGAGGGTCGAGTACGGTAACCGTTCCTGAGGTCTGCTGAATGAGTCACTTTTGATCGCCGTTCTTTACGTCGAAGCATTAGTGACGTGCGTAATACGGACTTTTATGAGAGGGTCAAAAGCAGAGCAAATAAGCTAAATAATGGGAATCTGACATCAGGCGCTCCCCATTGAAAGGACCATGACTTGAGGAAATCAAGGTTTCACCGATCTTTCAACAAGTCATGCTTCTAGTTAGATTATGTTCCCAACATTAAGCTTCTACTATCTTCTCCAAAACCTCTGGATCACTTTTCGTTGTGCACTTTCTCAACTTCAACCTCTTGTCAAAGTGGGGCCGTTCCCCCCCTTTTCCGAAGCGAGACCTTACATCCATTGGCACTCTTACAAGTCAACATCAACTGTCCCTTCCACGGCACCTCATCACCCGACTCCAGCACCTCAAATCTTGCTGCCAAACGAATAAGCACATACGCCGCCTCGACAAGCACTTTATTTTGTGCCATACACGCTCTAAGACCGCCACCGAAAGGCAAAAACTCCCATTGCTCGGGATGTATCTCGTCCCAGCGTTCGGGTCTGAAGGTTTCGACGTTTGAGCCAAAGATGGAGGTGTCGCGGTGCAGTGTGTAGTAGCTCATTACTACTGTACTACCTTTGGGGACGAAGATTGGTAAGTCTTGATTTTTGCCGCCGCCGGTTGGGAGGGTGGTGTCACTGAGGGCGACTCGGGCGAGGACGGGGAAGACGGGGTATAGGCGTAGTGCTAGGAATGTAATTAGAACTCCCAAGTCTATTCGTTTTTCCTAGGTTTGGCTTACATTATCGAAGGATATTTTGCACTAAAGTACAGTTACGCAGAGCATCGAATTGGAAAAGATCACTTCCGCCTCTCAGAGCTTCAGCTCGCACTTGTTCCCAATATTTCGGATGTCGTGAGAGAACCAAAAGTGTGTTACCAAGCAAAGCAGAAATCGTCTCACCAGAAGCCAACATCCCCTGAATGATCTGACTTCGGATATGAACCCTATCATCTGTTTGCGCCGCGAGACTACGAACCATACTCTGCCTTGGAGCTGCATCAAGATCTTCCTCGTCATACTTGTCTGTAGAAGCCTGTGACTCTAAGGCCTTGCCGACGTAGAAATCAATGAACTCATGTGATATCTTGCAGTTTTTCAGATATATTGCTTTTGGGACCAGTGCCCAGAGTCTTCCGAGCAGGACTCGGAACATGGTGCGGAATATCGCATCGTGAAAGGATGCGATGAATACACTTGGTGTATGAGGTGCTTCATGTGTTTCGTCGCTTGGTAATACTCCTAGGAGGAAATCCATTGACGTTGCGAGAACTGGATCTATTGTTACAAAATGCAGGGGAGATTTTTGATTGGAACTTACCATGTTAGAGAGCGCAGGTTGTAAGTCGATGACAGACCCATTAGCTGGAATTGTTTCAAGCAATTTGTCTAGCTCTTTTGAGAGAGGACTTAGATCGACTATGTTGGTTTTGGAAAATGTTGGTTTGAGGAGCTTTCGCGAGTGATTCCACATTTCGCCGTCTGTTGTTAGGAAACCACGACCGCATAGGTATTCCATACTAAATACGACTTAGTCAAGAGCTTTGTCGAGATCCGAAAAAATTGTGTATCAAATAAAATGATCAAGCTTCAATAATCAAACTAACTGAAATGTGAGTACAAAACCCAACTCACCCTGGTAACCTAAACGGCTCAATCCCCCAAACCTTCCCAGCAGTATTAACAACCCGGATATTCTCCGTTTCAGCCGTGCATACTTCCGACAGTCCCAAAAGTGCGTTGACCTCGAACGTTTTACCAAGTTTTTCATGATGCCTCGACAAGGACGGGATATCCATGGACGTCAGAAGCGTGACATCGAGTCCGAAGAATGGGTCGTATGAATATAATTTAGCGGGGGGCTGACATCCACGTTGTTGGCTTCTGTGATTGCGTCTGCTTTGTTTTTGGATGATGTAGAGGAATAGGGCTGTTAGAGCGAGGAGGAGTGATGTGGTTGCGTAGACCATGGTTGAGTTGAATTCGCTGGTGTAATTGGAATGTGTTGCTGCGGTAGAACTATCAAGAATAAGGCGTTATAGTAAGTGATCTTGATGACTTGAATGTCCGGTTAAATCCGGAGTGTCGTGTTGGTCAGATTGTTGGTACGTAAAATTGTGCCCCCGTCTTCTTTTGTACGTTATTTGGGCTGTTGTCTGGAACGCCTCGTCACTTCACAAGAATCACTGAATTGGGTAATCGCATGTAGCAACACACACTAGCCGTATTTCCTCATGGGCTTGAATCCCAAGATTTCTTACTGCACTCTCTCCATGGTAAACCTTCAATTGGACAGATAACATATAAGTCCAGGATGACTTAGAAGTCTTAATCATATAACAAAACACTCCAGTCTTCACACAGTTGCATGTGCCTGCAGCTTAATCGTGTTGAACAAAGTTTCTACTTGTATACATACATAGTAAGAGTGAGAGAGCGAATGGGGCGCTCGTAGTTAGTCTGAATCTGTTAAGTACCTCACTAGGATTTGCTCGACCCCGGAATGCTATTAAGGACTGTCTGGGCTGGAATTGGCACAGCTAGAGTATTATCCCGATTCCAAATTCTTGTACCCCGAGTAGCGACCCGTTCTTTGATTTTCGCTTCCTAAGAAAACACTCTTCGATGTAGAAACTCACGTCTTCCGTACTTTTCTTATCCCCACCGTAGGCGAGACTGAAATGTAAATAAGCGACTTTTTGAACCGCCTTAATGGTTCGCACCATACGAGCATTCATAAGTTTATAGAATAACGGATTTCTCGTCTCTGATAGCACAGTAATGAGAAATAATAATTTGTTTCTTCATAGATATATTTTGTTTTCAGAATCCGAATCAGTGCTGAGCTGAGAAGAACCTCACATACCACGGAAGACTCTTTTAACAGCGTAGGAGACTATTTCCGTAGTCAATTGAGCGGTATTAACACGCATTACCGGATACCTTAAGCTTCGTGGTAAAACAAATGACTGATTGAAATGGATTCGATCTGTATTCGGGATGATAAAGACGTTGGTTGATATATGACCTGCAGTGCTGCATAACTTTTGCGTCCACGCGAACCGCGCAGTAGGTCTACACTTAAAGATTGACTATGATGGTCAACTTGCATTCCAGGTT